ACATCATACTGTTGTTGTTATGCAGACTACAGAAGCTGTCAGAATAAAAGGAAGGTCGAGATGTTGAGGAACAAAAGCCCTAAGTGGGCCTCATGTATGATGACAGCACTGCAACAGTATCATTGAGTTCATTGTATCACCATTAGTCTCTATGTGACTCACTGGCTGCACTGACACCCACCTGCACTGTCATTCCTGTCATCTGAAGAGTGTACCTGAAACAATGGCTGCTACATGTGACATGTGGGGTTGTGTTGTTAAATCTGAGAGATGCCCATGAAGTTCAGACGCTTGTTTATCGGTTTAAGTCAAACTCTGTTGTTATCAAAACTGGACGCTCTCTTCTGGCCTCAAACTGTTATTCATATTTGACATTATCTGGTTTTATCTGGTAGACTCGGGGTTTGTTGCAGGGGTCTGTGTGGTTGAAAAGTCTAGAGGTAAAGTGTGCGTGTGTTTTCAGAGTATTTCCCTACAGACATGGCTGTCAGATACACCTGAACTCAACACGCATCTTTTTTGTGAAGGATGCCGTGAAGATGTCTGAATGATTGTGTTTGGACTTTTGATGACAGCGGACATGTTTGTGTGTGTGTTTGTGTGTGTGTGTGTGTGTGTGTGTGTACCAGGTACTCTACCGTATTGACAACAGAACAAAGCTGCCAGCGCTGCGTTTGTCTTTGCCGTGGCTGTTTTCTGTCTCATCTGCCTGTCAGAGCGTCAGTGCTGCCTCTCTGCTCTGACAGCGCAGGAGCAGACAATTATTTCTCCTCTTTTCAGTCCTCCTGCGTCTGTGCAGAAATCCCAGAAGATCATCTTCTCCTTCTGTCAAGAAATAACAGCCTCATAAAATAGGATTTTTATTCTGCTGAGTGTTGACTGACTCATTATTCATTTTAAGCTGTGTTTGTAAAGATGATTTAGAATGAGATCTGCTGCCACCATCTAAGTGTTGAAGAGACGTCCGAGCTCTTAAATCCTAACCTGAATATAGCTGAGGACAATTTCAGCTCAAATGCACCGTAAAAACTGTAATAATATGTTTCGGTTTGTTCTTCATTTTGACTGCAGTTAACTTATCTTGACCTAAAAAGAAGATTAAAGTGGTTGTTTTTCCCAATGACAGTAAAAACCTGATAAATAGAGACTTACCATGCTTCACACAAACTTCTCGCCCTCCTAGGCCACCATCCTGTCTTCGATGGCTAAGGTGAGCAGAGGAGCTTCTTCCCTCATTCTTTCACTGTTCCTGTGAATGTGATCAAATTCAGGAACCAAAGCTCTTAGCATCAGATACCTGATACTCAGCATGACTAAAAAACTTGGTAGCATCTGGCCTACATTTATATCAGATTACATTTTTTTTTAAACTTTTCAAGAGTGCTTTCTCAGCCTTCACACAAGTGTGCTATAAAGATACTTGTACATCTGGACACAGTTCCAAAATGTGGTCTGGAGAAGCAGCATCATGACTGACGACAAAGAAACTGGATGAGTTAAAAACACAATCTAAAAAAACACAAGACATTTCCTAATGAAGTGATCCAGTCAGGAGACGACAACATATCTTCATAGCAGCTTAGCTTGTACTAGAAAACAACACAGTACTCAGTAAATATACAAAAGAATCACAGTTTGGTTCAGTTAACTGTCAAAACCACAAGGTCACAAAAAAGTAGGTAAGTTATGAGTTTGAAATTATGTGCACAGGTAAGGTTCGCTATAAAAGGTGACAGAGGAGCTGCACAACGGTAAAACCATGAAACTCTAAGACCGTGTAAAACGACTTGTTTGGTAAAAAGAGGTGGGAGATAGGCTGAGCTTGGTTTGTTTGACTCATGAATTCTTCATGAATTCTTCCTTTTTCGGGTAAATCTAAATCCAGCCAGTTTGGAACGATACCAAAGACGAATACAGGTGGTGATTAGCAACCCAAAGAATGACGTCCATGCTTATTTTTTTGATGTGGACGGTCTCAGACTGATCCTCAAATCGGAGTCAATACCATTGATAATAACGTTTGTGTGTGTGTGTTTGTGTGTTTGTGTGTGTGTGTGTGTGTGTGTGTGTGAATCATTATCATTATCGCTAATGTTTACACAGAGTGCTAGTGCTAGCCATACCAGTTTGATCCAGAATCTCTGTGGCTGCAGCAGGATGTTTCTGAATGGTTAGTTACAAATGTTACATGTCTCCATATTTTTCTTTTTCCTCTGTTCGTGTGTTGGTACACAGTGACCTACATGTAGCTAGGTAACACTAGCTCCTGCTAACGGTTACATCTCCGCTGTCTCCTCTGTACTTGGAGCTCTTTTGGTGAATATTTTAAGTATAGTTATCTCTCCTGACTATGTTCTTGCAGTCTACGTAAACAGACTTGTGTGCAGCTTTCTGCAGCCAACAACGGAAGAACTGGCGTGCCTGGCTCGTACCTTTGCCATTTCGAACCAGCGTTTGAGCAGTGGGACATTGAGACATTTTCTGAAAGGTGGAACAAGCAAGAGAGGGAGAGGATTGAATTTTCTCATTGTTAGAAAGCCATTCTAAAGTGAATTTTGTATAATATGGGACCTTTAATTGTTTTATTTAAATAGAGATGGACGTTTATTCAGTGTATTGAAAGCAGACAGACAGAAAGAGCCTGCAAGCACAGATCCAATCCAAAAGCAAACACAATCAATTACTTGTGACAACACAAAGAATAATTTTCAGGTTTTCCTTGGTGCTTCATGAGCATGCACCATTTACACAAACATGCATCAACACCCACACTCATGCACACATATAATACATGCATAGAAAAACAGGCTGGGTTAACTGTGGAATAATTATGGAGGGATCAATGTAATGTTCTGCCTTCCTGCTGTCAGCCATTACTGGCCTAATAAAGACACAGAGAAAATTAACATAATGAACTAGGCTCCAGGCTTAGTACACACACTGAACTCACATCTGAGCAAATGAACCCATACACACACACTGACACGCACGCACACACATCTGTGAAAATCAAACAGGGAAAAACAACAACCCCCAACACATACGTTCAACTCCACACAAAGTCTCAGTGCATCACAGGGTGTGTTTTTACCAGCCAACAGTTTTAGGAATTATCTCCTCCACTGTACTCGAGGGATCGGGCTGCACGCACACACACACACACACACACACACACACACACACACACACACACACACACACACACACACACACACACACACACACACACACACACACACAGCATCATCTGCCCATCTAAGCAGTTTGGATGTGTGGGTGTGTTGTGTGTTTGTTGTTACCCTGAGGGCACCATAGTGAGGATTTGTATAAGTTTGTGAATCTGAATTGTCAATATAAAGCTATCTCTTTATGATTTAGATTTAAAACACACACACACACACACACACACACACACACACACACACACACACACACACATACGCAAATTGCAGGGCCAGAGTTGTGGCTATGATTGTAGTTATTCTGCCCTCAGCCTACACAAGGGTAAAACATTTATTAAAGTCTCTCTCTGTCTCTCACACACACACACACACACACACCCACACTTGCAGAATAATGAAAATGATCTCATAGGGAGATGCGAGCTGTTCTTCCATGCTGTGCGAGGGAGTCTGAGGTTTGTATTTATTACTGCGTCTGCAACAGTTCACACATTCAAACACAGCACAGAGTTTATCACTCGCTCTCTCACCCCTGTTTCGTATTTTTTTCATTATTTAGCTTTTATGTCACATAAGGAACATCTGTGCTTGTTTTTACATTTCTTGGGACGATGACTTAGTCAGCGTTTTTACCACACCTTCAGCTGCCTCAGTGCCTATGTGCAAAAACAGGTTTTATGTGTTATGAGAGGAGATCGGAGGACATGGTGGAAATCACTGTAATACAACCATTAAAATAGATATTTGATGTTGCTCCACTGTGTAATGAAGCTTATGCTGGCCAAATTACATTAAAGGGATATTAGGGCATAAATTTAATTTAGGGTTAAACACAGAGTTAGACACCCCCTCGCCAGATGAATGTTGCCGACTGCTTGCTTCTCCAGTGACACCGACTTCAGTAGCGACCACACAATAGCAATACACAGTGGTCCATGCCTCCACACACAAACCTCAACCAAAAAACCACTCTATAGCCACAAATAATGCTCAGAACAGCACCTAACTTCATCAACAGTACATACTGGGTCCCAGCCAAAGTACTAGCCATCAAACATCTTTTTAGCTTTGCCTAATTTCTTTAGCAAAGAGACTAAACACAACTCACCTACTCTCCTCCAACAGCCGCTTGTTTGTGGGGGAGCCCTGACGAGTGGCTCACTGAGTGCAGTGGAGTTTCGCAGCTCAAGGAAGAACATTTATGATTATTACTTCATGGAAATGCAGTTCAAATGAGTTCTTGTGTATCTTGTATGTAAACTGCAGACACGGTAGTTCTTCTGCCTTAGCGTCGGGCTGATAGAATTTCCATCGACTCGTCAGGGCTCCCCCACAAACAAGCAGCTGTTAGGTCCTGTTCTGAGCATGATTTGTGGCTATAGAGTAGCTTTTTGCAAATGGAGACATAGACTGCTGTGTATTGCTATTGTACTGTTGTTACTAAAGTTGGTGTAACTAGAGAAGCAAGCCGTCAGCATCATTCATCTTTCAAGGGGTTGTCTAACTTGGTGTTATGGTGTGTCTGACCATAACTTAAATTTATGCCGGAATATCCCTTTAAAGACCCCAAAAATCAACAGGCGTCTAAAGTCCTTACAGGTGTGCTCTTCTGGACTACAGTTGTCTTTCTCTGTTATTTCTTGCACACTCTGGAGATTCAAAAAGGAAAAATCAGACTCTCCTGATGAATTTCCTTTTGGAGATCAATAAAGTTCTTGTTTTGCATTCTATGTGAAGATTTTCATACAATGCAAATGACTGCGGCACACACAATGATGATAATATATATCATAAAGAAAAAAAGACAGACTGCTCTTCTTTACATCTATCATTGACATTTATAGAGCTCATACAAAAGCACTGTGGTACATTTCATTTATAAAAAGTCAACCATAACAACGACAGCATAAATAGTCCAGAATCCTGATAAGTAGAAAAAGTCTTGGTCCCATTCCAGCGTCAGAGCTGAGGCCGAGGCAGAGGGTGACAGTGGGTGGTCGGGGGACACATGAATGTTTTATTGCTTTGACATCTTTACAGGGTTAGACTGAAACTGAGATTTAGGTCTCCTCTGAACAGATAGATAAACAATCAACAAGAGGCTGGAAGTCTGAAGGCTTTGTGGCCCGGGTTTCACTAACTCCATCATGCTTTGGAGGCCTTTCCAGCCCAACTGAAATCAGACCTGAGGAACCTGCTGGACAATAACACTTTGGACTTTCAGGCAGAAAATTACAATGACGAACACAAACACTGCTTTTATGTCATATCTGCACAACAAACAACCAAAGAACTTCATGAATACTGTAGATTTCTGACAAGACTTGGCTCCACCTGTGTGTACAGTGTTTCTGACTCCTTCCAATTCACCAGTCAGACCTCCAGGTTACCTCTGATGACTATACAGGCTAAAACACATTCAAGACTGTTCACAAACTCAAGCCCACAACTTTTCTATTGAGAAAGACTTCCCATCTTTACATCTCTACAGAGTTTGTCCTGTACTGAGGACAGTCACGCCAAAGACACACAGCTGGGTTTATACTGTAACGGCTGGTGTTATAGTCCTAGTGACACAAGTATTATCTAAAGGTCTGGGCTACAAAGATCATGATGGTTTGCAATTATTTTAAAGTCTATATTTAACAGAATATGGTGCAAAGAAAATATTAATCTTTTGTTTTGAAACTAGTTTTGATTAGATACACGGTTTCAATCATTTGCAAAACATAATTTTGTTTTGTTTTTCAGGTTTTACAGTGTCCTTACTCTTTTTGGAGTTGTATTTTTTCACAGCAGATCATGTGTTGATCTCTAACCACTTCCATGCTGTTATGTGCCAACAGCTGAAACAAAAGGCTGATAGCACTCAGGTGAAGTCAAAGTCATCGTTGAGTTTATAGTTCAAGCCGGTCTTTAAGCTTTTTTCCAACCAAAGCTCACTCCTGATATGGTTTGGTAGCAGTTAAGCTTCACTTCTAACTCATGGTTACACTACGATGATCATATAGATTATATCTAGATCAACAGCCTCTGTTGAAAACTCTAGGAGGCCAAACTGATTCCTGTGAAACTCTCTGTTCCCCCGAGAGGATGCTGTAAATTCAGCCTGTGCCTTAATTTCACCTGCAGGTTCACTGTCACAGAGCAGCTCCTGACATGCTGGGAGCATACACACGCTATGTTAAAGTGAAATGATCAGACCTGATAAAGTCACAGATGAATTCAAGTGTCACTAGACCACAGATCTTGCTCACATTCCTGCATCAGGATTACATTCTTGTCTGTTAGCATCCAGACTCTGTTTTCTGAATGAAACACCATCACTTTGTTGAGTAACAATACTATTCTCATAACTATCTCTGCAGTAATGAGTCTGCTGTCATCTTCAGTCAGGTTACAGGCCTGTGAACGACTCAGGTCTGAAAGGTGAACTCGTGCCTGTTCACTTTTTATATCCCTCTTTCATGATGAAATTTCCTCTTGCCTCTGAAATCAGGCGCCACGCTGAGCTCCGTAATGAAACTGAAGGCCAGGATAAGCACATTTGCTCTGGAGTTTGAGTGCAAGCTGGAACACCTTTTAAAGCTGCAATGCCATCCATCATTAAACTGTAATTAGTACTATAGCAGTACGACTCTTTCCTCCCACCATGAATACTTGTGTATGCAGATTAGTCTGGCCAATTATAACCCATTCATTCACCCCCCTTTTCAGTCATTAGACTTTAGTTCCTTTTTTTCCCCCACGCAACACAACACTGCGACGTTACTACATGGTTGTAGCAGCCAGGACTACTCTCACATTTAGTGTCTTTCTTCATCTTCTGTGATTTGAGAACATGAAGTTTCCAAACATAAATCCCAGCTCATAACAGAGGAAGTCGTTCTGTTCTGAGTATTGGAGGAAATGTATAAAAACACTTGAACAAAAACACTGTGTTAATACTGGTAAAGTAGAAGTTGAGTTGATGAGGCTTGTTGGACTACAGTAGCACAGTTCACACAGGACAGCTGAAATACTTGAAATGATATGAGGTAAGAATGAGTGAGCACAGATGACGCCTTGCTGAAGGAGTGTGTAGAAAGTTCAAGAAAGATCCCGTCTTCAGTGTGACTCCGTCCAGACCTCCTGTTCGAGTCTGTCACACTCTTGCTGAGTGTGTGTTCTGTGTTGGCGTGTGTCAGTCCGAGCCTAAAGAGTGTGTTTTCTGTGAAAGTTAGCAGAGTGCTTGTCGAATCACTGCTGGGAGTAGAAATGTCACGGTGACTCTTTAGTGTTTAAACTCCAGATAATCTAGATAGTACATTTTAATGATAATAATTTGATCATTGATCATCAACGTGGACATCATCCAGTTGTGAAAATTCATCCTAACATTTGGATCCAAACAATGAATCAGAACCTGTCAGAGTGGTGTTGACCTTTTGATCAAGAGAAATAAAATCTCACGTTTAGAGTTTTCTCATTAAACACTCACTGAAGACGCAGGAGACTGAGTTACCTCTGGTCCTCAGATGTTTCCCTTCCTGGAGATAACCAGCTTCATCAAAAGATAAACTACATTCACCTCCTCTTTTTGACTGCTGATGTTTGTTCAAAAGAAAATCCTGTGTCTCTGTGAGAGTGTGTGTGAAGGTGTCATGGAATCTGAAGCTGTAATTCCTCCTCTTCCTCATCCATGTCACTGGCTGGACCATCAGGGTTTTCGGGACTGAATCGAGCTGATCGTATCTTCCCAAACAGACCAGGACTCTGCTGCTGACGCCTCAGCCTGGGAGGGACAGACAGACAGACAGAGAGTGAGGATAGTGCGAAAATAAGAAACAACACAATACAACAAATTATACCAGTTAAGTGGAGGTGTACACAAACACACGTACGCAGGCACACACAAAAAACAGTTTCAGTGGATACAAATGTGGATAGTTGATGGAGTAATACAGTTTAAGTTTGCCATAGTGGTTTATTATGTTATCCATTACCATCCCCTAGGTAACTGGTCAGCCCATTGTCGTCATTCTACAGCAGGGCTGTCGAAATTTGGATTTTTTTAAGTCCACTTCAGAGGTCATATTTTACAAGGCAATCTAAGGACTTTCAACCTCCTTTCTTTCAGACATTCCTGAACCAATCCACACTAAAATCCAGAGGACCATCTCTGTGGAACCAACTACCTAACACTGTACAGTCAGCATCTTCATTATCATCATTCAAAAGGAAATTAAAGAGGTCATTACTGTGATAGTTTTAAGTAACTGATCTTGGACCAGTTGACTTATTTACTGTCACGTAATTTATACTTCTCTGTTATTGTGCATTTTCATTTTGTTACTTTTTTTCTTGATTTGTTTGTTTTTGGAAGCTAACCTGAACTGCTGCTACGTAGATTAATTGTTCTTGCATCACGGGGAGATACTTTGACAAGCTTTTCACAATGCTGTTTTAAATCTATCTTGAAATTTTTTATCTATTTGTCATATGCGAATGACTAAACTAAACTGAACTAAAAAAAAAAAACAGTAATCTACTGCACCTCTCCCTCGATATTAAAGCTCCTCACCTTTTCTCTAAGACTGATCCTGGACTCTCTGTGAAGGATTTTCATTCACCAAGTCACCGTAAAACACCATAAAACAGTTTTAAAGTACGACCTGAAAGTTTCTCCAACTAGGGCTGACACCGGTTAAATTTACTGTCAGTTATTGTTGTAGTTGTGGATTTTAGTCAGTACACATAGCAATTAACTATAAACTTAATTTTGTTATATAGCCTTGGTAGCTTCAGTAATAACTCTAATGTTTTTCTACTGAGCCTATCAATACTGAGCAGAGCTACATACAAGCAATGACTATCAATTCATATCAAAAGATGAGAGGGAAAAGTAAGAGACATTGATTCATTACCAGCTGTGCCGTGGATTTACTGAGCAAAGGAGAAGTTCTTCATGAAGCTGCCTAATGTGTGCATAATGAACATGAACAAGATCCTCAAACCACAAACTGAAACTTGAGCGTGTGCAGATCCAAAGGTAGAGAGTATTTATGTGGATCAGATGACTGTTGATGCCGAACAGTCAAACGAATGAAGTCTTTAAAATAACACTACTAAAGACAACAGGAGACAAAAGTCTGCAATTTATTCTGACTCAATAATATGTATTGATAAGGTGTAGGACTGCCATAACAGTGTTTTCCTTCCCCAGCATATTTAACGAGTGCCTTTAGTTGGTGACGACATTCTTTACACTCCCTCTCCCAGCCTAGAGCCCTGTAATTATCAGGATAGTGGTCAAGGCCCTCGCTTGACCCAGCTTCCTTCTGTGTGCCTCGTATTCTCGGGGCTCATTACAGCTTGTTGCTGAAGGCAGCGGTTGTGCTCTCCCACTCCTAACTCCTTGATTGGTGTCTCTCATTGCTAGCAAATTCTATCATGTAAGGTGGCTGCATGGTTCGTTTGCAGCCTAAGGACGGCCATGATCTCTGTCCTCCCTCCTTTGGCCTTGAACACCTGGGGAAGGGTCTGTTCAGGCACCCCTGCATAAACTGCAGCTACATGCCAAGGCTTAGAGAAGCCAGGAAACTGAGGAGCAGGGGCCGGCTGTTGGCTGCTTTTCCCGGAAACAGCCCAGTGCACCAGATCCATGGGTGATTTCCACCTTGATCCACATACTACTCAACTGACTCTCCTGTAAGACAGAAGGACGCCAAACTTCGCCCTGTCCTGTACCTGAGGGGCCTCAACAGGTTCTTGAAGGTTATACCGTTTCATATGATCAGTTCAGCATTAGGTTCTGCACGGACAGAAGTGAATGGTTTGTTTGCATTGACCTGAATGATACCTATTTTGATACCTATTTTCATGTTCCCATAGTTACTCACCACAGGCAATTCTTACATTTTGCCTTTCATGCTCACCACTTTCAATTCATGGTTCTTCCTTTTGGCCTCTCACTGTGGGTGTTCACTTGGTCACAGGAGGCTGCCTTAAACTTTAGGGCCCTGCTCTATTTGAGGGGCCACTAACATCATGAATCATGGAGAAGTAATGCTGAATGAGTCATGATTATGATACGTAGAATTCAAGAAATTGGTTCTTTTCTTTTTTATTCTGTCTTTTAAACTGCACACTACCTATATAGCAGCATGAACATCATTACTAATGCATGAGTCCATGATCATTAAAAACAAATGAGTCATGACGAGTCACACAGTTAATTAGTTAATGTAATGAGTCATCATAAAGTAATACCATTATTCATGTAAAATCAGGTAACTCATGCATAAATTTATGATCATTCGTGTAAGAAAAAGAGGAACTTTACTGATCCCCAGAGGGAAATTCAATTGTCTGTAGTCTCATTTGTCAAAGTCTTGTGTGCTCTTAACATAAAGCCTTACTGCTGTTATAATTAAAATCATGTGACTAACATCTTTAAATAAATTTGTCACATTTTTAAACTAAATAAAAAAAGATCATGTGTTATTAATGCATTGAAGTATTACTTGTTAAACAGCAGTATGATTGACATTATCAGCAAAGAATGGATGACAGCTCCTTACTCACTAGTATACTCACACTCACATGTGCGTTTGTACACAGGCTTGTCGTATTTGAACGTTGCATTACATGAATTCTATATTTCTTGACTATCTCACAGCTGTGTAACATCTCTGCTGCATTGCTTACTCTGTGGAAAGGCAACATAACTTTTAAATTGTTGGATATTTATCCAGTTTTAATGCTCTGGTCTAGTTGACTACTAAATCTGGTGTACACACTGATCCCACTTTTCCAGATGTACTTCAGGGGAAAAAATCTTAAACTTTGGTCAACCCTGTAGCTGAAGGCAGTTTGAGGAGATGACATAGACGTGGCTGCATGTATACATCCCTGACTTTAGCAGGTCCAAAGAGTGTAAACCTGCCAAAGCAGATAGATAGCCAGGTAGCAGGAGGAGACCTGGAGGGGGCCAAGTGGAACCTTTTTTTTCCACAGATTCTGATGATGGGGGGCCTTTTTCCACTCTCCCTCTGAGTTTGGACCATCTGCCCTCCTCAACCCCTCTGTCTTATGTCCCTACTCTCTAACCTGTCCTCTGCAGAGACAAACCTCCCACCATTTTTGTTTTGTTTTCGTTTGAGGAAACCAGATGACGCAGCGCATACACCACAGTTTGTAACACACAAATACACACAAGCACACAAACACACACGAGCACGTGGTGTAAACATTTCAGCAGGATGACATGAGGTAGTGTGAACAGAGCCTTTAAAAAAACAAACATACACCCAAGAGCGCACACTCCCACAGTACTGAGAAGGATGAGACACACACCTTGTTGTACAGTCAGAAAAGACACACACACACACACACACACACACACACACACACACTACTAGTTCAGCGGTGTCCGTCAGACTGAATGAGAAAAAACTCAGAATGAAGAGCTTAATCTACACCCTGCACAAGAACACAGGCAGATTTGTGTCAGTCTCTGAAGCAGTTACCATGCCGACACGCCTGTCACTCCTCCATAGAGCAAAGCAACAAGAGAGCGCTCTGTTACTACGGTAACCTGCAACTGGGAGCTCTACGATTGGCTGTCATGTGGCAGAGCAACGACGTGGAGAAAATGGAGAGGCAGAGAGCAAGGAGCTGAGGACTGTGCAGAGCTGATAGAATGTGAGAGCTACACACACACACACACACACACACACACACACGCACACACACACACACACACACACACACACGCATACACACTTTCGTGCACACGTACACATTTACAAGTTAATCCCTGCATAGTAAGAGAAGTGAGTGCTGAGGCCCCCAGTGAGCCGAGCAGCTACAACTAAGCAGCTTCACATCTCTCCCTTACACACACACGCACGCACACGCACACACTCCTGAAGCGGGTGTGTTTGGAGCAAGTGCCTTTATGGTTTTCTAGGTATGATCGGGACTGTGAGTGCAGTTGCTTAACATGGCAGCGCTCCTGTAGTGAGAGAGTAAAGACACTTTAGAATTAGCTCTTTAAAATTCTGCAGTATAATCTAAAGTTGAATATTTCACGCTGTTTGTTCTGGCTGCTAATGAAACCAAATTAATTTAACAATTACAAGAGAGACAAATGTGTCTGAGTTTAAGATTAATGAACCCTAAACTCATATATGTTGAGCATGCATCATCTTTTGTCATTGTTGTTGTGTCTGTCAGTCCGTTTGTCAAACTCAACCTCTTTCTTGTTTTTTTAACCAACAATGTTTTGTTCCTCGGTTAGTTTTATTCACACAATATCACGCAGATTAGAATTACTGACCGAGAGTGAACATGAGTAAACTGTCTGAATGGATGAAAGTTTAGGATATTCAATCTTTATTTAACCACATAAAACCCCCGAAGACCGCGATCTCTTTTATAGAGGTGACCTGGCCAAGAGGTCAGCAGCATACCTCATAATAAGAAACACAATTCAAAGACAGACTATGATACAGTATTTTCTTATTGGTTTAATGATTTATAATTCCTGAAAAAAATCCACTTTGCTTTACATGTAAACTTCTCTGCATATTCAGCAGGAATCTGTTCTGTTCACAGTGTAGGTGTGATTACGCATGTTAACAGTTCAACCATTAACAGCAGCTATGTATCAGTCTAATGAAGCTGTGTGTATGTGTGAGAGTCTAATTGTGTGTTTGTGTCTCTCACCTTGACTGCAAGTGTTCCAATTGCACCTGCAGGTTCTCAGTCTGCTCCACCTGCTCATCCAGGGATCTCTGCAGCTTCCTGGTCTGGTTGTGAGACTCATCCAACTAGACACAAAGACACACACACACACACACACACACACACACACACACACACACACACACACACACACACACACACACACACACACACACACACACACACACAGGAGTATTTGTTATAAGAAATCTCACAAATCCCTTTAAAGTTCTTTCACAGGTTGTTGAGCCTATTTGTCACATGAAAAGGTCTGATCCACCACAGCTGCATTATCACTGCTTTCACAGATCAAAAAACACCCTCACTGTGTGACACTACTCCTGCTTACATCTGTGGTGTGCAGTGTGTTTGGTGAACATCGTATTCATGATTATATTCATCACACGACTCACAGATAAACAGCTTTACACACAGAAAACTCAGGGGCTCTCAACAGTCTGAGAGACTATGGTCGTGTTCATACCTAAAGGTCCGTTTCCTGATTCGAATCCAAGGCAAGACTATACATTTGATTGTTTAACTGGTCCGGTTTGCGTTCACAAAGGACAAACTCAATCGCTCCAGAAAACGGAACCGAAAGTCATATGACCACGAATAGGGATGCACGATATTTGTCGGACCGATAGAATATCGGCCGATTTGGGGGAAAATTACGTCATTTTTTATCGGTCCGATAGGTGCATTTTTCCGATAGAAAGATCCGATATATTATTGAAATTACGAGTAACGTTTGCAGGCGGAGTAGCCGCCCGTCGCACCTTACCCGCAGGTCCCAAGCCTGACCCCTGTCACTACCTGACAGATAATAAAATGTTTTCACCAGCATGGTCGTTTTTCTCAGTGGCAGAAGATGACAACAGCTGCTATATGCAAAACCTGTTCAGCGAGGATTCCGAGAGGCGGAATGAAGACGTCAAGTTTTAACACAACAAATCTGATAGCTCATCTGAAAAGTCGCCATCGCGGCGGAGCGGTAGTAAAAGAATATGAGACAGCCGCCGAAGCTGCTAGCGCTACTAAAGCTAAGACAACAACACTACGGAGGATCGATGTCCCCATTCAGCAGGCGTTTGAAAACTGCAAAAGCTTCTCAAGAGACAGCGAAAAGGCTAAAGCCATTAACGACAAAGTGATGGAGTTCATAGCGGTCGACGACCAGCCTTTTTCCGTCGTTGAGAACCCGGGTTTTCTTAAGTTCATAGCACACTTGGAGCCACGTTACACTCTCCCAAGCCGCCGCTTCTTCTCGGATGTGTCCCTTCCTGCACTCTATGATATTGTCGCCACATACATTCACAACCTGATCGACAAGAACGGACTGCACGTGAGTTTTACCACAGACATATGGACGTCAGATGTTAGTCCGGTCAGCAGGCTAAGCCTAACGGCTCATAATGGCTCCTTTACAGTTTACAGTTCTGTTGAACAGTTCAGGGGATGCACTGTTTTGGTCAAATGAAGTTCTGCTTTTTGCTCTGTTATTGTTATTTATAGCTAATGACCACATATTTTTGTGATGACATGGAAAAAATAAACATTTGAAGAGCCAAAAACTTTTGTTTGTTGTTCTAGATAGGCCAGATTAACAAAAATATCAGTTTTCAATCACTGCATCCTGCACAAACTGCAGATTATATGAAGATTATAATAAATGTAAAAATATGAATTTATCGGTTATCGGTATCGGTATCGGCCATGAGAAGAAGAAAATTATCGGTTATCGGTATCGGTTGAAATTTTTCATATCGTGCATCACTAACCACGAATATCGTTCGGTTATTGGTCATTCGTTTATGCGGGAATACAAACCCTGCTCTGCTGTCTTCACCTGTCATGGAGCATCATAGGCTGATTTTGCTTTTGCTACTTATCTGGAGTGCGTATCAAAAGACACCAGAGAGCGCGAACTGCGGCATTAATTAATACATTCTGCAGTAGACGTCCTGCAAACAACAGACGGATAAAGGCGAGATGGCGACAAGCATTAATGAGAGCCTACCACGATGCGTTTTCTCTCTGGTGTCAATCGGGACAAGTGAGGTGAGCGGACAACATTTATCTCACAACCAGCATTACAAATAGCCTAGATGTATTGTTTTTAATATTGTTTTTAATATTTAAAATGATGTATGTGGTGCGTTTCTTGCGATTGGTGTGGATGACGTTCACGCCAGAAATGAACCGCTCCAGAGTTCACTTGATAGTGGTCCGAGACCACCTCTTCAGACGGACCAGAGTTCGTTTATTTGGTCCGCACCAGAGTTCGAAATCAGCATTCACACCGACCCAAATGAACCGCACCAAGGGGGTAAACGCTCCAGGGTTCGGTTCAACCGGACTAAACGAGGGTGGTGTGAACGCGCCCTCAATCATCAGAAAACCACAGACATGGTGAAAACAGTGGGCTGGGTTTATTTACTCTTGTCTCATCATTGACCCGGCGTCTTCAGGGAGTTGTAAGTCAGAAGGTTTTGATGAGGGCAGAGGTTCAACAGTGTTCTTATGACACTCCATGTACTTGGTGGTCCTACCTCGTCCTCAGCCTGTCCTAGTTCTTTCTTGAGCTCCTCCACCCTCAGTCGTAGCTTCTTGACCTCAGCTTCGTGGCCCTCCACCCGCCGGTTGGCGTGGGCCAGCTCTGCTGTCTTTTCCTGAAGCTGCTTTTTCAGTTTGGAGTGAATGTGGCGAAGGTCAGCCAGCTCCTAAGGACGAAGCAGACAGACGGACACATTATTTTCAGCACACAGAGTTCATTTTTGTCCACTTCTTTCTCTGTCTTATATTGTGGTTACAGACGTCTGACAAATCATGTAAATATGCAGAACAAATACCTTACACTTGTCCAGATGATGTTCATCGATAATGAAAACAATCAGTATCCTCCTACACCTCCCAATGTGTTAAAAAGCTATTGTTTGTCTATCAGGCTGATGTTTATGATGATTGTGAGCAGGCCAACCGAAAGCTCTGCTCCAGCAGTTTGTGTTGGTGTTAGCCGAGGAGAGTCTGCGCTCCAAGCTAATGGTATCATCAATAATGCATTGTTGTCACTCACAGCACTTTTACGTGCTTTGATGGAGATTCAGCCTCCCTCCCTGCTGTCTCACACCTAATGGCTCCCCAGACAGAGCAGCTTCCAAGAAGCTTTCTGGACTTATACAATGGAGACAAATAAAAAAATCTACTGGAACAATAAAAGCCGAGCCCCAGTCCAGGAGTGGGAAAAGCTCTTTATGCTGCTTCTGGTTTATAGCTGTGTTTGACCAGCCTTAATGTATTCTTTACACTATCAGTCTGACTGATGTCTCACAGAGCTTTCGGAGATTTACTGATTCAGCCTCACTCACTGAGAACATCACATGCACTCGTGTAAACTTGCTTTTGCTATCAGAGGAGAAGCTGGTGCTTCATTTTTGTCCAAATCCTTCTACATTCCTGTGGAGGACGTACATGGATCCCCCTCCCCCTCAGCAAATACCTTCCTGATAATCAGGGAATTTCTCAAATATTAGTGTAACCCCAGAGCCAGATCAAACAAAGACAGCAGCAGGGGAATGCAGACTGGAATAATTAAAAACCAGGGGGGTGGGGTCTCATGATGGAGTCAGCGGTGAAGGAATGAGGGTACAAATAAGGGTTGGGGGTGGGAGTAATTGGAGGGGTGGTATTTCATGGGCCAATAAAGGTGAAGCATAAGAACAAAGAAAATTAAAAGAGTGCAGCCTGTAAATGAGACACATGACAAGAATGAGGACAAAGAAGACATTTATGAGTCAGTGATGACCTTTGACAGAGACGAGATCACTTACATCATAAACTATATATATATATGTGTGTGTATGTGTGTTTTTGTGAGATTATTGCAATAAGAACAACATACCAAACAGAGGTGGTGTGTTTACACATACATAATTGAGAGTTAACATTTGCCCTTTTAAAACCTGTGTCTTAAGGTCTGTTTTTCTCTAACCAAACACTTCTTTTAGATTTTCAACATGTGGAGAAAATCTGACACGAGGCCTGTATGTGACGTGACTCTCCTTGTTGATGAAGACTCTTCTGTGTTTTTATCAAATGCTCATATTACTGTATGAATAAATGAATGATTCATTGTGAAAGCCCAAAGCTGAATTTAATGATCAGGAATGATGAGGAGTCAAGTGCAGGTTCATCATCGGGGGGGAATATCTTTTTTTGCAATATTTTATATTATAACAAAGTAAAACCTATATGGAACAGGATTGGGGCCACTGAAAAAAGAAAAAAAAAGCCAGAAATATATATTTTTTAAATATTAAGGTCCTTTCACACTGGGACCATTTTTGTCGTGCGATTACAAGTGTTCACATCAACAATGTTTTCCCATCCTGCGATATTGCAGCATTTTTTTTTTTGGATCATGGTCGATTTTTCTAAAGTTTTGCATACTGTGTGTCCACTTCTGACCAATCGGATTGCGTGTTGTTGCGACATGTGATTCACTGGTATATCCAACATGGCTGACCGGCTGATTGTTTATATGTCCGAGAACAGAGTGCTTTTTGATAAAAGACACAAACATTACAAAGATAACGACCTGAAGGACAACTTGTGGAGAGTCATAGCATCGGATTTCTCATATTGACGATAGTTTGTGTGCTTTAACAGTTTGCTAAACGACTTTGTTTTAACTTTCATCTGTGCTAAGTAACTTAAGCTCGTAAGCTAACCTGTTCAGATACAACATACCATATGTATTTTCACTGTCTCAAACTCAAGCATGTTGCTGTCACAGCACCATTAGGTCTCGGTTGTTTCCTTACGTTTATGGATTATAGTTTCATGTGCTTATCTGGTACTGGCCCGACTCAGTACATGCTATCATGACAGACAGACATCTCAACACTAGTGTCTAATCAGAACTGAAAACAGTCAGTCTGGTGTGACACAACAGCATTTTTGTGATAAAATATGATTCATTCATTGAACTGGATATAAGATGTAGTTTAACATAATGAACAGTTTTAATGTGTTTCCTCCTGACAGCTCCATCAGCACAGTGACCCCCCTCTTCATTAAAGTTTGACTGATGAGACTCAAAGGACTTGTGTGACTCCTGATCCACAGAGGTGTGGGAGGAAAGTGAGCGTGAGCACAGAAAACACAGTGACATACTCCATGTCATCCAAATCAATAGTCAATTACAATACAACTTAAATATGATTAAAGAACAACTCTGGTCAAATATTTTCTTTCAGTGAAATCAATATGCTCCAGCGCAGAGAGCGAAAACCAAAGACAAACGCCTGATAAATGCGTACGGTTTCCACACTTCACAGCTCACATGCAGGCCAGACGCCTCAGTATTCTCCATTATGTTATCAGTTTGTGACTACGGGAAGACCGTCTGAGAGGGGAGAAGTGAATGGGGGAGGGGTCAGCTGGAAGTCTCCTCTTCTATTAAACATGAGGGTCTATTGAAAGATCCAAGAGCAAGAATATGTGAATGTGTGTGATTGTGTTTGTGTGTTTCTTCTGCCTGTTAATACGTGGTTTATGTGTTTGTGGTGTTTATATGTTCACCTACAGAAGCACTGTTATTGGTGTGTATGTGTGTTTGTTTCTGTACTTGTGTCTGTGCCAAACTGCCTGTTAAATGTTTCTCCTTGACTGGAGAGACCCCAAAGTCTGCTGCTACATCTGTTCCCCCCAAACAAAGACACACTCCCACAGACACACACTCCCACAGTAAATCACAGGCCTTTGCTCTGAAATATAAATCCACATTTTTCACCCTAAAATGTTGATGTTAAAGGAAAACAAATATAACTGTACATGTAACCGCACTACCAAGGAGCTGCTCACAGTACAGACATGCAGAAGAATCACTGAAATCTTCCCTTCCCCCTCTGCTGCACTGAATTTAGCATTAATTTGGACTGAACATTTCTCTCTCCCATGTATACAATGACGCACACTCGTACACACTCACACACAGGGGAAGGCAAATTTAGGCTTATAATCAGGGCTGCCCAAGAGCGGCTGGATGGAGGAGGTCTTGCGGGCATTTCTCCGACCAGAACAAATCAGCAGAGAAAAAAGCAACTAAAGTAAAGGTAATGATAAGAGAAAAGGATGACGACATTGTCCTAAATAAAGTTCCAGAAAATCTAAAATAAAACAAAGATGAACAACGGAGCAGCACACAGATCAAGACAATGACTTTGTCTATATCAGACAACATGACGAAGCTTTTATTACTGATGCTGACTGTGATTGTCCCTGACACCTGCCTGACATTCTCCTGCTGACACCAGTATCTTCATTTTCCCAGTACTGCTCCCTCATCCTAGCAGGCTGGATGAACAGTCTGCTACAGGCACTGTAAGCCAGTGTAACAGAGAAGATCACGGTCGAAAACTAGTTTAAAACCCTGGTGTTACAGCATTTTGTGGGGTCATTACATCCTTTATTGAGCTCCTCAAAACCTGTAAAGATCCCCATCAGCCAAATTAGACTGGTAGATAACTTGTAGTCCAAAGTGCATACCAGTAAGTCTCTGGTAGCCCATAGAAGTGTTTAATATTATCAGCCAATAAATGTGTGCAAAAATAAAGAATAGAAGGTCAGCTGATACCAAAGGTAGGATGAACTCCAGCTGAAGCAGGATCTCCACACTGAGATACCCTGGCTTTGACACATGCGTTACAGGATCACAGCTAAATCTGTCTGAGAACATGGATTCTTGGTTAACGCTTTACCGATATGTGAAAAGGATAGAAAAAGCGGAATTCACTTTGGATGGTGGCATCAGGCAGACAAAGACCTTATTAAGGCTTATTTATGCTCGCCATACATATGAAAACATACGCGTCAGTTTCAAACGATGGTTCCGCCACTGCCTGCATACTTCCATGCGTCCTTTACGTTGGCATAGATGTTAACCATAACATCCACCAGGGAGCAGGCTGGAGTCAAACGTTTCTGACAATGACAAACAAAAAGAAACATGGCAGCGTTGGAGGAGGCGGTGGTCGGAAAGGACGCAAAATATCATGTGGTTGGAGGACAGAGAATTCTTTTATTTAGTTTTCACACAACCTTTCCTCAAAAAGCCCCGCCATTGTCTTCTTCTTTTCTCTATAGAGATTTGTATTGGGTAGTGACAGCAGCAACACTGCCCCCATGGTTTCCAGTGGTACTGCTTCATCTGGCCCGTATCCGTGAACTTCAAGGATACGTTCAGAAATATAGACAGAAATGTATCCGTATGTAACGTTTAATTTGAAAATGTTGGATGAGAGTTTATCAGAGTGAGAAAAAGAGAGCACCACTTCCTGTTTCTGTTCATTCTACTTTGACCTTTGACATCCTAACGCTTTCTTAAACTTTTTACTTTCTTCATCTCACTCATCCTCCCTCCTCTGAGGAGTTATGAGAATGAGAGTGTGTGTACCTCCTGCTAACCGTAGCATTAAATAAACCTGAGAGCTTCATAAATAACCCTGAGGGACGGCTGTTAATAGAGGCCTCTTATATGGACCAACACTTACACAGGTTTTCTGTCAGGATGCTTGCTGTTCTGGCTTTCTCTCCTGAGTGGTTGCTAATAGGACCATTTAAAGAGATAATCACAAACACATTTAAACACACACACACACACACACACACACACACACACACACACACACACACACACACACACACACACACACACACAACACACACACACAGAAGATTGCACATCCCTGTTTGAGGAGAGATCCTTATGGTGACATCATGTCAGAGCAGCTAACCCTGATTTTCCCAAAACAACAAGAGTTAGACATCAAAACAGCTGTTACAGATGTAAAACCTTCACCTGTTACTGCTACTTATCTCCATCAAGTACAAACGTTCAGCATGAAATATGTCTGCAGTACTTTCAACCACTATAACCCACCAAAAATCAGATCTCAAAGTTTGCTCATAAGTTTCATTTGTTTGTTTCTTTCAGAGCTTCATTAAAAAAACACTGATGGATGTTAAGAAAGGTCATTTTGGTTTCACTCTAACCATTCAGATGTTATTTATTTTCATCTGATCTTTACAGCTCTGGGCTTGTTTGCAACTGTCATGATTACAATATTTGTCCAGACTCCACCTGTTAACCATGAGGGGAAAAAAGAGCTGAAACAAAGTTCAGGACCCTTAAATGGTAGCTGACTTCCCACCTTCGTCAAATGATGCATCCCGAATTTCACATGTTGGAAAGGATGTGAAAAAACAACACGGGTCATTTAAAAGAAACATGGGAAAGAGAGCTTAACATTAGGGTTTCAGATGATGCTTGGAAGAGTGTGACAACAAGTAATTCAACGCCTGATATCAGACAGGACCAAAGACTGTATATACTATGGATGACTTGGTTCCACCTTCCGTCATTATACGAATTTGAGGCCAAATTGCTCTCTGCATTTCCTGGATTTTCTCCACTTCCTAGAACCACCACTTTCGCAGTAGCATTGTACGCATTCAGCGGAAGAGTCGCTGTAATGACACTCGGCTCAAACAGTGTATCCCCCGGGTGAGCTACGTAAACTTCATACGCCCATAGGATGTATCAGGTGTCAATCATAGAAAACATGAATCCCCTAATAACTTTTAAAAATTCAGCTGCACAGAAAAAAGAGGACTTGAGCACAAACCAGTCTTACAGTAACTACATGTCAACATCAAAACCAGGGGGGAAAAATTTTTATATTCTGTGTAATACATTTCTAAAGTTTGTCTACAGCTTCATAGGGATTGCTGGAGGAGGCGGGATGTAAGACCTATACTGCAGCCTGTCACCAGAGGGTGCTGTTCTTGTGGTGGCTTCACCCAGTGAGGAGGCAGATGGCATCCATTCTGTATACAGTCTATGGTCAGGACCCACATTAATGTTGTAGACCTGAGAGATGTGTATTTAAGCTTTTCACCACTGTTAATGTACAAATGTGTTTGGTCTGTAGATACTGAGCTCTCGTCAGCTGTTTTGAGTGTGTTTGTGAGCTGAATGTTAAGTTTGCCTTTTTTTGTGCCTTTTAAATATTCAAAACACATACATTTAAAAAAACAACAACATTAGTTTAATTATGGAGCAGTCCTGAGGCCCCAAAACAGTAAAACACCATAAATACTGAGTGTGTTTGACAAGAAGGACGCAGAGATCTTCTAATAAGATTTTAAAAGTCCCCCTTACACACACACACACACACACAGCCTGGAGGAGTAAAGTGAGAAACAGAGCCCAATGATGATTCAACTATCAATCACCTTATGAGTGTGTTTCTGTGTGTGTTTGTGTGTCTGGATCAATACTGTAGCTTCAACACGGTACACAAAAACAATAAATCTCTCCCTCTGCTGTTTTCAAACACGCTCATAAAGAAAAGCTGCAGTTTTTGTTTCTTTTTCTTTAACACTGTAGTTTTTAAACCTAAATAAAGGACTGACCACTAAAGAAGTGGACGTCTTAAATGTACCACACCTTCTATGGACTTTGTAAACGGTTGTTCAGCTCACCTTGTTCCTCTCAAACAGCTCTGTCTGGATCGCCTTGAGGTCTGTGTCAAGTGCGGAGGCCGCCTGCCGACGTTTTTTGGCCAGTTGCTCCTCCAGGTCCTCAGCCTGAGCCCTCAGCTTCTTGTTGTCTCGCTCCAGGGCCAGTTTTTCTGTTTCCAAACGCTCCCTGCGCCCCCACTCTGCAGCGTTCTCCACCTGCAGCCTCTCCATCTGACAGAGACACAGACAACATGATGGTTAATGAAGGGAAAACACTGAAAGTACCTTTAGTGGACTGATGATGTGACCACACAGGTCCTCTCATCAGTGATTTCAGCAAAGCTAATACCTGTTCCTGACATTTGGAAATACTGTACGACAGATAACTGAATGATCCTGAGGCAACCACAAGGTGGCAGTGTAATCTGGATTTTTGAGTGTTAAACTGAAGAAGGTGGGAGAGTGTGTAATGATTTTTTCTAAAGTATCAATAATGGATCAAACTGACTCTCAAATCTACAAAAGAGGATTAGCGCCACATGAAGAGAGAAAAAATAATTACAGGAAGGAGATTAAGGGCAAAATTTCGAGATTAAAGTCGAAAGTTCAAGAATAAAGTCGAAAGTTCAAGAATAAAGTCGAAATTTCAAGATCACAAGATGTTGAAATGATGTGAGTAATGTTGAAATTTTGAGATGATTAGAAAAATTAAAATTTCGAGATCAAAGTCGACATGAAAAAAGTTGAAATTTCAACTTTTTAAAATTTCAACTTTAATCTCGAAATGGAAATTAAAAAAAATCCTTCTCCTGTAATTATTCATTCCTCTTCTTGTGGCCCTAATCCTCTTTGAAACACGACAATGCAGCAAAGAACCTGATGGGCTGACTTTTGTCCATCCTTCTCTCCTTTACCTCACACTCCTGCTCCTCCTCTTCCTCCTCCTCCCTGCTGCTGCTTTAAAGTGATCCACCCGCCTAACCTCTCCTTACCTCTGCTCGCAGCTCTGCTAGTTTCTTGTCCATACTGGTCCGGGCTCCCAGTTCATCCTCCAAGTCTTCAGATATGCGACCAAGTTCATCCTGGTGAATTTCCTTCAGCAGGTTCAGCTGGAAGGTGTTAGGGTGAGAGAAACCGGACAAAAGGTGAAGTGGGTGAGGGTGATATCCTGCTCTTTAGTGTTCATATAGTATGACTGTTATTCAAAAACTAAAGTATGTTTTTAGCTTTTTAAAATTCATTTGCACAAACACAAATAATCACTCCTATATCCTTCTGGACCACAGTTTATATTCTGACTGATTTCAATCTGAAGCAGTGGAACCACTTCAGTGTCTGCTCATGAATTACACATCATTCAAACTTTTGTCACTGCTCATTATTTTTGTTAAAGGGAGTTTTTGCCCCTCTTCATTTTAAAAATTGTCCCTTTGTGCAGTCAAACGCTTCTGTGATGTTGAAGTATGTGGAACCAAAATCATGTAGAAAAGCTCTGTCATCTTTTTTCATCCCTCCATAATCTTATCTGATCCACCTCACCCATCCCTGCTGCCATCTTTATTTCTTCTTCCTCCTTATCTTCAAAACACACATCATCACTATCTGCACAGATCTTGTATCTTCTGACCTATCCCTCTTTCTACTCCTCTCTATGATGTATCTATCCGAATTGGTCATCCATTGAGCTCCTCCATGAGAGCTGTGCTCATTGGCTCATTATATGAACCCAGTCCCTCCTCTCTGCAGACCTGGACTGCCCCCCTGTGGCGTAACACTGCCAAAACATGAGACAGGTTCTTCCCTTTATGGACCATGAAAACTAAAATACACTCAATGTTAACAGTGCATAGAGATAATATGATGGTCTAATCCTGACATTCATTTGAAGGAGATTATCACTCCAAAGAGAAGAGCGGGGACAGTGGTCCGGTGAAATCTCCAAATCTCCAAACAGGAGCTCGACTTCACTGTACATGTAAACATACACAGTGTCAATACTAACTGCCCTAGACAAGAAAGTCTGGCTTCTGATTGGACTTGGACAGGTCAGGTGATTATAGGTAAAGCTTCTGATTGGTCAGTAGAACAAAATAAAGATAGCAGTCTCTGCACTTCTGTTATCTTAAAGGACAGCTGTGGCTCAGTGGTAGAGTCCATCATCCTGCTGTGGACTGTACAAACCTGAGGGATCTCTGCTGTGATGGGTAAGCTGAAAAATATGTTCAGAAGAGTGACGTCAACTCTGCGGGTCCTCAAGATTTAATACTATAGTAACTATAGTTTGAATCCACGTGGTCGAAGTACTTAAATGTGCATTTAACTCTACACAGTATCTGCTTCCAGGTCCAGACACAGTTCAGGTTGACATTATTATTACTTAAGAAAGATGTTTCATATCCCTGAGTCCAATAAAGACCAGGTGACAGACCCAAATCAGGACACCCTGCTGATGAATGAAAAGCATGTGTCTTCAGCATTGGTAACATGTGGCCTCTAACTAAAGGCAGAGACAGATGTTGTGGTCAGAGGTGGAAGTTCCTGCAGTTGTTTTGAAGGAAGATTTTTGTGGAAGTAGACAATTTAAATGTGCCTCTGCATGTTCCTTTCCATACAACTTTGTTAAAACATTATTATTATAGCATTTGGAATACATTTTAGATCTCTGAAAGCATTACAGTAATTTCATTTTCACTTCACTCATCCTGTCTTCATGTCATCATTACATCATCATCACCTTTAAGCCTGATTTATGTCACCCAGGAACACACACACAGGTCTTGAAAGTAAGTCTGGTCAGATAGTATTTAACACCCCTCATGTGAACTTGTGTCTCCACCATGAATGAAACTAACCTCAACAGCCACAGAACTGGACCAGAAGGAGTCTTTCTTTTCCTTCCTCACCCTTTTATCTTAGATGCATGCTGGATGTTTTAAACAGCACTCCAAAATATTGACTTCATGGATGTCATATCTCACCTGTTTGAGGGCTTCCTGTTTACTCTTGTTGAGCTCCTCATATTTAAACTTCCACTGACTGAGTTCAGCCTCCAGTCTCTCGATGCTCTTACTCAGAGCCAGCTTGTCTCTGGAGAAAACACAATGAAAGGACAACATTTCAGCACTTGATCACACTGTTTCAGTAACCTAGTTAGGTTTAGATTCAGGGAGCTAAAGACTCTCAGATAGATGTTATAATCTTCACATTTCCACATTCTTACATCACTTCACAGGACTGTAAGCCCCCACCACTAAGCTTGTTTCTATACAAAATAACGGCTCATAAATGTTTATAGCTTTGCGTAAGTAAGAAGATATTCATCATGAGAGCGTCTTCTCCTTGGTGGCCACCAGGGCTGTCCTAGTCAACAAGTCGACTTATTGGTCGATACTTGCTAAGTCGACCAAAGTTCTGATTGGTCGACTCGATTTTTTTCTGTGTCAATTTACAGTTTGTGTTTAATTTCATCAGGAGGAACGTACCAAGTGCTAATGGGGGTGTTTTCAGAACACCCCCGGTTCACAGGTAACAGTCTTTCTCAGAACACCCCCTTTGTTTTCATCATTTGAGATTCTCCCAACCCACTGGAGAACGGAAGATTGAAGACCATCCAAGTTAGTCAACATCCAGTGGTCTGCTGAATTTTTTATTTTTTTGTTGAGCGTTTCAACTTTCATGCGAGTCCTGATATTTTATCGATGAGAAGGTGAGCAGGGGAGCATATATCACCGAAAATCACTTACTTTTTCCATTTCCAAAAACTGTTCCTTTAAAACTGATTTAAAACCATCATCCCCTCTGATTAAAGACCTGCATATTTGTCTGGGTCTACATTTCACTCATGGCTGAAAGTTGAAGTCGGTACGTAGAGTGGGCCAGATTGTTCCAGAGTTCTGAATCTAAGCCCTCGTGGTAGAGGGAATTCTGAGTATGTGGCATGATGCTTACTTGTCTGTTTTTACCGAAAAATAATCAAATATTAATGTGACCTTTCAAGTATCTACAGCGTTGGAGGAGGAAAATCAGCAGTAATATTGGCCTCCCTCCAAAAGGGCACAAAGAGGACACAGCAGAGCCAGAGGATGACGCAGGTCTGAATTTATTGACCTTGTTAACTAGCTATCTCCTTCCTTTCCCTACAGCCACAGTTTTCTCATCAGTCTGTCTCTGCTGTGGGGTGAAGGTCACTCAAGTCTCAAGTAATTGTGGAGTCCTTCAGTGGAGGTCTGATGACCTCTTTGAACCACATACCAGAGCCTCTATAAATAACACATAAATCCTGATGGACCAACTTCCTGGTGTAGTAACTGCTGCTCCATCGGCTGATTTATGGTTGGCTCTTTACACTATATCCTCGTTTTGTTCACATTATATTTTGACACAGGCACAACCTGTCTGTGATATTTCACTTTACGTCCAATTCTGCATTATTTCATGATCTATTCTTCTGTTTCCTCTGCTCACAGACTGGATTTGCTCTGTCTTGTATTTAAATTTGATTTTCTTCTGCTTCTGTAGCCTTGATATATATATATATGTCACTGGTACAGATCTGGAAGAGCGTCGTGGGATGATGCCTGAGGTCTAGAAATTTCATTTCCTCGCTCTGCTTCAATTGAAGTGTTTTGTACATCACCATAAAACCCCTCCTACCTAACTCATGCCACAGCTTGTACGGTGGAGTGCATTTCTGTCTCTCTTACTCTCTCTCTTTCAGGAGGACTTTCTGGGACTCGTCCAGGCGGAGCTGTAGAGCGTTGAGTCTGCTGGAATCTTCTTCTACTGTGCTGAAGTCCTCCCACAGCTGTCTGCTGCGTTCCTGCCGGCTCAGAGCAGAGGATGAACGTGAGCTGGGCAGGTTCACACCACCACGGTTTTCCCAGGCCTCCTGAGGGTCTCCTTCAGGGGTCCTGGAATGTAGGACGGTCTCTATGGCCTCCAGGTCCTATCACAGACAGAGGGGGGGGATACATGTGAGTGGATTAAAGGGACATTTACACCAGAGTGTTTCTGATTAAAGCTCTGTCGAGACAACAACAAACTGTCACAAAGAGAAACTGGTTGGAAAAGCTGTTAATAGGTTCTAGATAGGGCTGGGCGATATAGGAAAAAGTTTGTCATGATATATTTTTTTCATATCAGTTGATATCGATCTACATCACAATATATAAAAAATCACTTGTCAAGCTGAAAGGTTCCCTGTTACTCTTAAATAAAATTTAACAGTGCTTATTGGTAGCATGTCTTTTGCAATACAATAAGCTACTGCATCTGTGAGGTTAGAGAAAGCAGACTGAGTGGTCGGCTGTTTCAGCTGCACAGGCGCCATGAGCTCCTTGCTCCACTCGGGGTTTGTAACCTTTTGCATTGTGTGTGCTCTGCCGCGTGGCACTGCTTAAGGTGGTGAAAAAGATTAAAGGTATTCCTCAACTTTGCGAGTACATGTACTCGACATAATTTGCAGTGCACTTTACTCTGCTTCATGTCCGACTGGAATAAAAAACAACAAAATACCTCCACACCACCAACGTTTTCGTGCCAGTGTTGTCAACGATGTCATCATCTGTTGAGCTTTCATCATCATTTCTGTCGGGGGTAGCACTCATTTTCTTTTTTCTCACAGACAGTGCTGTCAGCTCTATGTGTTACAGTGCTATGGTTGCGTGTAGCTGCAGCCTGCTACTAAGCAGTTGTTTGCTACTTGGTTCTAATTCAGCACATGATTGGTTCAGCGCAAAACGGACCCAGGAGCAACTCCACTTTTCATTGGCTATTCGTATAGTCTACCAAAACATGGCAGAATGCCGACTATTGAAAAGCATATTGACCATGCTTCAAATCGATGATGAGGGAAATTAGTTTTCGATAAATATCCTTATCGTTTTATCGCCCAGCCCTAGTTCTAGATAAAAGAGGAACTGTGTCTACGACCTCTTATATACACACATGCTCCTGGAGAATGGTTATTTTTTTATAGTCAAAATGGTTAATTGCAGGAAGTCCAGAGAATGAAAGAGAGTTACTTTGGTTTGATCCAGATATATATGCCCTGTACCTGTGGTTCTGTAGAGTGAGGGACGACAGGAGACTCTGTGGGTACAGTTTCACTCTTCAGGGTGGTCACAGGCAGAAATTGACTTCATGACTTTGGAATAGTTTACTCTTCTAACATTCACAAACTTAAGTAAGCGGGGATAAAGACTTCTTTTAGTTTTCAGTCATCCACAGAAGCTTTGATCCCAATCCAGACCACAGACTACATGTGTTTTATGAACTCATACGGAGCTAAACGGTTGGAGAGGATTCCTCCTTGGCTTCGTTGGCATCCCTCTCTCTTTCCTCTCTCTCTCTGTCCTCACTGTCTTGCCCTCCGCCTGCTACTCCTCTCAAGGCTACAAACCAAATTCTTTCATACAGAGCTCAGCTTTCTGCCAACACGCTGTCACAGCAGAGCCCTGAAACGATCAGGTAGATCTTTGTGACCAGAGATTGTTACTCCTCATTAAATTTAATGGCCTGAACAGAAATAAATTGAGAAAATTGAGCTTTTCCTCTTCTCAGTGTGGTAAATCTGTCTGCTTTGGCACTGCATCAGTGAAAGCCAAATGTTTTCCCCACACTATCATTGAAAGCCTCTGCCAGCTGTAATATGGGAGGTCTGTCTCCCATGGCCACCGTCACACTGTGTGGTGCTTTAAGATAATCATTACAGAGTCTTTGTGAGCTCATTGTGTAAATATCTTATTCTGTGACTGAGAGGAAAATCTCTTTAACCATGACAATATGTTGGACCGCATGAAATAGTTTGAATGAACAGAGTTTGTTTGGAGAATTTGTGAATCAATTTCTCATTCATTTTTCATAGTAAAACCAAAGATAAAAAAAAGCTGAAAACCCATTTTTGTATCAGTTTTCATTGCCAACCAAAAGCACAATAAGAGACAACAACAGAACTTGTTTTCCTTTAGATGAAAAATGGATGACAAGAACTCAAATCCAAAAGCTGCTGCAGTCATCATCATCATCATCATCGTCATGTTCTGGGTGTGTTAACTAAAATTACTAAAGAAAACTCATCAATTAAAGGTTAATGATGTGAGCTTTTAAGTAGTCCTCTGAGGTTAGGAACAACATCACGTCTATGTGAATTCATTTTACAAGCTTTTTCTTACACTTATTTGAACATGTGTTAAAGTTAACCTACAAACAGTGTTGTTCTTCGAACTCAAACAGACACTGTGGTTTCACAAAAACAACTGCCTGATGAACTGGATGTGGCACTCCCTCCTTAAAGCCTCATGATGCCTGACCGTGAACTGTCATCCTGCTGTGTTGAACTATGTCCAGGGGAAAAGGGCGCTGCTGTCATTACAGGTCATGCCCAACAGGGGGCCACGGTGTGTCACAGATGACAGTTCCAAAGACCGGCCTGTGGGACATGTGGAAGCACTCAGTGTGTGTGAGAACCAGAACAATGAAGAGAGACAGGAAATGAGGCTCTGCTGTGTTTGAGCACCAGGTCACCACAACTCCAAGACCAGAACCACTACGCCCACTGACACACATGTTATCAAGGTTCGATCTGATTACTGTACTCAGAGCACACTCAAGTGTGTGTGTGTGTGTGTGTGTGTGTGTGTGTGTGTGTGTGTGTGTGTGTGTATAAGTGAATCAAAATGTGTAACTATGGCAACACAGACTGAGCTGGCTGGAGGTGGAGTGTGATATACCACGACAGGGATCTCTCTTCACTGCTGCTCTGACTTCAACTCATCAGTGTTGGTCAGTTGGAAAGTCACTTCATTGATTGATTGATTACTGAAGTTTCTGAGTTTCTTTTTTCACTTCAAGATTATTTTTATGGGTGAAACTTATTACTTTGACTACATTGGAAAGACAAAAGTCACACTTTCATCTTCACTACATTTCTCTGAATGTTCATGTTACCTGTTTCTTTTGCTCTATAGAAAGCTGCTGAGGTTTCTTTAGCTGATTAATATTTATATATGAATGTACCATCCAACCTGAGTGAGCATGTCAAGGTATGTAGTTTAACATTAGTTTGATCCTAAGTGAACATTATAACCATTTTAGGTCTGTCACTGTAGTTTCTGTTTTCATTCCCTTTTCTCTGTCTGTAATTTAGGATATATCAGGTACTGACACTGTAGCAGAGAAGTGGAAGAAGCAAGAGGTGCTTAGGTTGATGTTTTCTCTTGTTCCCATTGTTTCAGAGCAGCAAACTAAATGTTTGTTAATGTGATGTAAAATGTTTTTTTGATTGCACTCTAGGGATGGGTGATAAATTATCGTTCACAATATATGGTCAGAAAAATCCTCCATGATAAATATTTGCCATCTCATAATTAATATGATAAAAGCAAGTTGATGACATAAGCAAAAGTATATACTGGAATTATAATATCTTTTATCAGGACTTTCATTGTAATCGCCAGAATGGCAAATCTTATCGTGATAATTTTTTTAGCCCATATCGCCCATCCCTACTGCAAAGGGAAAACACAACAACATAAAGATATACAACTTAAGTATTCTTAAAAAGCAAGTACTACAGTACTGTAACTCAGGTAATAACTGCCTGAGCATCTTAACTGGAGTAGTACTGGACCAGGAGGATTCATACTTTGACTCGAGTAATCAAGTAGTAGAAGGAGAAAATAGGGGTTGATCAAAGTGCTGTGGTATGGAAAACGTCCTCTTTTTCATAGTGAGGTAAAGGCTTTTATCAATGACGAGATAACTGCTGAGCCTCTTTGATGGATTAAAGTGTGTGTGTTCAGAGTCACATCTGTCCCATATCATTTGACAGTCTTCTGTTAGGGTGACCCTGTGAGGACTGAGTTTAAGTCCTCTATAAGTCTCTGACTGTGAGTGAAGGATGGTTGAGTTGTGTTTAGAGGAAAAACGGAGATTGAAACAGGGAGAGTGATATGGATGTGTTGACCCTATGAGCCCCTGTGGAAATAAGGTCCTTGACAGTGGCACATAAAAAATGAAATGATACAGACCTGAGCAGGGGGGCAGCACCCACCCTCGCCTGTTAGAGGACATAATAGGACAAAAACCACTTTGGGGGACTGGTGCCCCAAATACACTACAGAGCTCCTGACACACACTTCAGTCTCATTTCTCCACTTTCAAGGAAACTTTCATTTTTTACATCAACATGCAGACAACTGCTGCTGCCTCAAGTGTGTCCTCTTTGCAGAGGCAGATATGGTTTACATCCCATGACTTTACTATAATAAACACCCTCTCTCTTTATACGGTCAGAAGAAGGTCTATGATGGTCTGTATAGGACCCCCCTGACAGAGAAGAAGTACTGCGGCATTGGAAAGCCTTCAGGGACAAGAAGCAAGTGGGGACTCTGTGTGTGTGTGTAACTGGGGACGCACACTGCAAGTACATCTAAAATAGGACAACCCCCAAACACACACGCACAGGACAGAACAGCAGCCAGTCTGGCCTAGATTCACTGAGGCTCAGGTCACTCTGTCCATTAACCAGCTGAGAACACAAGCACACCGGTGTCAGAGAGACTGTCCCATCTATCAGGACGACATCACTGGAGGAGCAATTAAAAGTGAGGAGCAGGCCTGCAAAGAGAGACAGTGAGCTCCATTATCCTGCTGCAGCAGCAATAACAACCTGACGTGTAAATTTAAAAATGAGAAGTATTGAACAGTTTGTCTCAACGCTTTAATTTGATCTTCTTCTGTAGGAAAACTGCTCCTGTTAGTCACCACATGCTGTACTGATCAGGCCCTAATAACGTGATCCACTCTAGTCTGGCTGTCAGATCTCTTGCATTAGTAGAAATAACTGACACTGTGTGGACTATAATACTGGAAAACAATTCAAACTTTTGGACAGTTGTATTGACCGCATGTAAACATTACATCTTAACTAAGACAATTAGAGGAAATTCTCTGTCTGAATTAACACAATGGAATAAACAGTTTGCACTTTGTAAGAAGTACATAAAGCTTCTTGACTCCACAAGTTGAAGTGTTTTAATCTGCGGTCTGTCACACAGGTAGATGACTGCAATGAAGTGTATGAAAACCTTTCCTAACATGATTCCACCTTTCACCTGGTCTCTGACCACTGGAATCTTTATTTTTGGTTTCAGTATCTGAAATTCACTTCCTAGACTCAGTCCATGGTTAAAAAGACAACACAAAACAAAACAATGATGATGTTGGAAAGTTTAATATATAAAGAAGGTCACATTCTGCTGCTGGTTTAGTAATTCACAAAACACCTGTTTTAGGGTGACCATACGTCCTCTTTTACCCGGACATGTCCTCTTTTTTGGGGGGGCTGTCTGACCTTGTCCAGGAGAGTTTATAAAATCCTTCAAATATCCAGGGTTTTGTATGGAAGTTTTGAGTTTGTGCCGCATAGACTTACTGAGTTAGAGGCGTGTAAAAAAAAAACACTCGACCTGACCGGAAAAACTCTCAAAATTAACTAAGTAGGACTCCGTGACTCCACCCCGCGCAGTAGTGCCCTCTTTTTGGGGATTCTGAATATGGTCACCCTACCTGTTTTTTTTTTGTTTTTTTTTATGGAGCAATGGTAACTTGGTAATATTAACTCTTTAAAAAAAACTACTGAATTATTCTTTGATTTTAGGTTTCTGACTTTTACTTTAACTTCATGACATTACAAGAATTAACAGGGAACTTATCTGCTTTCATCCTATAAACCTTTGTTTTGCCTTTCCTGATGATATGGCAGAGATTTATGATTTTGGACTACTGAAGCAGCTTTAAATACAAACTAAGAGAGCTAAATCAGCTGGAGTAAAAACCTCATCAGTGAAGAAAAGGGAGGGTAAGACAAACATGTGGAGGGTTTAAACCTTTCACTCTCCCCTCTCCCCGGTTTAGCACCCTTTCCCACAGCCTCTCTTCACCTGTGACAGTGGTATCACAACAGCCAGACTGTTGCAGAAAAAAACAATCTAGTCTCTCCAGATTCTTCTAAAATCGAGGTCAAAGTTAGAGTTAGTACTGTAGACTCACCTTTGGTTGAGTAATCTTTTGTCTGTCCAGGTCCACGTCCCTAACTGGTTCTGGCTCTGGAGACCCTGGTGGTGCCTCTCCCATTCTGTCCAGTTTGCCATCAGCCTGGACCTGAGAGGAGGAGGAGGAAGCAGGGGAGGATGGAGGGATGGATGGAGAGGAGGTGGAAGAAGGATGTGCGGGCGAGGATGATGGAGAAGCAACAGGCAGAGGAGGAGCGGCGTCACCGCGGAGGTGCAGCGTCTCCTGTCGAAGTGTCTCGTTCTCTGAGACCAGTTCCTGCCGTTCCCGTCGAACACTGGTCAGTTCTTTGGTGAGGGTATCAAGCCGCTGCCTCAGCTGACGCACCTCATCACGTGCACGATTTCGCTCTGCTCGAACCTGGATATGACAGATTTTTAAAAAAGAGCAGAATTATTGGTGTTGCTCGAGAAACAAAAGAAAAACACGTCTACATGAAATGACAGACGTCTGTCTTTGTTCATGTTCAGTCCAAGTGTGTGGACTCTTAAGGTGTGTTTGGATGTTTTTTTTTTGTTGTTGTTGTTTTTTAATACACCCAAATCCATTGAAGCTCACCTTGCTCCACTTCTCTCTCCAGTTGGCGGTGCAGTCTGACCACCACCTCATGGTTTTCTCCATCTGAGCCGCTCGGGCCCGAGCCTCCTCCAGCTCCCTGAGCCTCAGCTCCTCTCTGCTCTCCCAGTCGGCCCCGGCTCCCTCACACATGGCTCCCAGAGACCCTAGTCCGAGGCCCCCTAAACCGGGTGACAACAGCAGCGGGGGGCTGGAGCTGGGGGTTCCTCCAGTAGGGCTGGGGGTGTGGGTTAGGCTGTCTGGTGAGCGAATCCCCCTGTCGGTCGCCAGACCAAGGCTGCACAGCAGGCCTCCTCCAGCTGACTTCCCACCTTCGGACAGATGGGGGCTTGGGGTGTGGTTCATGTCAGCGGCAGTGGTACGGGTGAGGACAGTGAAGAAGATGAGGGGGGTTGGGGGAGTTGCAGCTTAAGAGCAGGAATACTTAGGAAAAGATCATTTTCATCAGCCGTTGACCCGCCTGGAGACAGAAACAAGAAAACATGTCCCTCAGATTTCAGTAGAAAATGTGTGTCTGCGTCTCTTGGTGCAGAGACGTGGATTAAGAAATTTAAAGGTCATCAAAATATAGAGAAATTTAATTCCAGAAAACAAACAAAGCAAAGAAATCACTGACTTCAGCACTAAAGGGCCTCACGTAGGCCTGGACGATATAGAAAAAAGCATATCGATAAAAAATAAATCATATTGATCGATATCGATAATTATCGATATAATTATTATAATTATTTAACATATATTTTAATTGCAGCCCTGGATGTTTTATGCCTTTGCTTAATGACCTACTTTTAATAAAGAACACACAAGCACTGAATTCAAATTCAAACCTTTATTCAACCACTTTTTTTATTTTACCACAACTGAAAGTTTTTTAAAAAGGAACTAAAAAAAAAAAAATCAACTTAAGTGGCCTGAGTGACGTCAGTAAATACTGACAAACATAAAGACTAAAGTGACCAGAAAATCTGATAAATAAATATTTAAATAGTCTTTTGATGAAAATAAACAAAACAAACAAATATATAAATAAACAGAATAGCTTTAGGTGGGAATAGCATACTACCAGTTTTAACTGTGTCCGCACCCTTCTCACCTTTTCAACCCCTGACCCATTTTCATGCCTGAAGCGCTGTGTTTGAGAAATACTTGCGGCCGGGCACTTCATATCGCGGGTCGAGAGTGGCTAGAAGCTGGTCGAAGCCAGGCTTTTCAACGGTAGTTATTGGCAGTATGTCCCTCGCTATGGAGCATGTTACTGCATGGGTGATGTCCTTATGCCGCTCGGACGCTTTGTCGTATTTTGGCAAGAAATGAAGTCCAGTTTGGTCTGCTTCACTTGCTTTGTGCTGGTGCTGGCAGCGGTTCCGGAGGATTCCTCCGACGATGACGTGGAGCCGCGGCGCGGCCGACACAGCTCGTACTCCTGCGGGTTCGATCGGTTTAGATGGTAAAACAAGTTGGTTGTGTTACCAGACTTGGTTTTTACAAATTCTCTGCAAATTTTGCAAACGACCGCTGTTCGCTTTTTGTCAGACTTCTAAAAACCAAAACATTGCCATGCTGGTGAACTACTGAAACCTTTTTTCGGGGCAATTTCCTCCGCTTCTCCTTGCTGTAACATTATTTCTAATACACGTGCTGTCTGTTGTGGTTTGATAGGGGCTGGGCTTGGTGCCGTAGCGTACCTGGGTCTGCGTTTGTGATTGGTTGGGAGGAAGTAATGACTATAGTAAAAGCTATGATAGGCTATGATGAAAAAGAAAGGGAAACTGTGTTTTTCCATCGAACTTTTTATCGACCCGTTTTTTTTCTATCGCACCACACGTCTATCGATCGATATATATTGTTATCGAATTATCGTCCAGCACTAGCCTCACAAGAGGAAAAGTTTTCAGCCGCTATAAAACTAAAACACCAAAAGTAAGACTGACAGCTGGCACACAGGACCGACACTGAGACCAGTCCTGCTGCTCCATGAAAAACTGCTCAAAATAATAATAATAATATCTTGCATTTGTATAGTGCCTTTCAAGATACCCAAAGCGCTAAACAACACACTACAGTAAACATAACTAGATACCAAAAACCTGGATAAACAAGTGTAGCTTCAGAGCAGACTTGAAAGAGTCAAGAGTCTGTGCTTGGCGAATCTCAGAGGGGAGAGAAAAAGGCCAATACGACTCAGACAGACCAACACATGCAGACACAATGAATCACACACATGTCGGAGGACTTCAGAGCAGAGTTAACAGGAACTAATCCAGCACTCATCCCACATTTTCTCACCTTCCACTGACTCCACTTGACTCAAGACAACATCATTTCCAAGAATCTGTCCCTAGATCCTGAATTTTCCTCTCGTGGAGACCACCAGGCTTGAGAAATGAAGTCCAGTGTTCAAAGCTGCCGTTCAAGTGTCCACTGAGCCTTGGGCAGCACATACACATGATCCACTATAAAAACCCACTTTTAAAGCAGAAATCTGTAAGTTTACAGTCTGGGACAAAGTTTCGGTCTAAACACTCTGTCCTCAGGCTGAATGTGGATGTAGTCATGAAGGATGTCATGTGGGCTTCATTAGAGGCACAGCTGAGTGGACTCACAGATGTGCATGCCCGTCCTAACTCCACCTCTTTGCATTTTGCATGGTCAACATAAAGTTAGGTAAAACCAGCAGTTCTAACATGGGGACTGCTGGGCTTCAAAAGTCCTCCTCAGAAACCACTGAGTGATGTCACTGAGGCTACAGACATGTTTCCTCTCAATGCTGTCCCCATACCTATTAGCCTTGGGACTCCTGGTCTCTGTCATTGTGCTATAGGACTCTAAACTGACACCTTAATGCATCGATCACACAGACATTTAAAGAGAGACCAAAAACAGCAGCAAGGCTGTGCTGCTAAAAGACTTCAGCACCAGTATGAAGAAAACCAACTCTTAAAGCTCTTAAACCAACTCCGATGTAAAATTGAGTTACGGTCAAACACACCAGAACACTGAGTTAGAAACCCCCTCCAGAGATACATGTTGCCAACTGTCTGCTTCTCCATTTACACAAACTTCAGTAACGACCGCACGATAGCAATACTTAGCGGTCTACATCTCCATGTGCAAAGAGACCAAACACAACTCACCCACTCTCCTCCAGCAGCCACTTGTTTGTGGGGGAGCCCTGACGAGTTGATCACTGTGTGCAGGGGAGTTTCGCAGCTCAAGGAAGAACATTACTAAAGTTGATACAGCTAGAGAAGTAAGCAGTTGGTAACATTCATCTCTTAAGGGGGTGCCTAACTCAGTGTTGCAGTGTGTATGACCATATCTTAAATTTACGCCGGAATATCCCTTTAAATGTTAAAGTTTTAGTAATGATCCTGGCAGTATTAAATGAAGTGATTGACTGGTTGATAGGAGTGCATTGTTGTTAAAAGTCTGACATAATTTTACACAAAACAAAGTATCTACAAATGAAGATTAAAGGAAAACATTAGAGCAGGGATTTAGGAGGTCAAGCAGCCCAGAATGTTTGGTCCCCTAAACCAGGTCCCAGGGTCCTCAGGTGTTTCCTTTTTCAAAGCTGTGAGATACACCTGTCATTACTCCTAAATGTGCTCTCTCTCTCTCCTCACTGTTAAACTCTGTCACTGTAGGCTCAACAACAGAGTCTGCTTTGAAAAAAACATCCTTTAGTGAGGCCCTGCTCTGTCATCTGTTCATGTAGAGGCTACTTCAGGAAACAACGGGGTCAGGTAGGCAGACTTTCTTTAAGCTCCCAGCTGCAAATATTAAACCTGCATCATTTCCTTCCTCTTCTACCCAGGAGTGTTTCCCAGAGCTCCAGCGCTCCTCAGCACCCTCCTCCTCCACCTCCTGAGGGGAGCAGAGGAGGCAGCAGGGGGAGGGAAACAGGAAGGCACAGAGCTTTTCTTGGCCCACAGAGATTGAGGCCAACTATCACCAAAGCCTGGGAGGATTTTTTAAGCATATCTTAAAGCTAAACCAGCGCTGACAGTGGAGAGATAAGAGCTGTCCACAGACCTCTGAGGGGGGAATTTAGATGGTTTTTATCCTCATACTTCAGAGACAAACAAATACACATTATTCTCAAAAAAGGCCTAGTTACAAAATGCTCCTCAGAAAAATCACAACTAAAATGCACAACAGTCAATATTGGCTTATTAGTTATTCACCATTACCAACCTATATCTGTCTCTGAATCTTTATCAGATGGGGATCCTGATTAAATCAAAGAATTTTTATTCTTTGGACACTCAGGCTCTAAATCATCATATTCTTTAATTCTTAACTAAGTGACCTTTTCTGTGTCAAACACTGAGCGATAAAACTTGTCTGTGATAAGTGTTGGTGTGGTGCAGATTAAAGACACCTGAATCAAAAATTTCGACACGAAGAACAACGAGGAGTACAGCTGCTCACTGTTGTCTAACTGTTTCCCTGAGAGCTGCATTTTTAACTCAGATTTTGATCCGGACTCTCCTCTTCCTGTTCATTTTCCAGTCAAACAGGAAGGCAGCAGCTGGAACACGAGTAACCAGAAAACATCATTCTTTCAAAGAGAAACCATAACCCTGGGTCAGAGTGTGGAGAAAAAGACAGAAAATGAACGGATGATGGGATAGAAGCAGAGCTGACAGTTTACTACCACAGCAGGGAAGGTAAACCCAATCAAACCCACAACAAGTGTGTGAGGTAACAAAGATGTGAAAGAGAAATCACTGTTCATGTGCACTCTTTTCAAACCAGCTCAGAATAAACACATGAATAATGACGACATGCTGACAGTTCTGCTTTGGATTCACTCTGAAGTCTCAGGATGGACAGTAGATTTACACTGAACTGATGGATGTTTCTGCTTTTCAGAGTAAAAACAGTTTCTGCTCCCACCTCATCATCAGCATCAGTCAGGAAGTTCAACTTCAGCTGTCTACAAAAAAGTTTCAACATTCAGAAATATGTCATGATGAAAGTCTTCTAGAGGTAAATGGTTAAATAATAAATGAACTCTGTTTCTTTTTCTCTTTCTCTAGTCCTCTGACCACTTAAAGCTGTTTTACATCACATCACATTCACCCATTTACAACACATTCACTCACTGATGGCAGAGGCTGATATGTACAGAGTCCATCAGTTTTTACTAATTCTATTCATACACCACTGGGCATGGCCAGCGAGGTCAAGTGTCTCACCCAAGGACACTTCAGTATGTGGACAGCTCTAGGATCAAACCCCTGACCTTCCGATTGAGAGAATGACGATTCTGCCTCTGAGCCCCAGCCGCAGGTATAAACTGCACAGCCTCAGCATCACTCTGCTGATAGTTTCTGTCCCCAAAGAGAAGTACAAAGTACATCGATAAGTCTGCTGGCAAAACCGTGTGTGTCAGAGACTAGAGGTCCTTAAGGACAGAGGACCAAAGTTATACTTTAGTGTGAGCGCCTCTTGCCGAGCTACAGAGTGTCTCTTAATTTGGTAATCTGATTAAAAGTTTGTTTGTTCGCTCCTTTTCTCTAGTTCCTAAAACGCATATTTGTGCAGTAGTTTTTGGCGGAAGAGTTGCTGTGATGATGCTCTGCTCAAACTGCATACCCCCCAAATGATCTATGCAATCTTAGTACGCCCATATGCTGTATCAAGTGTCAATCATAGAAAACATCAACCCCCTAATAACTTTTAAAAATGGAGCTGCACAGAAAAAAGAAGACTTGAGCACAAACCAGTCTTACAATAACTACATGTCAACATCATAAACAAGGGGGAGAAAATTTAAAATACTATGTAATTAATTTCTAAAGTTTGTTCACAGCTCCATAGGGATTGCTGGAGGGGGCAAGGTTTATGACCTATACTGCAACCCGTCACCAGAGGGTGCTGTTCTCTCAGTGGCTTCACCCAGCGAGGAGGCAGATGGCGTCCATTCTATATCCAGTCTAGGAAGCACAAGAGCTCAACCTGCAGTGAGAACAAAAAAATAAAAGAGGATGACAAACTGTCAACAAGTTCAGCTTTGCTACAGGCAATGCAAGAACTTAACTGCCGCCCAGTCTACTTACAAAAGTGTAAAGGTCAAAGCCCCAGGGAAGCTGGTCTAAAGGAACCAGGTCATGGAGACATGCCCCTGTGAAAGCAAAAACCTTAACTTTCACTGCTGCAGCTCTGAATAAACAGAAAGGCAGACGTCATGTTGTCACTGAGTCCACAGTCTGAGTCCATCTAGGGGACAGCAGTAAAGATACAGGGACAGAAAGATGGTGCTCTCCTGTAACAATATTTTCAGTATTTTTCCTGATCTATGGTCATGTCGTCACCGGTCAGTATATCATCCCGCAGCAGCTAACAACACAGCTGTGTGTTTGTGCTCATGTGATTCTCCCCCTGTGACAGCTCCAGTGAGATCTGAGAGACAGATTTTCCCACACTCAGAAACATGGTGCTGTGATGTCCTGGATTCAACTGTGACATGATGGACAGTCATTGGAAATACAAGTCATCATAGTGACAGACCAGGGTGATGAAGCAGTGGTGTCTGCCCAGCTACAAGACAGGGAGGTAGAGCAACAGTCAGACTGTGGAGGAGGCATGAATTTTTAAAGAGACTCCAATCAGCATGAAAACGAAGAGCAGCCGTGATCAGAATATCAGGCCTGTCTGATGCTGACACAGTCAGTCCACCTGATCCAGCTTTCCAGATACAAATCCTTCTTAAATGAGGGGTCATACAGCATCTTCATATACATGGCCACTCCATGTGTGGCCATGTATATTTGCCATGTTTAAACTGGTCCTCACGTTATGTAAAAAGTACAATACAACCTGATCTGCAATATTTAACAGAATACAACAGTAATCTCAAGGATGCTTGAGTTGTTAAGTTGATGGAAAAAATAACCTCTGTGATAAAAATTCATTGAAGACATTTATCATAACAGGTTGATGAAATCAACTCTGCCAAACTGCAGCAGTGCAAACCCAGACCATACTAACAAATCCCTCCATAGTAACATCACAGGTAATCTTGGCAGCACAGCAGTAATTTTCTTTTCCATAAAAACTGATCAGACTGTCCCGGTTCTCTGAAATCTGAGTCTTCATTAAAGCTTAATCAGGAAGGCTCACCTCTGCACTGTCATGATTTGTTTCCAGGTCTTACTACAGACTCATGGACAGGTCTCAGAACTAACTCATGGACAGGTCTCAGTAAAGACTCATAGACAGGTCTCACTTCAGACTCATGGACAGGCCTCAGTACGGACTCTTGGAAAGGTCTCAATACAGACTCATAGACAGGTCTCAAAACAGACTCATAGACAGGTCTCAGCACAGACTCATAGACAGGTCTCACTACAGTCTCATGGACAGGGTTCGCTACAGTCTCATGGACAGGTCTCACTTCAGTCTCATGAGCAAGTCTCAGCACAGACTCATGGACAGGTCTCGGTACAGACTCATGGACAGGTCTCACTACAGTCTCAGTACAGACTCATAAACAACTCTCAATATAGTCTCATGGACAGGTCTCTCTTCAGAATAATGGAAAGGTTTCAGTACAGTCTCATGGACAGGTCTTACTACAGTCTCATGGACAGGTCTCACTACAGTCTTATGGACAGGTCTTACTACAGTCTCATGGACAGGTCTCAGAACAGACTATTTGTTATTATGACTTATCATTTCACTGACAGTTGGTATTTAAAGACCTCTGTCCTTCAGACTGATGAACGGCACACTGCAAAAATCTTAGCTGACTAGTACTAAATGTAGAACTTGTGAGTACTGGGTTATTGATTATTGGAACATGAGGATTACTGGAAATGCAATCGTTAGACCTTTCCACAAGGCTTTTTGCACACTACCAACCAATTAAGTGCTGGTGACATGGTGCCTTCACTGTTTTCTTTCTTTCACTAGTGGGACACTCTGGAAGTCGTTTTCTGGCTCTGCTGTATATGTTTAGTTTGGAAAGGGGGACCATGTGCAACAAAGACAGTGGCTGTCGCCTTTATGATGACCTCCCACATTAATATCACCTAAACGTTCAAATAAAGATATTTCATCCAGGCTGAACAATCATCAGAAATGATGTTTAAGCAAACAATAAACAGTCAACAGTCATTTTGGAGTCAGAGAAACTAATAGAAAGTCGGGGGTGGGGGGGGGCACACAGCAGATGGTAACAGAGAGGCTCTGTTGACAGGCTTTCCCCCCTTTGGTCATAAACACACAGTCACTCACACTCCATTATTTACTACAAAGAGTCTGCCTGCCCTCTGCTCTATTGGGCGGGCACACACACACACACACACACACACACACACACACACACACACACACAGATTTAGAAAGGAGCGTGGAGCGTGTGTGTTAGTATATTTGCTCATGAGGCTGACAGGACTGATCACTCTCAGCTGTAGATCCATGTTGGAATGTGTCCTTCATTGTGAACCTGCACAAACTTGCACTGAAACTCTGTGTTCCTTGTGTATCTGTGAGTTACTTTGTGTGATGCACAGGCTGAAGGCAAGAGGTTCAAACCCTCCTGATGCCCATATAAACAGAGACCCAAGTGTCTTCTCACAGTAGAAGTAGCCTTTTTTGAGAGGGCTCAACAACAGCAGCCTCACAAAGCTCTGCCATCATGTCTCCCTCAAATATTTTCTCTCTGAATTTGATCATCTCTGTGCTTGGTGGTTTTACTCCGAGTTACAACACTGCAGAGGAAAACATGGCCTGAGGTGTAAACAGACAGCACAAGCTTCACACATACACACACACGCTCTGATCTGCTGTGATGGTGGTCGGATTTCCACAGAGGATGATCTCTGCTCAGCGGCAGTTTGACTTCCCTCCATCATCCTGTCTTAGGATCTTTCACACAGTCAATGAGGCGTTACAGCCCCCCAGCTCTGTCTCTTCATAATATCTATAATCAGATGTTAGGTTATTTTAACATCTGTTTTGGTGTGGGCATTGTAAAAAATAATGGCCCAGGTTATCATTTCTTCAATCTTCTACAGCTAAAAACTGAATGAAACTCCTACAGCTTATCTGTCTGGGCTGTGTTGTAGCGCTGACCTGTTGAAATGCCTTCTGAAATAAAAAGCAGTTGAGTTATAGATCATGCCCCACATACAGACTGTGCAGGGTGGAGTCAAAGTCCACATAAATGCCAGGAAAATCGTCACAAAGAGGTACAAACAGAGTACAGCAGGAAAAAGGCTTTAATTTTGTTCAATAATACAACTACAGAAGCTCCAGGGTAGCTGTCACAGTCCTAAACCACTGAAGATTTTCATGTATACTAGTTTCTGCCAAGTGAGCTGAGAGGTCACTGACAAAGAGTCTTCTGTCTGAGATGAACGTGTTTATACCGTCAAATAAATCAACATGAAGACTTTGTCAATAGCACTGATTTTGACTCAAACAAAGTTAAACTTTCTCTATTTCACACTATGTCTCTGTGACAGTATTTCTCTCATCACCCTCTCTCCCTCTCTCCTCGTCCTCTGCCAGCACAGTGACTAATGTCTCAGACGGAGTGATCAAGCCAAAGTTTATTTTTGATCAGTTCATCATTAAGCTGATGGATGGGGCCTCCGCTGACACGCAGCCAAACGGAGAGCTTTCATTTCTGCGACACTCTGCAGGACGGGCTGGGTCACTGACGAGAACTCCAGCAAAAATGCTCAAACTTCAGCTGACAGTTTTTGAATTTATGTGTTTATGGTTTATTCATTTTCTATCATGGAAGTGGTCAAATTCAGCTTTTTCTCAAACACAACAGTGCTGTTTTTTTCTTCCCCTGATAGATGTGCATCGTTTATAACCAAGCAGGATTGGATGGGCCGATTCTAACTTTAATCACTGGGTTCAGAAGGTCTACAAACAATATTCACGTGTCCTAAGAGAGTTGTCCAGCTGAAGAGGAAGAGGAATCCAGTCCACAGACCTTCATCAAAGCCAAAACACACTGTTAAATCAAGCTTCGGTCATTTCTGGCTCATGGTAGTGAAGACTTTCTCACTAGACAGACTTTACAAAAGTACAACAAGATGATAAATTGAAGTGAAATGTTTTCGTGTGGTCATGTAGAGATAAAACTCACTCTGAGTTTAAGCGCAAATTTAATCTGGAAGCTGAGGACTGAACTCCAGCAGGCTGCAGATCCATTACTGATCAAAGTTAGCAGTTTAAACACTGTATTTTTTTTCTTCTACTTTTACAAATGCCTCACTTTTCTGATCTTTGGCTCATCCCATCCTCCGTGTGAACTCTACCCTCCAACCTCACAGGGCCCATAAAACCTACTGCCAGTCAAAAGGGGTTGAACCTCAGGGATAATAAAGTCTTTGACAGAACATCTGTCCTTGCTGACCATATGCTGCGCAGCCCATAATCTGACTAATGTTCAACAAAAACAAAATTTAATGACACAAACAAAAGCTGCTGTGGAGAATCTGTGTTCAGACTCCATCCCCACCCCCACTCTCACTCTTCCCAATGAGCCAGTCCAAGCACATGTCTGTTTATCTGGTTGAAATGAGCAACAGGCAGGGTGTGAGCAGAGGTCACGGCCGACACGATGACGCACAACAAAGGCAGCTGATGATGTGTATGTTCACAACACTCATTAATGAAAAACCATGAAAAGAGACAACATAGCGTTACAAAGGGTTTCCCCTACCGCTCTCCAACATCTGTGTGTCTGCGTGGATCTACTTGTGTGTCCCACAGTGAGTCAGAGCATGTCTCCATTTTCCCAAACCAAGAATTAGCTCCAAAAGTTTAGTGCCCAGCAGGATTGGCTGGGACTACAAGGTTCAAAACAAGCGCAGAAAGAAAAAAATAAAGACTCACAGGTTCCATTTATTGTCGGGGTGAGTCCTGGGAACTTGGGTTGGGGGTTTGGGGTCCTCCCCCAGTTCTCTGTATTTTTATAAGAATTTATATGTGCTGGTTTGTTGTGGAAATTTGAGTACTTAAAGACTGAGTCATATCATTATAATATAGCTAAAAAATGAATTTCACTTCATGAAGCTCACACTCAGGTAAGATCTTATCAAGCAAGGACATTTTGAAATGGAGTCATTTTAAAACAAGTTAAATGTCTAGTTCGAGTCGAGATTGTACATACCAGGGCTGTAAAGTCCTAGTCAACTGGTTGACTTATTGGTCGATATGTGCTGAGTCATCCAAAATTCTGATTGGTCAACTCAATTTTTTTCCGCCCCCCCTTGTTTTCACCATTATGGATTCGCCCAACTCACTGGAGTGGAGACCGAATAGAGACAAGAAGATTGAGGAGCAATCACGTTAATCAACGTCTGGTAGTTTACATTAGTCGACCTTTGGTCGAAAATTTCAGGGTTTTAGTTAACCAAGAATTTCTTTGGTTGATTACAGCCCTAGTACATACTTACATACATAATTTTTTGTAACATTTCCAGTTTAATGTTTTTAACATAAAGGGCAAAGTTTACTGGAGTCAAATTCTTTGTATGTGTACACACAGTTGGCCGATAAAGCTGATTCTGATACTCAGAGGTGGAGTAGGACCTGTGAGGGGAACGTATAGACCCATCTACAGTTCTGATTTGTCAACATATGATATGAATCTGCACGAACCCTGCTAGAACCAGGACTGATTGAAACTCTAATGTGCTCTTAAAAAACAGAGGAAACTTGCTAAAAAAAAAAAAAAAAAAAAAAAAGAGTCTCTCCTTCTGTTCTCAGTTCTGTGGAGTTTTATCAGGAGAAGGGAACGCTTCTCTCAGGATTACTCTGAGGTCTAAGGGGACCAGGATCTGAAAACAGGAGTGGTAGTGGTGTGGTGAGTGGGGTTTGTACTTTCACTTGAGCCAGGACTCAAACATTTCAACATCTCCTGGACTGATCGTCATGACATGTTGAACAGATGTTCATCTCTCCCAAAGGACTGAACCAGATGAAAATACAGAAGAACTTCTCTCAGGGACAACACCTCATTTTTATCAACTATAAATCAGAGATTTTCCTTTTCAGACTGACTCTGGGTTAACCTATTGAAAAATGAGATTTACTCTCACTGGTAAATAAATAAAAAGAATTATCAAAAATATAAAAAAAGGATCTTTGGATGATGGTAATAAAATTAACCTCAAACACAGACATCAACTTCAAAATGAGTGAAAATATACAAAAGCAATCAAATTTATCAGTTTGAACATAAGATATCTTTATAGAGTATTCAGTTAAATTTTGTTGGAAAAAGATTTAAAGATGTATGTTTTCTGTTTTTATTCATGTATTATACAACATCCCAACTTCACTGGAGCTGGAGTTTGTAAATGTAGGTCTGAGTATTATTGGTTATGCTTTACATAACTCTGATGCAGCCAACTGTAAGCTAACCTCAGATTAACTGTGAATAAGTTAGTGATAAAAACACTTTAAGGAAAACATGTAACAGATGACTGTTAATTTACTTCACTTCTAACTGATGTTACAATACTAAACAGTTTTATCATTGTATATATACCCTCTTTCTTTAAATACTGCAGGCCTTTAGTTTAAATAACTTTTTTTATTGCGCATAAAAACAAAACAGCGGCTCTAGTTTGAGAGGTCTTTAGAAAGTCCTCCACTATCAGCACTAACTGAGTCCTGGTCATCTACTGAAACTGGCCCCTGCAGTCATGAATCATGATATTTCAACTATCTGACAGCCCTAGAGTTCGTACATGCTGTAGTTACAAGCTGTCTTTATAACGGAGGCCAACTCTGTCACAAGTTCATTCTCCTTCCAGCTGATTTTGGATCAAGATTTATTTTGTGTTCCGGGTAAAGTTGAAGCTGTCAGCACAAACACGGTGTGCTGGAGAAATATGCAAAGCACATGTGATGACCAGAAATCTTCTCCAAGTAAACACATGAAAACAGTCAGAGAAAGCGAGTGGCCCATACAGTGTGTACCGTGGATTATGAACAGGGTTGTTCTCTGTGTCACGTTCACGGAGGGCAAAAATATCTCTTTTGATATAAAGAACAAAGCCCCTGGAAGCTGTCCCATTGTACCAGAATGGCTGACAGTACAATTCTGCAGCTTTAAGGCAAGCTGAATAATTTCAGCTCTGGCTCCAAACTTCTACATCAAACCTCGGTCCTCTCCAAGTCGAGGAGCTCTTGTAACGGAGCCAGCAGGAGATTTCCAAACATCAAAGCAGACACACACGGTTCTTTCCTCCCTCACCCTGAACTGGAATAACAGATTTTTTTTTTCTTTTTACAGAAACAGTTTATTTATGTAGATGTGGAAACAGTCTGCCATGAGAAACACCTTATTAAGCAAAATTAGCTCAGTCAGGCTGGATGAGGAAACATCCAGTATTTAAGCTGTAATACTATGATGACAGACAACAGGTCCTCTCTCATTTTAAACCTACAGCGAACAAAAACCTCAATGTGGGCACACAGATTTGTTCAGACCCTGACCATGTTTCATTCATTTTCATGTGTGAAAAAAAAATAAAAACCTTTTAGCCTGATGTATGAATGACAACATTCAATAAAACCAGATTTACGTCCTAACTTTCTCACTTGTCATTCTGCTGCATGAAATATTTGCAAAGGCAGAACTTGGGACAACTTGATCACACATCATAGGGCCGGCAAGAATCTGGCATCTTTCCCGAGAATATAAAACTTACATTCAATGTTAATTTGATCCACTCGTTGGCTGATAAGAACAGTGTTGCCATGGAAGCACAAGCAGCTGTTGAAACTAAGGGAGAAGTTTTTTTTTAGCTGTATGAATAAATCATTTTTAAACCAATAAAATGATCTTCCCTTCAGGGTGAATATAGGACCCCTTTCACAGAACCATCTGCTAACTACACATTATCTATAAGCTATGATGCACCAGAGGGGTCTGTGCCCATTTACAACAGACACAAGACATGTAACAATGTGTATGTCAGGTTTATAAAGCCTTGTGATATTCAGGGGAGAAAGTAGGACAGCATGGGTTGATCTGTCATTTGGCTCAGATTTCTCACTGTGTCCTTCTTTCACTTTAAATGTATCTGTGAAACACATACATCGTTTTTATATATACTATATATACCAAGTTAAAAAACAAAGGTATTTGTCTGTTTGGTTTCCAAGAACATCATTTAAAAGCATTAGGGTTTGTGAGTAGATTCAGATATTATAATGCATGGATATATCCATACTGTGGGACTGTAGTTACTTGGCAGCTGCATGTAGTCGGACCCCTCAAACATAAAACTCTGGACTTGAGCCATCGTTCCTCGTTCCTCTGTCTGAAAAAGTCATCAGTGCAGAGTCGCACAGTGAGTAACGGGGATCTTCAGTGATCAGGCTATAATTTTTAAGTTTGATACAGTGACCTGTTATCTCTGCGATGGAAATATCCCTGGTTCATTTTGTCTGAGGGTACATAAAGATGAAGATGGTGATCCTCTTTTCAGTAAAGGTGTCATGTCATGAGTTATCTGATTCATAAGTCCATCTTTTGTCTTCTTCTTTCATACCTCCTAATCTTCTTTAAACTGAAGAGTATCTACAGGTATCTACACTCTTTAAACACAGAGCTTTTTCTCATCATCTGTTCAGAAGCTCAGAGCTGAGAAGGTGAAAAGGTCCATAAATTCACTGCTTCCTTTTCATGGAAAGAACTACAGAAGTTCAAAGAACAAGTTTCACTGGGAAATTTAAGGCATCATCTAATGACCTGGAGGCAGGTTGTACACATGATGACTTACACTGACATAGCTTATTATCATAGGACTGGGCGATATGGCCTTAAATCAATATCATGATATATTGAGCAGTTGAACTCACTAACGATAAATGGACAATAACTCCTCCACAAGCTGCTCACCCCCTCCCACATTAAAGCTTTGGCCTACCATTTGGAAGCTTGGTACTTATTAATAACACAGTTTATAAGGCCGTTATGATCCTGTGGTCCGATCTACGCAATATAAAGATAAAAAAGAACAACGAAAAAAAAATCCATCCGCTGCAAGAAAGGAATAATAATCGACCATCTCCATCCAATCCCCTGTCTCCCCTGCTCCGCACCATCCCACCCATGGTCCCCACTACCCCCCTCACATACATGTGATTAGCGATCTGCACAGCTGCTGAAGCGTAATTGAGCCAGAGAAGACGAACACCGAAACCAGGAGGCCACTTCTGTTATCTTCCACATCGAAAGGAAGGAAACGTCAAGGTTTCGAGGAAAAGGCTGAAGTAAGGAAGAAATGTGAGCAATACAGGTGCCAATGGAGAGTCAACATTGGAGAAACATAAGACCGGTGGAAAAAGCTGCAGAGGGATTTGGGACTGAAAACTGATGCTGGGACAGACGAATTTCTGTTGAACAGGTAATTACTCTGTTTACTACAGTGGGCGATATCTGCTGAATAACTCTGGTTAGTCTGTGCCTATACTGGCTAATGACTGAACGTTGTTGGTCGGACGGGTAGGCTCTGTCAATAGAGTTTAGCATAAGTAAGTCATGCATCTTTAGCATTGTAAACTGAGCTGGTGAAGACACGCTGAGAAAGGTAAAGCCTCGCCCACAATCGGCTCTGCTCTGACCGGCTAGCAGTGGTGACGCCAGACCCGCTTCGCCCCGCTAATATATGGTTATGACTGCGCCAGTCCAATTGAAATGGCTACCACTGTGTACCACTGCTGATATTTTCTGCCGGACGGCTTCTTGCTCTACCAGAGGGGGCGTGTTGTTAGGAGGCAACACGAGCTTGGGGGGCGGGATCTTTGAACACGGAGGGGTGAGTGAAGGGGGGGGCAGGCTGCGTTTTTCAAATCTGTCTCAACTGCCAAACTGGTTTTCAGATTGTAGACCATAGCTTTAACGTCGTCTACCTCAGCCGCTACAACTTTTGAACCGTCCTCCATCTCCTCACCTGTCTTTCCCTCTTTGTTATGGACTGGATGGGGTGGAGTCATGTCTCTGATGTAGGACAGTGTCTTAAAAGGGACATGAGACCATAGCCTACCTGCACACTAAAACCAACTTTTTTTAAAATCTATTTATTTGACACCGAATGTATTGACATGGGCAAAATGACGTTGGTTATTGTCGTACATTTCGGTATCGGTAAATTTTCCGTTTATCACCCAGCCCTATTTTATTAAAATAAAAATCTGTTGTAAACCTGCTCTTCTGTATGTTTATATGTACGGCTGCTCTTTGTCAGAAACTTTGTGAACTGCTGCTGACAGTCTTTTCCAGGACACTCTTGAAAATGTGGTTCTTAATCTCAGTGAGATTTTCTCCTGGTTAAATGAAAATTAAAACAACTATTTCAAAAATCACTCAGAGGAGAATTAAAAACTGTGATTTAAAGGAATAATGGCAGATCTGCAGTTTATAATGTTTTTGTGATCTTCACCTCTTCAATATTTCTTCATGTTTAATGGTTTGATTTTTCGAGTGCAGGTAGTAGAAAAGACTTGGATGTACTTAATTCATGAGTATGTTTTAATTAACAAATAAAAATCATTTTGTTGCCATTGAAAAGGCTGCTCCTCAAGACACTGAGCATTTCAATCTAAATCTCACCACTAGATATTGTGAAGTGTTCTCATTCACACATGCAGTTGTGGCTGATGTCTGTGTGTGATTCACATCGTATTTCAGCTTTTTGCCTTTGCTGGGATTAGGCATGAACACAGCATCTAAAAATATGACTGCAGAGGAGGTTACGGACAGGGATGCATCTGAAAGCTTAATCTGATATTCAGCCTCTCTGTTTGAGAAGACTGTTTCTGGAATAAGCTCATCTAAGGCTGCAGCTTCTCTTGGAGAATGCATGTTGGCGCAGAATTCAACTTCATTCATCACATGCATCAGCAGAAGCTTTAATTTGGGGGTTTGCTGTCGGTCTGCAGTCGCTTTAGGTGGACTATAAAAGTTGTTGAGCAGCACTGAGTCACTGCTGAACTACAAAGATACTCAGTAAAGAGCCGTTTACATGGACGTCCACAGAACTTCACTTCCCATGGGGCCTCAGATGTTATTGCAGGATTCAATCTACGGCAAAGTACAGAATATTACTGTATCATGACTAACTCACATCAGATAAGAGTTTATACTGTAAGTAATGCATCGTGATTAATGATTACAATAAATTTCAGTTCAATCACGGTGATCAGCTGTGAGCATATTTACTCGATTAAACATGGCGGAAATATGTGTGACAACAGCCAATCAGAGTTGAGCTTTTCCTGCTGACTTCTGTAAATCACAGAAGAAGTAAACAAGGTATTCACCGTCAGATGTGTGGTGATGGTTCCGGTATCTCCAAAGTGACGTCGAGCAATGAAGCCGATGTGCAAAGTATGTTGGCAGTCAGTGCCCTAAAAACCGGCAAAACAACAAATCTGTTTGAAAAAGTACTTTCCAGGTGATTATGTGAAAAGCATGAAAATGCGAGCGGAGTGTGCACAGCCTGTCACTGCTGACGGCATAAGTAGCATTAGCAAGTTTAGCTACATCTAGTCAGGCAGTCACCAGACCAAAGCAGCAATCAATCATATCATCTAATGTTTACATTTAAAGGTGTCTTCATTTTCCCTGAGGAGGCGATTTGTTTATTTCGGTTCTCTACTGTTGAGTTAAAATGGTTTTTATATGTTTCTAAGTTTATCTTCTTCAATTTGCTTTCTTATTTACTTTGTATTTTAATAAAATGATGAACTAATCTCTAGTTTCTTAAGTTTTTAGTACAGATGCTTTAAAACTGTCAGTTTAAAAAAATACAACAAAATAAAATCGTGATAATAATCGAGATCGGAGGATATGACAAAATACGTTGTGATGATTTTTTTGCCAAATCACCCAGTCCTACTTTCACCTTTGTGTTTCTGTGTGTGTTTGTGTGTTGTATTAATGCTGGGGAAGGATGAGTGTCAGTGTCCAGCTCAGCACTGGCTGCTGCCTGCTGCAGTATCACATTGCCATCATTTATTCAATAGGATCCAAAGAGACTGCGAGGAGGAGTGGAGGTTATATCTGAGTCCAGGTGATGAATGGGAGACTGAAGACAGGGAGACACTTTCACTACTTCTGCTTCACAGTCTGGTGGATGAGAGTGCTGGAGTCGATGCCACAGGTCTTAGTGTTTTCAAAGTAGAACTTGAATATCTGAGGCAAACCTTAGAAAAATATAAAGCTCAATAGAAAACCTCGTGTTTGTACTTTTTCTGTCCGACATCTTTGGCTCCTGACATGTCCTGACTTTTTACAACAAAGTCTTACTTCATGTTTTCTGTTGGTCATAACGTAGTTGGTTTTACCAAAGACTCAGTTCTTGAGTCTGTTCATATTCTCACACTCTTATAAAGATCTGATGTCTTCTGCCTCTCCTAAGCGCTCAGTCAGAAAATCTAGGAGTTAAGTGTTCGTGACTAAGACTGTGAAATGACTTCAGTTTTATATTTGGGATGATTAAAAGCAGAAATGTTGACAGCACCCTACATCCATGTCTAAACATCAGTCCCGGTTTTGGCTTTTCTTTGTCACCTACTCACCTTCATATTCCCTGATCTTATGTAGAGCATTAAAGGCATTACGAAGAGGCCCCAGTTGTTGAGAAGGCTGAGCTAAAAAAAGGTGCTTGTTTTCAGGGCACAGCAGCTTCAAAGCTTCACCCACAGAGAAAAGCTGAGGAGGGTTTGCATAATGAGAACAATTAGGGAGGATGAAGGATGCTGATAGTTTTCTTCTCTGCGTAGAAGCTGCTGAGGTGAAGTGGAGATGATGAAATTTCAGGACAGACACAGAAAAAGCTTTGGAGGCAGAGCGTGATGTATAAAGAGTATAACTGAGAAGGAGGAAAACTCCACATTCAGATTAGCTGCTGCTGGATCATCTTCTGAATGTCTCTCTGTTATTGTAAAGCCAGGGTCCGTCGTTTTCGCTGTTCTGATCTGAGACACACATGTCATTTCCACTTCCCTTCACTCTGTGTGTGTGTGTGTGTGTGTGTGTGTGTGTGTGTGTACTACACATTTGACCCTCCTGTCTCATACCCTCCCCTGCAGTATTAAGACACTTTAGTAGTGTAGTGGTAAGATCTTTACTTTTTAAACTGACTTGAGATATAGGAGTAATTCATCTTCTGTGTGATCACAGACGACAACTCGCTCCTAATAGCTGGTAGGTATTCAGAACGTGCTAGTGACAGAGTTTAGTTTGACAGGCAGAGAAAAGTCTTTTTTCATACGTACAGTGCCTTTAAAAAAGTATTCATACCCCTTGAACTTTTTCACATTCTGTCACTCTACAACCACAAACTTAAAAGTATTTTATTGAGATTTTTTGTCATAGACCAACACAAAGTAGCACATAATTGTGACATGAAACGAAAATGATACATGGTTTTCAAACATTTAAACAAATAAAAATCTGAAAAGTGTGGTGTGCATTTGTATTCAGCCCCCCTGTACTCTGAATCCCTAAATAAAATGCAGTGCAATCAATTGCCTTCAGAAGTCAGCTAATTAGTTAATAGAGTCCACCTGTGTGTAATTTAGTATCAGCATAAAAACACCTGTTGTGTAGAGTGTTGTAGAGTGACAAAATGTGAAAAAGTTCAAGGGGTATGAATACTGTATATATTGTAATACGGGAGATTTTTGCAGGAATACTAATACAGGAAGACGGCGGGAAAGAGGGGTAAAATAGGGTGGTCTCCCAGCCAAGACAGGATACTTGACTGCTATGCCACCTCTGAGGAGGCTTTTTTTGAAGCCGACTGGGGTCAGAGCTTGATGTTTTGGCCCTGCTCCCTCTATCATGGTCGATCAGTTGAGCAGCGGAGCAGAGTCACCCCCATAGACATAATGTATATATTTATATTATGTCTATGGTTACAATGCTGTGGGTGTCGCCTCACACGCTGTTGGAGTCAGGCCGTTCCGTTTTGCCGGACGCTCAGATGAACCAGTAAGGAGAGACTAATTCTTACGTCAGACATTAGGTTAATCTCGCACATAGACTACGGTCTGCATTTTCGTGCGTTTGTCCGAGATTTGAGCAGCTTACATCGACTTTCTAAGGTTATGACAACATACCTTGTGATTTGAAACTTTGTATGTAGTATGGACACCAAACTATGTAACTTTGCTGTTTTTGTTGCACATGTGGAAAAGCAAAATTCTTTTAGTTGCAGTTTATAACATTCTGGATTTTGACAGAAATGTTCTCAATTTTACTGGTAACGAATATCAGCCCCCAAAAATCTGACATCAGTCTCAGGGCTTGACAGTGCAACCCTTCACTCGCATTTGCGTATTTAGGGGCACATGTGTGCATAAAAAAATTAGCCGAGGCAACAAATTTTTCTTTCATGTTTTAGGTTAGTATCTGATGGACATTCACTGCAGATCCACTGGTTTCTTCTCACTCTCCATAACTGGGAATAGCAACAGCAGCGCAGTTAAATCTACTCGGCACCCTCACTGTCGACGTCGGGTGTTGAATAAGGGACCATCAATAAATTGATGGTTGATGTTCTCAAAGAAGACCCTTTTCTTTCACTATCTTACATGTCATGTGACCAATTGACCTGATTTCAAATAATTGTACTAAATTCGGACGATAAGACACACCTCTTTATTTCCCTAATTTGTCCTCTAAATATTTTGTGTCAAATTTAAAGGCAAATTTGGAACATTTTCTTCAATAACTTCCATGTCATGTGACAAAAACACCTAAAATTGATTTCAAATAATTATGTCGACCAATAAGACAAACATTATTTGATCAATTTTCATTGTGTCCTTAAAGTTCTTTGCGCTCTCCTTACTTTTTCAACTTGGTTAGTATCAAGCCCTGAGTCTTGTAGAAGACTGACAGCCAGTATTTGCCCTGAAAAAAATAGTTTTGGTTGACCCCTATACCCTTACAACCTGACTGCAGTACCAAGGGCAGATTACATACAACAAAAATGACTCTCTGCTAAAGGTTTAATTACAAGGTTCAGTCAAGGAGCTCTAGGGCTCAAATAAAGCCTGTATAACCTCAGATAACCAGGACTTTGTCTGGATTTAATCTTTTTTTCACATGGATGGAGAGTTCACAGCACAGCCTGAGTGACACAAAGCCTAGAGAGTCAGGGGGGGTCGACAAGTAACAGGCCCTAATGGCAATCAAACCACTTTTTAAATGCAAGCAAACGAGCCAAACAAGCTTACTCTGCAACAAGCAGACACATGGGAGCTTGAGACTTAAAGACCCTCACAAAGGCAGGGATTTGAGTGGAACACTAATCTCTAACACACACACTAACTGTGCACTGCTGTGACACTGTGCCAACAACCAGTCAGTGAAAAAAGAGCAGAATAATGGGCTGGATAGTATCCATGCTAGAAACGGATCAATCAGTTCAGTCAGCTGATCAATCAGTTCAATCATACCATCAATCATTGAAGAATCAGCCCAGTCAAGCCTAATATCAGCAGCATCTTCCCTGGATGAAAAAAAAACATGTATAATGATGCAGTTTGGTGCTGACAGCCATGTTCTGATATCTTTGGATGAGCCAGTGTCTTTGTCTTTTCTCTGGTCTAAATTCATTACAAACAGACACCACAGCCATGTTTATATGATCTATGTGTGCACAAATTTATACAAGCCTTTCCTTTTTTGACCCCCAAGATGAACCTTGAATATTTTCTTCCTTACTACTTTCAGAGAGCTTGACAGAAATCCAAAAGTCCAAGTTCAGCTGCTGTTTCCTAACAGCATTAACAGCCCTAAACATGTAAAGATTTGCCTCTGTTAAAGGTCATTGTCAAAAGTTATAAGTGGCCTGATGCCCTTTAAGCAGCAGAAAAATCATGTACTACAGGTTCAAATATGACCTTCCACACAGCAAACAACAATAAAGCCATAAACACTCCTGCTGAGTGTGCAGGTAAGTGTGGGGTCATCTGATTTAACACTGCTTTAGGTTAATTAAGCATTCAGGCAGGTGAGACAGCAAGGTCAGAGCTGAGCTGCACCTGCTGCTAATGTTCGTATCACAGTCCAACTGTGCAGTCTGGATGTGACTGAGCTCGAACCGAATCACTCCTCAAACAACAGCTGTGTATACATGGGCAAAAATTATCTGAATAAAAATGCACCATGTAAACATGTCCATCGGAAAATTCTGATCCAATCCGGTTCAAACGGAGAGAAATTGTATCCCAATAGAGAGGGGTGGTTTATGCCAACCGTCCATGTAAACACTTACTCTAATCATGACTTTCAGTTGGGGCAAAACTAGCCTGACTGCACATGTGTGCCCTATGTCAATGTGATGCAGTTCCGCTGTTAGTAACAAGACGTAAACATGGCGGGATCCAAGACCAGTTGGTCTGTGTCTGACACAACGTTCTTGCTGGATACTGTTTCCTCATGTAACATAGGATCAGTATGTGCTGTTGGACCTGCTTGATGGTCATGTACGCTAGGCGCAATGTAACCGCTCTCAGAATCTGAATCAGGTCCATTCTAAGTGGAGGGAAAGTTAGCAAAAATTAGAGTTTAGCGAAATTAGACAACTTTGGGCATGTCTAAATGCTTCTAATATGTATAATGCTTGGTGCATGTGTACGCATGTCATGATCGGATTATTTGATTTTGTGCCAATATAAACAGTGGATTTAGATTTTCTGATCCCTCAAATTCAAGAAACTTTGAACATGTAAACATGACTATCCACACCACATTCAAATTTGATTATTCTAAATCACCAGGATGCAGATCTCAGGTCAGCTCACCTTTGTATGAGCATTCAACAACAACAGGCTATTACTGTCCCCACACACCAAGCGCGAGTAAAACCGTTTGCACGAATGAATTACATGCTAAGTCAATGCAAAGACGCAATCAAATGCTCCTACTACTCTGGCTGCTCAAAGGACGCGAATTGGAGCTAAATGTCTCAACTTTAGCGGATATTCGCCTCGCGATAACTAATTAGCACAAAGTTTGCTTGACGATGTATGAAAACGGATGGTTGTTCACTGGTATCTAAAATGAAGGACAAACTGATCATGTCAATGTGTGGGCGCCCTGAATTATATGATACCTTTCCATTCAATTACCGAAACCGGAATAAAAAGGAGCTCACCTGGAGGCAAGTGAGTGAGGAGGGTGGATTACCTGGTAAACTGTAAAAGAGCAGTCCCTGGGAAACATCCTGTTAACAGATACTTGCTGATATCAACTCCTGGAAAGAAATCTTCTCTGCTGAAACAGAGAGTCCTTCATATGTAAAGGTTTGAAAATCCTGTCATGATGTTAACAATCATGTCTATCTGTGTTGTTAATGTAACAGTTATAACAAAATCATGGTACAAACATCAGCTTCATGGTGGACAGACACAGTAAATGGATGTGAAGCCTGTCAGAAACTTGTATTTAGAAAATCAAGTTTTATGGGGAAAAAATTATTGTGAAGAGAAATGTTTCTTCATGTTCTCTACAGTTACCAGCTTTATGATTTGGTAATTGTAAGACATCAAAGTTTAAAGTTTATTTTACACACAGAAGTGGCAGCATTCTGGGCTGTTGTGTTGCTTATACTTGTGACACTGTTTAAACTCTTTCAGTTGAAGCTTTAAATGACAGACAGTGTGAAAGTGGAACTCACAGTGCTTTGGTTAAACTCATACAGATAGAGATAAGGATAAAAGCCCTTGAAAGACATGTTATAGAGCAGAAGAAAGAGAATGAGATATGGGCTTTGTGTGTGATTTCTGAGGCAGATACTGGGTATGAGCATGTGGGCGTGGGATTGTCTGAGCCACAGCAGAGCCTACTGAGCGTTCAATCTGAGACCTGTCTGCAACTACACCATGATCCAACGATAAGAGCTACATCCAAGCTAGACCCGAGCTCCCAACATGAGGAAAAAAAGTCCTAACAGTGGGGATGTTCTCCGAATCAGTTTTATCTGGAGACCCAGAAAGTAAGTCCTGTATTATCAATCATGTATCAGACACAAGGAAGCTGCAGACCTGAAGTCTCTCACATCTAAGACATGTTAAAATCGGCACATGTGTCTCTCACTTAATTGCAAAAGCCCGTGAGAATGTAAAAAGCAGTCCTGAAAGTACCAGAGGAAGCTGGAGGAGGCGCTGTCATGGCAGAGGCAGGGAGCCCAGAAATTCATTTGATACGTCCTCAGAATTTTTCTGGTGTTTTTCTATTTAGACCTTTCAGGACCTGATACTTTTTTTTGTCTCTGTAGTTGATTTGTTTGTCTGTACCATCATGGGCTGGTTACTGGTTTACAGAATGACCCCTGTTTGGAAGAACCACAGAAAACTTAGCAGACCAGAAAACAAAGTAAAATCGTAAAGCAAGTAGGGCTGGGCGATATGGCCTCAAATCAATATCACGATATATTGAGCAGTTCACCTTGATAACAATAAATGGACGATAACTGCTCACCCCCTGCCTCTGCCGCTCCAGCGTCCTCAAGGGACATGAGACCATTAACTACCTACACACATCCAAAACCAACTTTTATTATTATTGTTTTTACAACGAGTATACTGACATGGACAAAATTACATCGGTTATTGTCATAAATGTCAGTACTGGTAAATTTTTGGTTTATCGCCCAGCCCTAATTGCAAGTATCATGAGTACTAGCAGGTGGCAGTAATGTGAAATCAGTGTGTGCTGATGGTGTTCTGAAGAGAGAAGAAACTGTAAATAACGTTCTTTACCTTGCTCCACCCTTAAGTCCAGTAGGTGGCAGTAATAAACATTTAAACTGATCGCCAACGTCAATAAACGTCAAAGCCGCAGCGCTCTCTCACATGCTTAAAACTCGTTTTCCCTCTCTACAGATAATGCTAAGAAACTCAGTCGGTGGAGTTTGAAGGAAAAAAACATCCATTTGTCTTATTCTCTATGTGCACCATTAGCTCTGAAACCAAACATCATTGACTGACTATTACAGATAGTAAAACTCAGCTACAGAGAAGAAGCGGATCTCGATAAATGGTCCAGAAATGTTTCCATCTTCAATCTGAATCAGGCCTCTCTATCTGTCATTTAAAGAAAGTTCTTGTCAGGGCTGCAGTGGGAGAATAAGTCCACTTATTGGCAGACCTGTTGGCAGAAAGCAGATGAATATTCACATTGGTACCAATTAACAAATGTATAATATGTGAAGGCTGTTAATGTCTCCGGAACCATTCTAGCTGATGATCAGGGAGGAAAAGAAGGCTATCAGGTCCTAGATCAGATATTTCTCTAGTCTGTCAGAAGTCACTGTCGTAACACCCAGCACAGCTGTCTGCTGCTCCCATTCACTCCATCTGGAGGACAGATCAGTCAGAGGCTGAAGCAGGCACTGATGTCATCCAGCAGTTCAACCCTCACAGGAAAACCGTGTGTGTGTTTGTTCTGTGCGTGACTGAGTTAAAGCTAAAGAATAGTGAATGAGAGGGTATGTGTTGCTCAAAGGGCACTGCTGGTTGCAGCGATTAGGCCAACTCAGAAAAGTCACAGGAAAACAAACGCGTTTGTAATGTCACAAAGCACAAGAGACTTCCTCTTTTAATACTAGACACAGAGAGAATGTATACAGCTTAAGGGGAAAGTCTGTACTTCATCCATCAGTCCCACTAACAACCCACTGACATAACCTGATCCCAGTCCCAGTCATCAGATCAGGGGGGTCTTGGCATTTGCATTGACTTGTGATCAGCAGTTTGTGTTGGTTAATGCCAATAATAGTGTGCATCCTTAAATAAATGTAGTTTTTCATTTAGTATAATGAAACCCAGAGCTGTGCTGCTCACACGTTTCTGTAAGATTTGAACATGAGTGCTGTGAGAGGCAAAACCCTGGATCAGCTCACACATGCAGTGTGGGGAAAAATGTCTGTGTCTGTATTTTGAAGATTTTTACAAAATTTCTACCATCTTATTTACCCAGTTAAAGGGATATTCTGGTGTAGGCCTGGACGATATAGAAAAAAAGCATATCGATAAAAAATAAATCATATTGATCGATATCGATAATTATCGATATAATTATTATAATTATTTAACATATATTTTAATTGCAGCCCTGGATGTTTTATGCTATTGACCTACTTTTAATAAAGAACACACAAGCACTGAATTCAAATTCAAACCTTTATTTAACCACCTTTTTTATTTTACCACAACTGAAAGTTTTTTAAAAAAGAACTAAAAAAAAAAGAAATCAACTTAAGTGGCCTGAGTGACGTCAGTAAATACTGACAAACATAAAGACTAAAGTGACCAGAAAATCTGATAAATAAATATTTAAATAGTCTTTTGATTAAAATAAACAAAACAAACAAATATATAAATAAACAGAATAGCTTTAGGTGGGAATAGCATACTACCAGTTTTAACTGTGTGAGAAACTGCCCACAGCCTGGTGTCTGAACACTGAAATATTTCTCCCGGGGTCGGGAGATTTATTTTTTTAATTATCATGTGATTGACTTAATACACAAACTAAGCACGAGAAGCAGGACTTATCCACGCCGGTGTTGTGTCGTAGAATGCACCCATGCCGAATGCACCCCCTGCTAGTAGCCATGATCCAAATACTCGCGTCTTTGTAAAATATGAGCTCATTTTCTTCCACTTTAAGAAGCTAATGAGTGGACGGGAACGTATTTCCTCCGCACCCTTCTCACCTTTTCAACCCCTGACCCATTTTCATGCCTGAAGCGCTGTGTTTGAGAAATACTTGCGGCCGGGCACTTCATATTGCGGGTCGAGAGTGGCTAGAAGCTGGTCGAAGCCAGGCTTTTCAACGGTAGTTATTGGCAGTATGTCCCTCGCTATGGAGCATGTTACTGCATGGGTGATGTCCTTATGCCGCTCGGACGCTTTGTCGTATTTTGGCAAGAAACGAAGTCCAGTTTGGTCTGCTTCACATGCTTTGTGCTGGTGCTGGCAGCGGTTCCAGAGGATTCCTCCGACGATGACGTGGAGCCGCGGCGCGGCCGACACAGCTCGTACTCCTGCGGGTGCGATCGGTTTAGATGATAAAACAAGTTGGTCGTGTTACCAGACTTGGTTTTTACTAATTCTCTGCAAATTTTGCAAACGACCGCTGTTCTCTTTTTGTCAGACTTCTAAAAACCAAAACATTGCCATGCTGGTGAACTACTGAAACCTTTTTTCGGGACAATGTCCTCCGCTTCTCCTTGCTGTATCATTTTTTCTAATACACGTGCTGTCTGTTGTGGTTTGATAGGGGCTGGGCTTGGTGCTGTAGCGTACCTGGGTCTGCGTTTGTGATTGGTTGGGAGGAAGTAATGACTGTAGTAAAAGCTACATGATAGGCTATGATGAAAAAGAAAGGGAAACTGTGTTTTTCTATCGAACTTTTTATCGACCCGTTTTTTTTCTATCGCACCACACGTCTATCGATCGATATATATTGTTATCGAATTATCGTCCAGCACTATTCTGGTGTATAATTTATTTGTTGAATTGATAATGTTTGGTGGCTAGTGCTGTTGCTGGGACCCTATATGTACTGTTGAATAAGTTAGGTGCTGTTCTGAGCATTATTTGTGGCTATAGAGTGGCGTTTTGGTTGAGGTTTGTTTATGGCTCCTCAGACCACTGTGTATTGCTATCGTGCGGTCGTCACTAAAGTTGGTATAACTACAGAAGCAAGCGGTCGCCAACATTTATCTCTCGATGGGGTGTCTAACTCGGTGTTACAGTGTGTTTGACCATAACTTAATTTTATGCCAGAATATCCCTTTAAAGCTGCTGCCTTCCTGTTGTGTTGAACTCCCTCTACTATATCAGTTTTTTTTTCTTTTTTTTCAGACACACAAAAAATACATTAGTTACAAAATCTAATTAGTGTTTGTAAAATTGAATTAACTTCTGCACCACCTCAGGCCAACTCCTGTAGAGTAACACTGACAAACACAGAGATCCACGGCATCCAAGACAAAACTTAGAGAAAATGTTGGAACTATAGTCCTGACTGGAACAGCACAAAAATACACAGTGCTGGCTGGGTAACATCAGCATGCATGCACACTCACACCCATGGTGAAGTCACAGTGACAGGGTCAAACCAAAGGCATTCCTCTGCTTGCTCTCGCTCAAACTATGCTGCCAGCCATAATTACCAAGTATTAAACAAACACAGCTAAACATAGTCAGACACACACACAGAGTGTTCCTGTCAGAGGAAAACACACTCCCTACCAGAATAAAATACTGCCTTCACTTACACAGCCTCGCTCTCCTTCCTGCTGTATGCAGCTTCATTGCCCATTGCTTTTATGGAGGATGACTGCAACAGCTGCTCCACTCAGCATGTGTTAGGATGAATTAATGACATACACTGAAAATAACCGAACCCCAGTCTGTCATCAAAACCCACTTAGAAACCACCATGTAATCTTGTGCACTGTGTTACAGATTAGCTGTCTTCATACTGGAGATAGACCGATTAATTGATTAGACCAATTCATGACATTTGGATGTAATCAGCATCATATCAAAAATGTCATCAGTAATGTAATCAGTCAACAGCTACTTCAGACTCTTCACCTTTCTTGAATCACACTTCTGCACATCCACACATGACTGTTAGCATATCCTTCACTTTAGTTGAGGCATGAGCATGGGAGTTTTTTAGGGACACCTCTGGCCACATTAAAGGGAGATTCCGCATAAAGTAAATTGGGGTCAAACACACCGTAACATCGAGTTAGACATCCCCTTGAAAGATGAATGGTGCCGACTGCTTACTTCTTTAGTTATACCAACTTAAGTAACGACCATATGATAGCAGTACACTCAACACGCGGAAACCTCAACCAAAAAGCCACTCTATAGCTACAAATAATGCTCAGAACAGCACCTAACTTCATCAACAGTACATATAGGGTCCCAGCAACAGCACTAGCGTCCAAACATTTCTTTAGCTTTGCCTGATTCATTTAGCAAAGAGACTAAACACCTACTCTCTTCCAGCTGCCGCTTGTTTGTGGGGGAGCCCTTGCGAGTCAATCACCAACTGCAGCAGATTTCGCAGCTCAAGGAAGAACATTTATGATCATTGCTTCATGGAAATGCAATCAGATCGAGACGCTAACAGGCAAAACCCACAGGATCCGGAATGGCTCCGCTCCAGCCTGTCAGGCGGATCAAATTCACAAGCATTATAACCAATGTGTGTCATTCCACAGAATCCGTCTGCCATCCAGCTCCGCCATCCTGAAGTTGTATGCGGCTACAGAGTAAAATATCTGGTTAATTTTCAAAATAAAAGAAAGTCAATACATTGAACTGTTCTTAGCTTGATAATAGGAAAGGCCAGGGTTGTAGGTTGTGGGTGTTAATATACAATGCCATTTATCTAATGAGATCTCATGTGTTTTCTTGAAAGAACCATAAGTAATATCGCAAGAGTTTCTCCTCCAATGGCAGCGGTGGATCAGATCCAGAGGGCGCTATATGCTTGCGTATTTAATCCGCTTGCTGGTCCGGAGTGGAGCTGTCACAGATCCAGTGGAATTCCCGGGTTAGGCAAAAGTACGACCACATTTGCAGTGCAATATGATGATGATATTATTATAATGATCTACTGCACTCTGTGATCGACTCATCAGGGCTCCTCCACAAACAAGCGGCTGCTGAAAGAGAGTAGGTGAGTTATGTTTAGTCTCTTTGCTAAAGAAATCAGGCAAAGCTAAAGAGATGTTTGATGGCTAGTACTATGGCTGGGACCCTATATGTACTGTTGATGAAGTTAGTGCTGTTCTGAGCATTATTTGGGGCTATAGAGTGGCGTTTTGTTGAGGTTTGTGCGTGGAGACATAGACCGCTGTGTATTGCTATCGTTAGGTTGTTACAAAAGTTGGTATGACTAGAGGAGTAAGCAGTCGGCAACATTTATCTCTCGAGGGGTTGTCTAACTTGGTGTTACAGAGTGCATGACCCTAAATTGATTTTATGATGGAATATCCTTTTTAACTGCAACAGGACAAGAGTCTGGATGAATCTCTAACCCACACTGAAATGAAGGTTTTCATGAATCACTCAGTCTCGTTAACAGTCGATAGTGTTTCTGTCGGTATGAAGAGGAGGAGAGGAATGAACTGTGAGATCAGAGGTGGCTTTACTCATGAGGCAGTCCTCCACAGAAGTCTGGAAGTTTAGGTCACACAGCAGATCAGTCACAGACCCCTGCACTGACAATAACTCCACTTCAGAGACTTCTGAGAGGAGAGAAAGGGAGAGGCAGAGAAGAATGAATTTATAACTTTGAACACAAATTGGAGAGAGGAAGGGCCAAGCAGAGAGTTTAAAATGACACTAAGTGAGAGAGAAGTAAACAGTGTGAGGGGAAAGGAATGTGTTAAAGCAGCCACAGTGACTGAAGGTACACCATCAGCCTGGCACACAGAACGTCAGCTACATACCAACCACTCCCAACCAACCAGAGCAAATATGACAGCACTCCTATACCACCATGTTACTGTTACAGCCATCAAGAGTCAAATCTGGTCTGTGAGTGAAGCAGAGACAGAAACTTCCTCAGCAAACAGAGACACACAGACAGAGGTGGACTCAGCTCCTCTGGTTTGGCCCAAGTTTCAGCGGGTGGAGCAACGAATGAGAGGATGTTGATATACCACACAGGAAGACAGACAAACAAAAGGTCTGCTGCTTTAACACAGGACTCAAAGTAGAGAGCACAGACCATAGTTCACTTGTTTACACTCAGAAACTGAGTTTTTCATGGTGGGAAACTCCAGCTGTGATTAAGACATGAATTTGGGAACCAGTGCAAGGACGATTTAGTCTCAGAATCTCCATGACAACCTTGTTTTTCACTCAAAAAGATTTTCATATCATAACAGATCACTGTGAAATAAAATCATTAGGGGTGTCCCGATCTAAAGAAATATGATTTTGAGAATCTGTTAATACAAAGTTCAGACTAGACCCTTGTGTAGCCAATCGATAACAGAGTGGTAATAATATATTGAGTCCTGTGTGTCTCTGGAAAGTTATCTCCACCTGCTATAAAGCTGTTGTTGACGTGACATGACGTGACGTGACGTGACTTGGCGTGGCTTGATGTGACGCAACGTACATTTGGGTGCTGTTTTCTCTTTTTTGTAAGGTGTACACTGCTAAAAAGAACAAGTTTTCACTCATGAATACACACACAAACACACACACACACAAGAATGCATGCACACCTAAATGAGTACATGCTGAAGTCTGAACCTCTGAACCGGTAGCACATGACTTTACCATAGAAACTCTGTGTTGTCATGTTAACCATCTCCAAATGTCACCCTTCTGTTTGCTGCTTTTGTGTGTGTGTGTGTGTGTGTGTGTGTGTGTGTGTGTGTGTGTGTGTGTGTGTGTGTGTGTGTGTGTGTGTGTGTCTAACCTAACTGTGTTAAAGCAGAGGGCTGAATGCAGACCAGTATTTTAGTCACTACAGCAGAGCAGAAGCTTCAGGCAGGTGAACAGATGGTGCTGTCTGCTCTGAAACCTCACGACACTTCATTATGACATGCTATACAAGAAATGCTCTGGAAACCCTAAAACCTCATCCTCTACACCTGTCCATCAAATATTTAGAGATTGTCTCCTGTTATTTTCTAACTGGCTCTTTCTTCCGGGTGCAAGTTTGAATCCCTTTGAACTGTTTGAGATGACTCAGTGGCTCTTTGAAGGTGGTCAGAGGAAAAACTTACCACTCCAAAAGAAGAATAACCAGAGCATCAGCAACAGCATTGGCCCTGACTGCAAAAGACGAGATCACCCAGAGAGCAGGTTCTCAGCTGAGGTGTCAGTCCTCCTGTCAGGCTCTGCAAATATGTACTGAAGCTCTCAGCAACAGACTGAAACAAGCATCTCAATCAGAACAAGCCACAGTTATGTGGGAGAGAGTAAGACTTCATCTGTGATCACTCATCAGGCTCAGAGACGTTGTCAGGCTTAATCAAAAAGACTTTTTTCCTGCTACTGCGATCCAATACAAACCAATCTGTTTTCTGTAGCTAACATGAGCTCTTTTTTTTAATTCAGCTTCAAAAAGCAAGTAGATTTCCTTCATATATATCCTTTAATATGTAGTGTATTCTTTTAATATTCACAGTAAATGTGTTGCTATAAATGATTCCCATGTTGGCTGATTATCCTCTTGTGAAATATCAGGAACCAGAATGATGATTAGTTATTTTTTATAGATTAAATAAGACACAGTGTTTCCCTCCAACAGCAAAACATTCTAAGACTTTAAGTTTCCTGTAAAATATAGATATTTGAATTTTAGCTTCTTTACTCATTTGTAGAATTAACTATGATTGGCCAAACAGTAACATAACTCCATTAATAAAGAGCCAAAAGTTCTGCTTTAAAGGTCCTTACACACCGGGGTCAACACGAATATAGAACGTGAAAGTGCGAAACATCCGGAGGTGAATTTTGATGCACCTGACTATACACATCAAGCCTGATGCGATTTTGCGACTTTCCGGGGGAAAAAGACGCATCCCAGGGAAGACTTTTCCCAGAGAAAGTCCCACCTCCTTCGCCTCTGATTGGCTAGAAAAGCTAGAAACGTCATTACACGCTCAAGCCAAACGGTCAGCACTTATAGCCAATCAGAGGTTAAAAGATAAGCACATGAAACTATGGTAACCGTTAGCTTACGTTAGCACAGATGAAAGTTAAAACAAAGACGCTGGCAAACTGTTAAAACACACAAACTATCGTCACATGAGAGATCCGACGCTATGACTCTCCACAAGTTGTCCTTCAGGTCTTTATCTTTGTAATGTTTGTGTCTTTTATCAAAAAGCACTCTGTTCTCAGACACATAAACAATCAGCTGGTCGGCCATGTTGGATATAAAGGTGAATCTGACGTCGTAACAACACGCAATCTGATTGATTGCCGGACCGGCAGGCGGATTAAGTGGACACACAGTATGCGACACTTTAAAAAATCGACCATGATCCGAAAAAATAAATGCCGCAATATCGCAGGACGGGAAAATGTCGCTGATGTGAATGCTTATATTGACAGGATACGGGTTTGAAAAAAAATATTGACATCTGTAATAATCGCACGACAAAAACAGTCCCGGTGTGAAAGGACCTTTAGTTCTAACCTAGACACCTATGCAATGCAGGATGTTTGGCAGGAAGCCGATCAACTATCACACATACACTCAGAATAGTTAGGTATGCCGAATATTACTTTGAGCTCATACTGCCATAGGTTTGGATATGAACCTGATGTAGTTTGTCACATACACTAAAATTGTACGTGGGAAACTGTCATACAGCAGACGGCTCTAAACTTGTGTAGTTTACAATCCTCTCAGCAACAGTGCCTGCAGCCCATCACAGATGAGCCAACACTGATCAACTCTGGAATGAGTAGACAATGATAGTGATGTTCAGTGGTTTGATGAAGCCATTTAAGCAGCCGTCTCAGTACTGTTTGTGCAAATTCTGTGTGTAACGCAAATGATGATCTGTTTTTATTCCAGTCAAAAAACAATAATCATGAGCCCCAATTTCAACTAGATTATCCCAACTAAAATCATCTCGAAAACTACAGACTTTTTCAGGCTGCCAGCATTAATCAACAACAAAAATCAAACTGTGTCGTAAATTGAGATCTTCTAATCTAATGTATTGGAGAAAAGATCAGCCCTACACAGCAAACAGGCCATCGTCTTTCTAATACCACACCTAAAGGAGCACAGACAAGTCCTCTTTTGGCAAGCATCACATTTTAACTGCAGGAATTCTGGTTGAGTCAAATTTGTTGAAAATGAATGGAGTCTCCTCAAACTCAAAGATGGACTGACCGAAGAGAAAATGACTACGAATTTGTACGGACCCTTTTTTTCTGCATTTAAGGTGTCTCCATACCTATCAGAGATTCATTGCTCGTTTTAAAACCAGCTGTCAGTGAATAATATGGAAAAATATCACTGATACCCCCCAAGAAAAAGCCCAAACATTTGTGTTTGCATATGGGTTGAAATCAGATTTGTGTGGAGGATGAAAATAAACGTGGACTTCAATGGATGCACTGGAATGCTGCAGATTTTGTTAAGACATTTGAGACATCTATAAGTGTTGTTATATTGATTACTTTTAAAGCACTCAAAGTTCTTGCTCCGGGCAACATTTCAGAGCTTTTAAAACCTTATGAGCCGACTCGCAGCCTCAGATCCTCTGGTGAAGACCTCCTGGTCGTTCCAAAGTCGAGGCTCAAAACTAAAGGTGATAGAGCTTTCTCCATCAAAGCTCCTTGACTTTGGAACGACCTGCCAGAGGAGATAAGGCGTACAGCAGAGACAGTCACTTCTTTTAAGTCAAATTTAAAAACTCACTTTTACAGACTTGCTTTTATGTGATGCCGTCTTTTCTCTTTTATCTCTTTTTTATCTTATTTCGACTTACTATCCTTTTAGCCATTGTTTTACTTATAATCTTTTCCTATTTTACCTTTTAGGCCCTTTATTGATTTTATTGTTTTTTTCCTACTCATTTTTATTTTCCATTTTATCATTAATATTACCATCATTATAATTTTATTATGATTGTATTATCATTATTAATATCCTCTTTTATATTTGCTATCCTGTTTCCTGCTTTCTGCCCCCTTTTCTATTTCATTTCTTCTTCTTACCTATTTTATGTTTTTATTTTGGTCCTCATGGTCTCATTTTATGTTGTAAGTTTCTTGTATTGCCTGGGTTTCTTATGAAAAATTAAATTGGCCTTCAATTGGAGGCCTTGTTTATAACTGAGCTTTTGTTTTTTATTTGTTTTTAGTTTCATGTGCTGACGTTATGTGCTTTGCATCCGTCTGTCAAAGCACTTTGTAAACTTCTGTTTTTAAAACTGCTATAAAAAAATAAAGTTATTCTTATTATATGACATTCCCGAATGCTAGTGGTGCTCCAAATGAGCTGCTGAATGTAAAGTTTGACTAAAACCTCAGGCGACATCCCCACTCCCTCTGCTCAGACTCTCTGCCCTGTGGCCTTTTCCTTTCCTTCACTCCTGCAGCTATGACGAAATCCATCAGAAAGCATCAGTATAAAAACTCCTGCAGAATAAGGTCAGGCTGTATGTAACCTTTAGTCCAAACATTTGAGGCTTTCCTCTTGTGTTAATATGGCAGCTGAGACATCCATTCTTTCTAGTGAAGTCAGTCGTGCCCTTTCAGGTGGCCTACCAAGAGAGTTCCCCACTTTATGAGCCCCTGCTCTACACTGCTCTCAGGAACTCACTCATTTCTTCTTTGCAAGGACAAAAAAAACGGTTTACACCATTCAAAAACTCAAAGAGAAAAAGAAAAGGCGTTGTGGGAACTTCTCAGGGGTTTCCAAAGCCTAAGGTGCTTCTACTTAAAATCAACAGTGTGTCTGACATACAAAGAGACACAATAGATAAAACAACTAAGCCCTCTCAATTCACTTTATCTCCATTTTTGGGATATTAAAGCTGGAAAAGCCTGCCTGTGCATTGAAAGGAGAGGAGGAACAGGGTGATTTTCATGTCATTTGACACCAGTGTGTCTCCCAGCAGCACCCAGTCAAACTATCAAGACACAGTGACAACAAAAACAGCAGAAAACCTACCGTGAATGAAGCCACGGTGAACACCGCTCTGGTTTCCTCCAGGAAAACGTGTAATATCCTCCAGAACCAAGTAATCTTTCCTTCTTTTTCCCGGAGAAGCTCCGTCCAGTGGTTGTCCTGATCCTTACGGTTTTCCCCCTTAGAAAACGTCGTTCCCACTGAGGAGAGAAAAAGGGCGGGTCTCGAGGCGTTTGGAGAATCTATTCGACCAATCCGCTGACGATATGACGACACTCTGCATATGTGAACGAATCGAGTTCCGCTTTAGCCACAGAACCGTGTGGTTCTGAAACTACTACAGCACCGGGTGAAGAGCTGGAATAGTTCTCTCTCTCTCTCTCTCTCTCTCTCTCTCTCTCTCTCTCTCTCTCTCTCTCTCTCTCTCTCTCTCTCTCTCTCTCTCTCTCTCTCTCTCTCTCTCTCTCTCTCTCTCTCTCTCTCTCTCTCTCTCTCTCTCTCTCTCTCTCTCTCTCTCTCTCTCTCTCTCTCTCTCTCTCTCTCTCTCTCTCTCTCTCTCTCTCTCTCTCTCTCTCTCTCTCTCTCTCTCTCTCTCTCTCTCTCTCTCGTGTCCGTGTCTGCTGCCGAACAAAGCCGGAGAAAGACACCCCGTCCATACACTCAGACCTGAACATCGGGGCCATGTCTGTAGAAGTCATAATTATTCATTTGAAATTAAATCATAAATTACGCATATGTCCAAGCTTCTTGCCTGAAATAGCACCGACTTTTGGATTTAAAGCCCACCATTTAGAATTGAATATGAATTCTATCAATACAGACCTCATAGCTTTTATTTATCTTGACCGTGGTGACCTTTTTGGACAAAGCATGACTGAATGTCTCTCAAAACAATGTTAACACCAGGCATTTACAGTGGGCTCGCTGTGAATACATTACCTCTCTTTTTGGCTTTTTGTGCATCATACAAACAGACAGCAGTAGATAGCCTAAACATTTCAGCCTGTTTTACTAACATGACTAAATACTCCTCACAAGAACTTCAAAATTTCTCACCACAGTTTTCCAAAGAAAAAGATAACGTAAACCTTCAGTCAGAAGAAAAGGAGTGGATATGTAGGAGGTGACTGTACAGGCCACATCCACAGTTACTGCAGTTAAACACCATGGGCAGTAACAAATCCACCTTATTCCATCCAAAGTTGTACTTCAGTTCACTTTCTCATCTCAAGCCCATATTTGAGGTTTTTGAGGAGGAAAACTACATGTATCATTTCAAATATTTGCCCTGCATACAGTGTAAACCTTAATCGATGAAGTGGCTGTTGACAAAACTGGAATGGTTTGGAGCTGTTAATCTGGAACTATATAAACCATGTGATTTTAAAGACTTAACATGTTTTCTAGATAAGCATAATGTTTCAATTATACACCCACTATGTGAAATTTACATTTTGAGATTGTTTTTAAGTAGTTTGAATATCTAAATATTTTAAAGAGGCAATTACTCCAACAACATTTGCTTCACTTAAGTAATATTTGACCAGCATTATCTTCAACTAAAGCTGTGTACTTTGTCCACAACTGATAATTCATCGGCCCTACAATCCATAAGTCACAGGAGAAAAGCTATCAGTCATCGTACAGAAGAAAAATGGAAATGGTTTAACTTTTTATCCTCTCTGCAGCTCTCACAATATTAACCTTGTATTAAAAGTTTGAAAACTTGAAGGAAGCATAAAATCAGAAACAAGGGGTTTTTGATCCTCCTAATCCTTACACCACCTTACACCCTTATGTTTATTTTTACTAAACAAAGCCGTTCAGCTCTCTGAGTCGTCTAGGTCACAAAGTCTGCATTATTCAAACTACATTTGAACAGTCCCTGATGTTTGACACCTGAGTCCCTTCGAATCACTGTCGTTGCAGTCTCAGCAGATGAATGTCTAACATCAGTCTGGTTCTGCTCAAGGTTTCTGCCTGTCAGAGGAAGTTCTTCCTCTCCTCCGTAACTCTCTAAATGCTGTAAAGTGTTTAACTTGTGGTTGGAGATTGAATCGGAGATGGTCTGATTTTACAGGATGGGGCTCAGTCTGATCCCATCTTTACCATGGGTCTTTGTAAACAGAATCTGGTCTGGACCTGCTTTTCTTTGTTATGCGTCTTGGGATAACACTTGTTGTGAACTGAAACCATATAAATAAAGATTAATTGATAAATTGATTGATTAAGGCTTGAGTTCTTTAATAAAGAGTTGACTTTGATTTGAAAAACCATGCTTCACTTGAAAAACAGATAAACAGCTGAGTCTTAGCTATATTCAACTACATTCAAGGTCCAACTAATGTGTAAAAGTACAACACTGGCTCCCCCTGATGGCAACAACAATAGCACCCTAGACTGACCAGAAAAAATCCTAATCTATTTTAGACATGCCTTTCAAACAACAACAACGAAAACAGATGAAGACTTGTTGCCAAAAAGAAAAGGAAAGTCAGTTATCTGGAATTATTTCGGTTAAAAGATGGATGATGTCGACCAAAACACGTGTTCTGTGTTCATCTGTTGCCACAATAACGTCCCAGCACAATAAAAGCTAAAAATATCTCTGAGACAGACAGAAGCCATTCCACAAACATTCACAAAAAGAGGTAAGATCAGAGCAGGTTTACTGTCCTCAAGATTTCAGCGGTGCAGCATAACATTAAGTGCTATTCAGGTCATTTGGTGAAAATTCCTGTATTTTTTAATATCGCAATATATATCGCAGGGTTGGAAAAATTGCAATGTTAGTTTTTTCCAATATCGTGCAGCCTTAGTCTGAAACGTGCGTTAAAGCATTTGGCTCGCGGCGTCTCTGTGCACGTGAGACTAACGTCAGCTCTTCCTCTCTCTCCTCCTCACTCTCCCTCCCTCCCCTCCACACTCTCCTCTCCTCTCTTTCATCCCTCGACAGGAACATCTGCGAGCGCCTTGCACTTTCAGGTGTACCTCTTGGAGGGGCTGGCGAGGTGGAACGAAAACCGCGCCAGGGCCGCAGTGGAGGGTGGGCAGAGGACGAAGCTCAGGTGCTACAGCGCCCTGATGCAGCGCAGCTTCGAACAGCCATCCCAAGAGCTCATGGGAATGATGCTGGTCGAGAACTACATCCGTCCCGGGGAGTACACAGGTAGCGCTCGGTAGTGCAAGCTGCCGCGGGCCGAGAGGGCCGAACGGACTCACTGCATCTGTCTTGTTTTTTCAGGTGATGTCATCGGCGTGGAGTACCTGTTCTACCAGACTGGCGTCGCGCTGCAGCAGGATCTCGGCCGGGACCCCGACGCTGGGGACAGACGATGATGGGACAGAGGAGGTGGAGGTGGAGATGGCGTGGGAGGGAGAGGAGAAGGAGGAAGACAACGAGGGGTTCCAGGAGGAGGAGCTAGGGGACCTGAGGTTCGCTGACGACCTCAGCGCGCTCCTCAAGGCGACGCTTCCCATCCCTCGACCTGCCACCGCCACTGCCTCCACGTCGACCCAGTCGGACCCGTCCGAGCTGCCCAAGGCGGAGGAGGAGGAGTAGGAGGAAGATGTAAGCGCACCATGTTCCGTGAAGTTGTTGTGTTTTTTAATTCCTCTTTGCAGCAATGTGTTTTTTTAAACCACCGCGTGTACGCGTGTGTTGCAGGATGTCCTGGGTCCCGACAGCCTCGGGGGTTACCAGCACGCCGTCCGCCTGGCCCATGCCCTGGTCCACCTGCGCACCGCCGCCTACATCACGCGGCGACAGGCGGTCAGGATAGTGGCCCTCTGGCGACGGCTGTCGGACGCAGACAAGGCGGTCGTCTCCTTCCCTCCCTCCCACCAGGCCCACACGCGGGCCCCTCCCACAGCGCCAAATGGTAAGGGTAGTTTTCTGATTCGCACTCGTGGAAAGTGAAATCCCCGTTTTCCTCAGTTTGTTCATCGGGAAGGGCGCCAGAGTGTCACAGTCTCCCAAAGCCAGCAGCATAGTGGAGGCCATGTTCCTGGAGCTGTGCCGCATCCACTAACGGGGACGAACGCTGGCCGGGATACGGATGAGCCGCTGTGATGAGGGACTTCGCAGTCATCAGGGACAACATGTACAAGGCCGGGGGACCCCATCGCAGTCGCCCTGATCCAGCTTTATAAGGTCAACTAACAGACCCTCCTGCAGTGGTCAGTCTCTTTGGCACACAAGTTTCAGCACGTCGTTTGAGTGGAAGCGAATAGATTGAACGGCAATGTTTCTTTATTTCCCTTAGGCACAGCGAGGGGAGCAAAGCCATGGCATGGGCGTGCCCCCTCTCACCGCTGACCGCTTGGCCCTGGCGCCCCTTCGGGTGGCCCCAGGCCTTCTCCAGGAACCTGTTCAGCCTGACCAGCCTCTCGCCTTCCAGCTACCCAAGGACATAACCGGTCAGGCTGCGACTCACTGCAGGCCCGTCGCTCCCGGGTTACAAGCCGCCTCCTCTGCTGCCTCCTCTGCACCCTCTTCTGCCACCTCCTCTTCTACTCCTCTGCTGCTGCAGCCACAGCCACTGCTCCTGCCGCCGCCGCCCCCTCCGCTGTCTGTTGCTCCACAGCCTGGCAGAGGAAGCTCTGGGAGGAGCAACAGCGGAGAGCCCAGGAGGAAGGTGCCGCTCTTAGGCCTCAGAGGCCGCAGTACAGGCACTTTATGTGCAAGCGCTGTGGCCAGCCAAAGACAAAAGTGTTTGGCCACAGCTGCGACAAGGCGGAACACTTTTGCTCCCGGGCCGAGGGGCGCTCAGTGGAGGAGTGGCTGGCTGGGAAGAGGAGCCAGGACCGCACAGTGTCTTGTTCTTCTCCCATGACGTTTGCTGTCAATGCTTTTGAAACCACCTGTTCTCTGTCATCTCTCTGTTTGTTTTGCAGACTCAGTGATCACTGACAGCCAGCCAGCGTGGGGGATGAAGCCCATGAACTGCAGACAGTAGGTGTTCTTCGGTTTTTATTGACAGGACAGTCGCAGGTGCTTTAAAACACAACTGGGTTTATTGACCAATCCGCTCATCTGCCCCTAACAGAAATGCACACAGCCGAATGACAAGGCGGGCCACAGCCGGACTTGTCGCTCTTCAAATGCTGCTGCTGATAACGATGGTCATGCTTCTGCTTCCACTGCCGCGTGTAAGTGATCGCAATCCACAGAGACAGCGCCACGATTTATTGTGCACGTACATACGCCGTCAGATCAAATTTTCACTGAGAGAATCTCCTGTACGTACAGACTCACCTCCTTCCTTCCTTCCAAAACTCCGGACACCCTTGGACACCGCCAGAGGCAGTGAAATGAAGTGCCCTCTTTTACCCCACATCTGTCACAGGTACAGGGAGAGGTCCTCCTGCGGATCTGTTTTCCGTGCATTAAACTTAATCAGGAGAGAAATCTTTCAGTAAATTGTAAATTTCAGAAATTATACCTTTTCCGAAAGGATTCTTTGTAAAAATTTCCTCTTAGTGACAGAACATACAATGGGCTCGGTTTGTTTTGATCAAGATCTTTTTTGTTGTTTGTTTGTTTGTTTGAAGACACATGAAAGTAGCCAGGTCAAAACTACACAGGAAGATCAAACCAGACTTGAAAGTTTCTCTCTGTCACAGTGATGTCGTTGACACTTCGCACCTTATCTCCTCATCTCCTTCCTAGCTGTGTGCTCCCTTCCAGGGTACCTGGCTGACGAGGCCCCTGCGGTGCGGGACACCTCTGTGAGGCAGGGAGGAAGGACAATCTTCAAAGCCTGGCCGTACAGTGACCCCCCCACCCCAAACTTCAATGGAGGGCTGTCCGATAGGTGGAAGGAGGGATGACCGAAAGGTGATTGGTTAGGGGCGGTACCAGGTTTGTGTAGAAGTGAGCAACTTGAGCTTTGACCCCTTTTTTCTGTCTTATACACAGAAGAGCAGCAGCGAGCACCTTACACTTTGACAGAAGGAGAGCATTTCTCAGGTAAATTCTGCAGTCCGTCTGTCTGTCCTTCTCACTCCACGGCTGCTGTACTACAGTGAACTTTACCGTACTGCCTGTTTGACTTTTCTTTTCAGTTAAACATGGACAAGTGAAAGTGCCTCCGGAAACAAAAGCATATCGAAGAGCCGCAACACAAAGAGGAAGAAACAGAAGGTAGGTTGGTTTAATTTTTAGAGGAGATAATTGTAAAAATGTTTGCAAAATGCGCTCGTTTGATAAAAGGGCGTTTTTTATTTTCTCTTGCAGACTCGGCAGAGGCCTCCTCTCCCGGCGAATCTGAGGTCTCCGAGTACCAGCTGGAGGGGGATGGCGCCAGCAGCAGCAGCAGCAGCAGCTCCAGCCCCAGCCCCAGCCCCAGCAGCAGCAGCTGCAGCCCCAGCCCCAGCCCCAGCCCCAGCCCCAGCAGCCCCAGCCCCAGCCCCAGCAGCCCCAGCCCCAGCCCCAGCAGCTCCAGCCCCAGCCCCAGCCCCAGCAGCAGCAGCCCCAGCCCCAGCAGCAGCCCCAGCCCCAGCAGCTGCAGCCCGATCTCCAGCCCCAGCAGCAGCCCCAGCCCCAGCAGCTGCTGCTGCTGCAGCCCCAGCCCCAGCAGCTGCAGCCCCATCTCCAGCCCCAGCAGCAGCTGCAGCCCCATCTCCAGCCCCAGCAGCAGCTGCAGCCCCAGCCCCAGCCCGAGCAGCAGCAGCAGCAGGTGCAGCTCCAGCCCCAGCCCCAACCCCAGCAGCCCTAGCCCCAACCCCAACCCCAGCAGCAGCAGCAAGGTCCCTTTGAAGAGCAGGGCCTCCACATCTGCCTCTGAGCCCTGCGAGACAAGGCCTTCCACGAGGGCCTCCGCATCCTCCTCCCAGCCGACCCGCTGCACCATCTACAGGAGGAGACTCAGGGCTCAGAGAGACCGGAAGGTCCTGGCCGAGAGGGCGGCGGCGGTGGGGACCGTAGTGCAGCCCGGCGAGCCATGCCGGGCCTGTGGCATGCCCAGGGTGCTTGAGAGCGGGCACGCCTACTATCGGGGCCAGTTTTTCTGCGAGGTGGAACAGGGGCCTGGAAAAACTTGCGCCCAGTGGGTGGAGGAGCAGAGGCCCAGGGAGGTGCCACTGCCCAGGACAACCGCCTGGAGGATGAGGAAGGGGATGGAGGAGGAAGGCCCGCCCGGAGGGAAAAAACCCAGAAAACTGCACAAGCTTCGGGTCTGCCAGAGGTGCGGCCAGCCGGTGCAGGCGGACTTTGGCCACAGCCAGTATGTGGCGGGCGGCAGCAGGGAGGCCTTCTGCGCCATGTATGAAGGCAAGACGGTGGAGGTGTGGCTGGCGGAGAGGAGAGCCGGGCGGAGGAAAGACGGCCCTTCTCCGGACTCTGCCCGAAGACAGGATTGATTGTAAAAAAATGTAAATATTGTAAATATTGGTTTGTCATTTGTTTAAAAAATAGTTTATTTTTGTGTTTCTTGTTGTGTGTGTGTGTAGTTGCCGCTGTATTCAATAAAGCACCTTTTCGTGGCTTCAAGTCTTGCTTGTCATTTTATTGTTTTCTCTCTGGGTGGGTGGGTGGATGGGTAGAAGAAATGCTTTAGGTAAACTTCTGTCATCTCTCTGCAGTGATCGCTGACGGCCAGCGTGGAGGACAAAGTCACTGAACCCGGGACAGTGGGTTTTCTTTGGTTTGTATAGACAGGACAGCTGCAGGTGTTTTTCAGGACAGTGGGTTTTCTTTGGTTTGTATAGACGGGAGTGTTGCAGGTGTTTTTCAGGACAGTGGGTTTTCTTGGGTTTTTATTGACAGGACAGCTGCAGGTGCTTTAAAACACTACTGGGTTTATTCAAACACACACACACACACACAACTATTATAACTCTTGTGTAAATAATAAGTAACTTTTAGAGTCTTATTATGTGAGACAGCAGACAATTTAAGTTCTTGTCCCATTTTATCAAACACACATCCGGATGAAGAGGCGGGTTGGTGATTCCAGTGTTGGTGATAAACGTTAAAAATACAGTGTTAATTCAACACTTGCTTAGTTCAATTCAACTATTTAAGAGTTAATCCCACTTAAGAGTTGGTGGTAATCCGGGGAGTAAAATCCAAAGAACTCTGTTGAGTGTTGATCTTAAAATCAACACTTAAGATCAACTCTGTTACGTGTTACATTTAAAATCAACACTTAAGATCAACTCTGTTACGTGTTACATTTAAAATCAACACTTAAGATCAACTCTGTTACGTGTTACATTTAAAATCAACACTTAACAGAGTTTCTCCAACAATTTGCTAGTCGTTAGTAACATAGGCTACACGGTTATATTTCTAGCTAGCAAAGTAAGGTTAGCACGTGCGCAAGGACTCGAGTTAGGTGTATAGCTAAGCTATAGTCTATTCTTCGTGAGTGACAGTGTCGGCTAACGATTCACGGCAAAATGTAAAGCGATGGGGTAGAGAGCTGGGGCTGGACCGGGTGCTTGAGCTCCTTTTTGTCTAGGGAAAACGTTAGCTTCTAAAAGTCGGAGTGGCTCCGGGTAGTAACGTTAGCCTAAAGTTAATTTATGTTGCTGCTAGAGGAATACAGGTGTAGACTTTCCGGGCCGCCACACCGATCTCTTCTCTAAACATAGAGCTTTTCACGAGCAGGAGTAGTTTACTTTGATTTATCTTTAGCTGTTGGGATTTTTTTCTTTTTAAATGTTTAATCTTAATTTTATCTTCTCAATCTATCATTAGCCGCAGCTGTTACCGGAGTCGCACACACCCTTCAGCTGCTGATGCCTGAAATGTGTGAGTTTTTATAACGCTAACTGCATATGAATGATATCGTCATTGTCATGTTATGCATTCAGTTGATGTTATTTTGCCAAACTTACAAAGAAGAATTGCTCACGTATTTGTGTGTATGGACAAGTGTGGGTGTTGTTAGCATTAAGTTAGCCATCATGATAGCAGGCAGGGTTAGCTTAGTGTTATCGTGCTGGCTGCCGATGTCCAGGTTGGCGTGACTTGCGTGTAATTTTATGGGAGACAAAAAAAAAAAACCCAGAACAACTACAACGATCAAAATCCGGCGAGTAATCCGAGGCAAAATGTCCTCGGTCTTTACTCATTCACGGTGAACATACTGTAAATGATGATGTATTCTTTTTCTTTTTCTTCATAGTACATCATGTTGGTGAAGGTGAGATTTAGAGAAACGCAGAAGTATGTCAAAGTGGCTGAGACTGAAGATGGCTATGATGACTTCAATACATTTCTTCAGAAAGGTTAGCAATACAACCAAGAATGTTTGTGCAAACTCACTAATTGCTGTAATACTTGCTGAATTTATCTAGTATTCAAATGTCTTATATTATGGAGTTGTGTTTAGGATAGCTAATGGTAATACCCTGTGAAGAAATCAAAAAGTACTGTTATTAAGTTGACCAAAAATGTTGAAAAAACAAGTTAAGCACATTTCTGGTAATGTTCTTATTGTATTTTTTTAACCATTGCTTTAAATCTAATATTTTTATTAGTCATTCAAAAGCTAGATCTTCCACTTGAGACTGAGCTGCACTTGACAGATGAATCAGGGACAGAAGTCGATGCAGATTTGTTTGAGGAGCTTTTGCAAGCAGGGAACCTTACTGTTAGGGTGTCAACTGAGAAGTCAACAGGTGAGACTCAGACTTGTAAGGAGTGGATTGTCAATAATGAGAATTGTTGAGAACTAATTATTTTTTTCCTTTTGTGTATACATTTTTAAATCTGTTTACAGTTGTGATTCAAGAGGATCTTTCAAACACTTTAACTACTTCTGCAAAAAATGTGGACACTCAGGATGAAGTTGGTGAGCCCTCAACTTCACAGGCAATGAGAACAGACTCTCCAACAACTACCCAGCTCTCTGTTGACTATAATCTTGTGTTAAACGTGTGGTTCTGTTGTAGCACAGTTGCAAGCATCTGGCGTTGCTGAGAGCACAGTCCAAGCAATGGTAGGGTCCATGGAGGAACTTGTAAATGACATCCATAGGCAAGCGAAAGAGGCAGTTCTCAGCTGTACTTCAGAAATTCAAGGCACAGATTTGGAAAAGAAGGTGGAAAAGTGTTTTGATCAACTGAGAAATCCTTTCTTATCCATAAACACTAGAGTAAAACGACAGAAGTTCTTTGAGGAAAAATAGGAAATTGTTGAACCTGTTGAATATGTTCTTGGGGTGCGGTTTGATGTTCGCAGGGATCCAACAACAGGAGTTTACAGTCAAGTCCCCGTAACAGATAAATTTGTGTATACACCCATCCTGGGAACTCTCAAGTCTATGTTCAAGAACACTGAATTGTGTGAAAGTTTCTTGCAAGCCAAACATCCCGAAGAAGGAGTTTATAAAGACATATGTGATGGTTCATACTTCAAGAGAAACATTTTGTTTTCTCAGAAAAAACATGCTCTACAGATTCAACTCTATTTTGATGAGTTTGAGACAGCAAATCCTTTAGGTTCAAAGAAAGGGATTCATAAACTTGGCTGTATTTACTTTGTTCTGAGGAACCTGCCCCCAAAATATAAATCAGTGTTGATGAATATACATGTTGTGGCACTTTTTCACTCACAGGACTTGAAGACTTATGGATTTGATGACATCCTAAAACCTCTTGTTGACGATCTTAAAATACTTGAAACTCAAGGCATTAAGGTGCCCTTCTCAGACTTACCATTGCATGGCTCTGTTATACAAGTTACAGGTGACAACCTTGGTTTACACGGACTGTTCGGTTTTGTTGAGTCCTTCAGCGCTACATATTTCTGCAGATTTTGTTTGACAAGTAAGGGTGAGTCACAGTCTGTGTTTACTGAAGATGATATTTCGTACAAAAGAAATCCATTGTGCAGCTCTTCAGGATAATCTTATGTTGGGTTCAACATTTGGTGTCAAAAAGACATGCTTGCTCAATACATTGAATTTCTTCCACACCTCTGACAACTATGCAGTTGATATTATGCACTATTTACTTGAGGGTGTTGTACAGTACGAACTCAAGCTTACCTTTCAATACCTTGTCAGTCATAAGTATCTTTCTTTGGAATCATTGTCACAGAGGATCCAAAATTTCAACTGTGGTTATATTGAGAGAAAAAATAGGCCGAGTGGGTTGAAAATGGATGATTCAAGCAAGGATCTTGGCTTAAACACCATTCAGTCATGGTGTCTTATGAGAAATGCTCCTCTTATTTTTGGTGATGTATTGGAAAAAGATAACTGTTCCTGGAACCTGCTCCTCCCCTGCTCCTGTTAATGCATACTGGGAAGTGTCAACCACTAATTGGGTGAAGAACTATGGAACAGAATATCAGATTGGTATGTTTGTTTGTACTGGAACAAATATGGAAGTTCCTATTTTCAGAAAGGTCATAAACATTATCATACATGATGAGCAAGCTTTTATTTTAACTTGCAGAGTGGACACTCTTTATTTTGATGATCATTTCAATGCATACTGCATCAATGAGAGAGAAGATTCATTTTCTGTTCTCCCAATTAAGGAGTCGATTTATCACAGACCCTATGAGAAACAGTTTTCTAACGAGATGTGTGACAAAACATACATTGTGCCACATTGCCATATTGTGTGACCTGTAGTGCAAAGCCAGTGCTGTTTTTTTTGTGGTGTGCTTGTTCAAAATAAACGTTTCAAACTGTAACTTGTGTGGTTTTCTTTATTTTTTATTATTATAAGTAGTAGTAGTAGTAGTAGTAGTGGTAGTAGTGGTGGTGGTGGTGGTAGTGATACATTTAACACTCCCATAGTATTAGAATAATTTGAATCTTGTTCAGTGTTGAAAAAAACTCAGTGAGTGTTACTTTTTGACACTAAACACTGGTGTTAAAAAAATTAAACACCAGTGAATGTTAGATTTCAACTATTGAGTGTTGTTCCAACTCTATCCAAGTGTTAATTGTTTAACACTTTCAAAAGTGTTATTTTAAGTCGATTTAGTGTGGACCAATATAGACACTTTTAAAGTGCTGAATTTAACTCCCTAGGAGTTGAATTAACACTTCATCTGTAGAGAAAATGAATACAAACGATCGTCATTATTAATGAATACAAACGATAATCGTTTTTCATGTAAACTCCCTCCCTGTTGACAGCCGCGCACATGGCTACTTTGCATAAGGGGCGGCCCCCGTGCCCCCTTACCTTCGGGCTTCTCCGGCTCTCCCCGGTGTGTCGTCCAGTTTTTCGGGTGAGAAATCGGGTAAAAATAGAGAGGGGCCGCGGCCGGGAGCCGTTTTAGACGAGCGGATCCTAATTATGCAAGGCAAAACAATCTTTTCTGTAAAAACAAATCATCTCAACTCTGATCATCACTGGAACTTTCTTGTATTACGGGCATGGAGAATTTATTCTTAACTTTATTAGACATTATGTGAAATATAATAGTGTGGTGGTATTTAAGATAAAATGGCTAATTCGGGTCCAGAGCAGTAGGCAGCAAAAGTTCAGAACTAATAAGCATATGGTCTGAAGATGCCTATGCTGCTGCATACATTTTGATATTTCTTCATAGTAACTTCCTGTTTTAAGAAAACTTTTACATCTCTTATTGTAATAGTAAGCATAGAGCATAATTCTCAATACTGTCCACCAACACATCAATTATTTACTTTGTCTCAACAAGAAGAAAAGAAAAAAGGCTCTGTGATAATCATCTTTCTCAGGTGTGTAACGTAACTTCTCTTATTGGTTTTTAGGTGTGATGGCAGTTTTAATGTTTTATCCAGATGCTACATTAAATCTGCTTGTTTCTTTGTTTGTTTCAGAACCATGAGTAAAAACCTACTGGCCACAAATGATGTGCTCCGCAAAGGAGACTTCCTGATGTCTAAAAATGAGCTGTGAAAGGTTGTTGTCCAGGTAAGTAAACCAAGGTTTTGCGGTTTTCTGTTTTGGTGATGGAAATGGCAATTTTACTGACTATTGGTTGTCCCTTATCTTGTGTGCAGAATGATGGTACCTTTGTGATCTACAGCTGGAAGGCTACCTGGGATTCAGACATCAGATCAGGATCAGATGGTTCCCGTGTGATCATGCAGCCTGACGGTAACCTGATCAGAGCAGTGGATTAAACAGAGGGGCGACACTCCCATAGGCATACGCTGTACAGCCCGGCGGACCCCACTTCCGGGTTATGGAACTCTTAATAGTTCCAACATGACCGCCTGTCACGTCGGACGCCGTTCGCTTCTATGGCCACAAGGCAAGCGCTCACCGAGGTTAAATGATAAAATATCAACAAGTTTAATGCCAATACACGTGTTATTGATATCGAGGGGACCCCTTTATATGTAAAAATGTATATCCCAAATGTAATTACGTTTTTTAGTCAGGAATTGAGATCGATTTTTTTAGCCACGGCTCGCTCCCACACTCCCCGAGGTAAAATATTGTATCAACAAATTTAATGCCAATACGTGTGTAAATGGTATCGAGGGACCCCTTTATATGTAAAATGATTTTAATTTTAGTATGCTTAAATTGTAATTACAAATGTAATTACAAACAGGTGGATGCTGTCCTGGAGAAAGCGGATGGCTTTCTCATACTCCTCCATTTTGAACAGGCTGGGAAGACACTCCGGGAAGACATGAGGTCAAACCAGTGGTCCACCTTCTCCAAAAACCCACTGCTCTGAACCTGATCATATACAACAACAGTAGTAAACTCAAGTGGAAAACAGCCACACATACTTTTCATGCACATCTGAAATGCTGTCTCGAGTTGACCAATGAAGGCAACCTGGTATTGTTCAAGAGAAGGTTTAACCCGGAGTTCTGCTTACTCAAAAGGGTAAAAATGAACAAATAAGTCAAGGAGCCTCTTGAAGTTGAGAAAACAAATTCTTCACTGAAAATCTGCATGAATTCCAGTTGGCCTCAACTGAGAAAGTAAAGAAGTCTGATGAGAGGATTAGAGTTTCAGTTCAGATTGTTGAAACGTGTTACTTTAAAAAAAAAAAATACAGCTATGACTGTTCTGAATCACTTAAGGACATTCTCATGTTAAAATGGCTTTTTACAAAACAACTTTTTAGCAGTTATGTGCAATAATAATAAAAGAATGATTGTACCAGTTGAATAGTGTATAATAGATAAAAATACACATGAATGTGAAGAAGTAACACATTCATTCTGTTGGTTTGCAGGGATGAACAACATCTTGAAATATATGCAGATTCACTAGTTAGAGACAAAACTATGATTGTCTTGATGACGTGATCTGAAGTATGACAAATGGCTCATCTTACACCACTCTACCCTATTTGTTATTGAACCAAGGTTCCAGTATAACTACATAGAATTTTTATAAATCTTTGTACATGTTGGCAAGCATAAACATAAAAAAGCCAGGCTACAGAGCGCACAGGTGGTTCCAAATCTTTGCAGGCAGAGTCCACAATAACAGTCTGACTGTGCATTTCACAGGTCTGCCTCTTTGAAAAATCCGCACAAGTTCACTTTGGGATAGATGTTGACTGGCTTGAGGATTTCATGCTTGACACATTATTGAGCTGTGACAGCTTTTAGTTTAATTCTCACATCATTCACCTTCTTCACTGCAGGCAGACAGTATTGGTTTGAGACTACTTCTCTCTCCCTTTAAAAGTCATAATCAGCGTGGCAGGATAGATCAGACCATTTTTAATTCCTGCTTGATATAACTTCATCCTTAGATCCCCAAACTGCGCTCTTAGCCGTCTCTGCGGTCAAGTAGGGGAAGATTTTATTTTTTGAAGCTGACATTTTGTTTTCTTAAATTAGCTCCGTATTAAATAGTCCACATATTCACAATCTAGGCACGGGCGAACAGGGCAGCTGCCCGGGGCAGCATTTGTGTCATGACTCATGGGGGGACGGCACGAGCATTTCCAAAAAAGAAAGAAAAATATAATAAATCTGCACCGCAAAGCGGTTTAGTATCCACTCTTGTTGTCAAATTGGCGCCCCCTGCTGCTGTAGGCGCCCCTGCTTGCTGCGAAGGTGCCGCACAGAGGCTGACAGACTGTATGAGACGAAACGGGGAGAGGGTCGCGGGGGACAGCTCTGCTCTCAGGATTGCTCTCACTCTGCCAGTCACGGTGGCTCAAGAAGAGAGGAGTTTCCCAAAACTGAAGTTGATAAAGTCGTACCAAAGGTCAACCATGTCTCAGGAACGGCTCAATGGCCTTGTCGTCATCAGCATCAATCACTTTACCCATTTAAACCGGGACAGTATGTCCGCATATCAGCTTTCCAAGCCGGGAGCGCGGCTGCGCATTTCTAGCCTTCAAGCTGGGAGCGCGGATACGTCATTTTGTGACATTCTGTAGTTTTTTCTGGCTCATTTCTGGAGTCGTGGTGAATCAAATCATTATACCTGTCTGCCTCTGATAGGCGAATAAAGCGCTCGGATTCATGCTCATCTTGCTACGTGCTTCATGAGTAAAGTAAACAATGATGGAGGCAGAGAGCAGCTTTGGAGGAGAAACATCCAGCAGTGTGAACAACCTCTTCATATGGAGTGATTTGGCTCACACTATCGGCGTTTTCTGTGAGTGTTGCATGATTTTGGGTGAACACTGACATGAACACACTGTCAGCCACGTATTTATATATTTTTAGTTTTTAGAGCTGCTTTTGTACTGGAACTATACTAGGGCAGCTGTATACCCTTTCAACACTTTTTTAATATTTACATTTGTATTGATGGACACTTTATCATGACTGCCACTTGTTTTACAGAAAGCAAATTATTTGTCATTCTCCAGTGCAGAGCCCTTACTTTTATTTATACAGACGCTTTATTTCATTTAAGTTTGTTTGCTCAAGGTTTTCAAAAATGTGATGAAGGTTCACAAAACTAATAGTTAGCTTTCTTGAAAGCCACATGTATAAGCTCTCAAATACTTTTTGAATTTAGTTTCTATCTACTACAGAGACCGAGATATCAGCTTTTTTGTAAACCTCAACACTTCAGAAAACCTCAGGATCTGGGGGCCCTTCTTAAAATGGCCCTCAGGATTGTTTTTTTTTCTATTGAAGGATTTCTGCAATTGAGAAATATTTTATTTTTGTTGTTATAATCATAATAATACTACATAATAATACAAAACTATCTGTTCAAAATTTTATCTCTTTGTGTGTGTGTGTGTGTGTGTGTGTGTGTGTGTGTGTGTGTGTGTGTGTGTGTGTGTGCGCGCACGCTTGGAGGGGGTCTCGCCCGGGGAGTAATTTAGTCTAGAACCGCCACTGTTCACAATGTTCATTCACAACCCCACAATACCACCAACTGTCACCAAAGTCTATGTCTGCCTTATACGGGAGGAAAGAATGACAAAAGTTCCTGATACACTAAAAAGTGGAGGATTTTAACTGAATGAGGTGGTTTAGATCTCTCTCTCTCTCTCTCTCTCTCTCTCTCTCTCTCTCTCTCTCTCTCTCAAGAGCGCAGCTTTTGGTTTCGACTTCAACGTTATCAAGCTCGGCAGATTGTCTCCGCAAGTACGAGGATGCCGCCTTCAAATTAAAAACAGGAAACGTGTCCATGTGCAGCAATTGTATCACCTAGCGGACAACTAACTAAACATTTTAATTCTTTTATTTTCATTACGTGACCTCTTCAGTCTAGCTGATTCCTCGAGGTGTTTTTAGACAATCAGAACTCAGACTCCCCCTGCTGAAAAAAGACAAAACAACTCTTAAAAAGGTTAAAAAACTGTTTATATGTTCTTAAATGTGGGCAATGGCCGCATGGCATAACGTGGTAAGGTTAATCAGAGTGACTTTATCCTGTTTTTTGTTTAATGGGTTGCGCGTAAATGACCATGCCATCGAGAGAAAGCCAGAAAAAACCCTAATTTGAAGAGTTATGCAACAACTGTGATGATAAAAATGGGCTTTATGATACTGAGTGTATAAGTGATGGTATTAAACATAGACTCTATATATTATGGACAACTTGGCTCCGCCTTTTCTCTCCATTTCCTGAAACCAACATTATGCAGTAGCATTGTACGCACTCTACCACTTGCACAGTAGCATTGCGTGCATTCCGTGGGAGAGTCGCCAAGAGTTGCTGTGGTGATGCTCGGCTCAAACAGCGTATCACCCAGGTGTGATATTTTTTTGTAGAATGGTAGGGGAAATACCTGCCTCCTTTGCCTCTGATTGGCTAGAAAAGCTGGAAACGTCATCACACGCTTAAGCCAAATGCGGGCTGTCTGCTCTGCTCATCGAACAGAACATTACAGATCATTATCACACCTATGAATCTCCTAACCCTAACCCTTACCCTAACCTGACAGATGATGATGTTTCACAGCCATAAGGAATATCCAATTGGAGCCCAGCACTTCTAGCCAATCAGAGGTGAAGGAGGGCGAGACCTTCCCCTTCCATCCTACAAAAATAAAAAAAATTGCGTGCCGGGTGAACTACCAAATTCTTGTACACCCATAGGCTGTATCAAGTGTCAATCATAGGCTGTGTTCGTAATGAATCAATCAGTCCCTAACCCCTAACCCCCATATGGGGTTTTATTATATAGTTGACTATGTGATGAACTCAATCACCTGAGGTTTCGAACAATACATGGCAAGACGCAATGCATGACGGGATGCCCACCACCGGTGAGTGACCATCGGATGGTCACTACATTTTGCAATGCTTTATGGGAATTTTTGAGTCGCCTATATTGGGCACTGGAATTGATCACTCAGGTTTCGCACACCCCTGAAAATGGTGTTAACCCCCATATAGTTACCTATATAGTTACCTATACCTATAAAGTTACCTATATGGGGGTTAGGGATCCATTTCGGACACAGCCATAGTTACCTATAGTTACCTATATGGGGTTAGGGATCCATTTCGGACACAGCCATAGAAAACATGAACCCCCTAATAACTTTTAAAAATGGAGCTGCACAGAAAAAAGAGGACTTGAGCACAAACCAGTCTTACAGTAACTACATGTCAACAACGCAAGCAGAGGGGAAAAAATGTATGTTTCTAAAGTTTGTCCACAGCTCCATAGGGATTGCTGGAGGAGGTGGGATTTATGACCTATACTGCAGCCCGTCACCAGAGGGTGCTGTTCTCTAGCTTCACCCAGCAAGGAGAAAGACGACGTCCATTCTATATACAGTCTATGGTATTTAATCGTTAACAATGGGTAACACTTTGGTTTTTGAACCGAAGAAACTGCTAATTTTATTTCTTTAGTAGCCTGTTAGATAACCTGTACTGAGGAAAATATGTGGATAAACTCTTTTCTGAAGACAAATAAAAAACAAAAAAGGTAAGTTATTTCCGACATGGATGGACTCAAACAGCAGCTTTATTTTGAAGGGACACTAACCGGATATCGATTGTTCCAGGGTGTTAGACAGCTTGACTCTGTGTCCTGCCTCCGTGCACACTGAAAACACTCAGGTAAACGCTACAGCTACTACACAAACATATCTGTTCAGCAGGGGCTCTAAGGTGACGATTTCATACTTAGATCTCAGTAATAGTGTTCGATGAGTCACTGTCATACTTGTGTAGTTTTGGTACTTACTCTGAATGTGTCCGTATATGATGAAGTAAAGTTCACTTCAGTCTGAAGGCAGCAAGGTTAGCCTTTAGCTCAGGATGCTAACTGTAGCATCCACTGTTAGCGTCCGCTGGTTATTTGCTTTAAACTTCCGCAGTAAATTGCTGTAAACTAACCAACAGCACCTGTTGACGCTAAAGGTAGAGGGTGACACTTCTAAATAAATTATAACATTGAATATCTAACCAGCACTTCATGTCAGGGTGAGTAATTCCTCTGAACCTTTAGCTTGGTAGCTAACATGATGATGGACCGCATGAGCCCCTCTGGACCGAATCTCTGGACGTTTCACAGCAGAGTCCCGTCTAATATCTGAAAGTTGAGGATTACTGTGTTAATCTGCCGGAGCACATTTATTGTTGCACACTGTTTAAGGGTTAACTGCCCGTGAATTGGGTTAATGTTTGGTGTTTCTCAGGTTTATTATCGGCGTGTTTTTTCAGACTTTGAGAAGTTGAACGTTCACTACCTGAAACAGGCGTCAGCAGAGATCAACAGATAACCCGCACAGTGACGGTTAAACACCTGCGTCATTCACGGCAGAGACATTTGCTGCGTGTTATTGGGGGGAAATGAACGTCCCAGCCCAGCGTGGGTCTTTATCTGAAGGAAGGGAGAAGTAAACCGAGCTGTACAGCACAGACGCACGGGGGTAGAGACAGTGCTGTGACCGTGCTTTCTGGGCAGGGGTGGAGGGAGGACTAGAGTACTCCATCTAAATCAGACTGCTGTAACTTTGCTGACATTTTATTCAAGTAGAAATGAAAAGTACCGTTCACTTAATCCAACCTGGCCAGAGCAGGCTACTTATTTTATCATGCATTTATTGAGTATATAAAGCAGCTGGGGTAGGGGAGTAGGCTCTACCCCAAAGTATTTAAAAGCCAATTTTATTTTCGTACAGTTTGTTGTCATATAGCTGGAGGCTATATGACAATGTGTGAAGTGACTGTGTTTCTGCACATCCAGGGTGAAGTATGATTTTTGTTTTAAGTACAGTGTGGATTAGGGCAGGGTGATATGAGGAAAAAGTTTATCATCATATATATTTTTCATATCAGTCGATATTGATATATATCACTGTATAAAAAAATCTCTTGTCAATCTTAAATGTTCCCTGTTAAGGTCCTTATACACCAGGAGCATTTTTTTCGTGCGATTATTTTGGACGTCTATGTTTTTTTTTCGAACCAGTATCCTGTCAATACAAGCGTTCACATCAGCGACGTTTTCCCATCCTGTGATATTGCGGCATTTATTTTTTCGGATCATGGTAGATTTTTCTAAAGTTTCGCATACTGTGTGTCCACTTCTGACCAATCAGATTGCGTGTTTTTACGACATCAGATTTACCGGTATATCCAACATGGCCGACCAGCTGATTGTTTACATGTCGGAGAACAGAGTGCTTTTTGATAAAAGACACAAACATTACAAAGATAACGACCTGAAGGACAACTTTTGGAGAGTCAAAGCGTCAGATTTCTCATATGACGATAGTTTGTGTGCTTTAACAGTTTGCTAAATGTCTTGTTTAAACTTTCATCTGTGCTAAGTAACTTTAGCTTGAAAGCTAACCCGTTCAGATACAACTTACCATATGTATTTTCACTGTCTCAAACTCAATCACAGCGTTGCTGTCACAGCACCATTAGGTCTCGGTTGTTACCTTATGTTTATGGATTATAGTTTCATGTGTTTATCTGGTACTGGCCCTGACTCAGTACATGCTATCATGACAGGCAGTCATCTCAACACTAGTGTCTAATCAGAACTAAAAACAGTCAGTCTGCTGTTGTGTCAGTCTTCTCGCTTCCACCCAGGACGTGTCTTTTTTCCACCCGAAAAGTCGCAAAATCGCATCGGGCTTGATGTGGACAGTCAGGCGCGTCAAAATTCGCCTTCAAATATTTCATAATTTTGCGTCACATTTGCGTCATTCCTGGTGTGTAAGGACCTTTACTCTTAAATGAAATTTAACAGTAAGCTACTGCATCTGTGAGGTCTTTGTGTCTCTTGGACCTTTTCATGTAAGGCGTTGCGCAAGAGCAGTGGTTCTCAAGTCCAGTCTTCGAGGCCCACTGTCCTGCATGTTTTGGATGTTTCCCTGCTCCAACACACCTGATTCAAATGATCAGCTCGTTATCAAGCTCTGTAATGGCTTAATAACGAGCTGATCATTTGAATCAGGTGTGTTGGAGCAGGGAAACATCCAAAACATGCAGAACAGTGGGGGCTCGAGGACTGGATTGAGAACCACTACACTAGAGAAATCGGACTGAATGATCGGTTCAGCGCGGCTAGACCTGGAGCAACTCCCCTTTTCATTGGCTGTTTGTATAGTCTACCAAAACATGGCAGAATGCCGACTATTGAAAAGCATATTGACCATGTTTTAAATCGATATCAAGGGAAATTAAATTTTGATATATTATTATCATTTTATCGCCCAGCCCTAGTGTGGATGGTCCCTGCGCACTTGAGTTGCTGCTGACTGTGCACAGGCATGCATTAGTTGAGAGCTCAATTAATTGTAATAAGTACCAACGGCAGTAAATGCAGTAAGTAAACCCGTTGACATGTTTCTTGGACCATATGTAAAACTTTTTTCAAGGAAACTTGAAAAATGAAAGTGGTGTAATGACATCTTTTGACTGTGTTGAGATTCATGTATTTGGAAGACTAAAGTGTTTTGTAGTGTTGACGTTACACAATCAGCCAGTTGTAATGCAGTTGAAGGAAATATTGTGTTTTTGCTATTTTTTACTCAAAATGTGTTTTTTTTTTGTTAAATCTTGCACTACTTTCAGGAAATACTGAAGTAAAAATACTGTTCTAAAAAGAAGTATAAATACACAGAAATAACTCACTTCGTGTCACATCAGTGGGTGTATTTTGTCACAGAAATTAACTAATGTCTCTACTCGTGTACAGAGGGGTGAATGCAGAACACACCCTAGTTTATCAAACTCAGATCGTATAGCATACAAATGGGCGGCCTGCTCAGGTATAGTAGATCTCTGTGCGGCAGACACTCTTACAAATCAGCATATGAAGGGGCGACAGTACTGTGGGCACCTGTTTTCCAACATTCTCTAAGCTCTGTAATTCAACAAAAATAATCCTTACAAAAAAGGATGTCACTAACATGATCTTGCTATCTGCAGATAATAGCTTGAAGGTAATTGTTGGCAATGGAAAGCGTGAAACTTTCTGCACATATATCAGCCATTCTTTACAATGTGTACGTCGGTATCAGTATTCCCCCAAAATGAGTTTGAAGAAACCAACATATCAGGTGTCAGCTAAAATCCAATGTTGTTATAAATCCGACAAACAGTGACTGAATAGACTCTGCCATCTTGCTGATAAATTGTACAATTCTTCTACACTTGTTTTTTAGAGTTTTTCTTTTTTTAATCAAGTTTTTATGGACTCTTTTTTTCTCGATCTGTAAATCACAGCTTTTGAAAGAACATGTCATACTTAGTAACGGGGTCAGCCACACCTCCACTCTGAGTAACGCTTGCTCCCAGTTACTAAATCACTCTTTAGAATCAGCTGAGGGTTTTCTGAGCTCCGAGCTCTCTGAGAGGATTCTCACAGTGTGCGTGAATCTGGGCAGCACTGCTCTCTAATAACACTCTGGTTGTTCTCTTGACAGGCTAATGCAACACGTTTAATAGACTGATAGACTTTGGCTCGTCGTCACACTGAGTGCTGCAGACTGGTGCAGCACTCAGAAGATTGACACAGTCAGGAAAAGAGAGAGAGAAAACAACAACAACTGGGTTTTTATTGCAAACGGTGTGATAAAAAAGCTCATCACGATCAATTGATTGGAGAAAAAAAAGGTCTTGAAGGTTTATAGAGTTGTCAACTGCTTTTTTTATGGCCCTTGTGTCACTATGAGTCATTCTCCATTTGGAAGACATTGCTGAACTTCATGTTATGTCTTTCCTGGTACCTGACACATTTTTTTGTATTTCTCTGTAATGTTTGTTTATGCAACAGTTTCACTCATAACGCTTCACTTTCTCTGATTTTCCAGCCTGTGATCAGAACCCATGGAGACAGCTGGAGTTTGTGAGATTGATGTGGGCACCAGAAGAATAGTGGGAGGCAGTGATTCTCCACCAGACCTGGACAGTCCATCTCAGGTAAAATCTGGGATTACACAATCCCACCATTGAAACAGCACAGGTGTTATCTGGGCAGATAGTTGAGTATTTTTGAGTTTGTCATACTTAATGCTACAGACACCTTTCTGCCAGAACCCAACAGGCAGAGGTAAGGAACCAAACTGTGCATTGTTATTGGCAGTTAAAAGAACCAAGAACCAAGGCCCTAAAGGCCCAGATACTGGGATGGAACTGGTTTTGGAACTTTCTGTATTTCAGTCATCTGGATTTGTGTTGTCATTCGCAGGAGGTAGCAGAGTTTGATTTGGGGTTGTGCTGCGCTGAAGAGGAAAGAGGTGAGACACCCGGCAGAGAAGACAGTCCTAGTGACCTTGGGGAGGCAGAGCTTGACCCTGGAGGAGACCCCAAGACTGGAGAGGACCAGGCTTTTGGTAGGAACCTTACAGTGTACTGAATAGGCTGAATGAAGCATGCTCCTCTTTCGTCTCATGTTTAATGAGGATTTCCACAGTTCTCGTGGTTTCAGTCCTTTTAAAAAGACACTCTCTTCTTCTTTGCTTTCAGGGAAAGAGGTCGTTCTTTTAATGCAGGCTTTGAACTCACTGGCCACCCCCGAGGAAAAACTGGCTGCTTTGTGCAAGAAATATGCAGACTTGGTGAGTTGAATATGTGAATATCTAATTTGACACGGGATGTGTATTAAAAGTGTTTTCTTGAATCAAGCTTTGGGAGTGTTTAAAATGCTCTTGATTGTCCCATTAGAAAATTATAATGCATATAACTGAGTGTAAGGAGGTTTACGAATGATTGAGCCTACTGGATATCAACAAGTGGAGCAGGCTCATACAAATATTTAACTAGTGACCCCAACATAAAGATATTTGACAATCATAGTTTTCTACCCACTTGTTTTCTCTGAGAAAAAGAAGCGTGTCCACACGGTCAGGAGTGTCAGGAGTGTCATCTGATCACGATCAGTGTGGCGGCAGGAAACATGTTCTTAGGAGGCACTGTTAATGTTGGCGTGTAGAGGTGATGGTGTGCCAGCGTTTCTAGTCAGAGATCTCTCTGCATCCACTTTCCCACAGACGGTCAGTTTTGTATCCATTGGTGGGGTAATGTCCTGTAAGAAGTCTTAAACCTCTGTGTCCTGTCTCTTAGTAGTAAAAGCTGTTTTGTATTCTCTTGCCCAGAGAAAAAGCCATGTAGATGTTCAAATGCAGACGTGAGCCACAACTGGAAAGGACGCAGCACTTAGACCTTGTTGGTACATTTGACCCTTTCAGACATGCACAAAGTTCCAAAAAAATTACCCAGCATTCCCCTGGGTGAGCTGTATGTGTGTGAACAGAAACAGCCGAGTTTCTCACCCTGATTTCACCCGTAACACTTCCTGCTAGCTCCCTTGGTATCCTGGGTAAAGCCTGGGTAGAAACAAACAGCAAGTCTTCTGCTGGTGGTGGCAGGAGGAGCGGGCGGATGTCTCACCCAGTCAGAGCTAAAATGTTGGTGTGGTGTAAATCAATAAAAAATGAAGTCAGTTTGTGCTTTTGATCAAAGTTGTCAGGTTATAAACAGAGAAACATTTAAGTATGATGTTTCTGTGCGCTAGTATGACCCTTTTATTGAACATTTTAGGAGATATGTAATTCAGGGCATCAATATCTCCTATGAGATTATACTCCCAGGAAGGAATCGCTCCATATCACACCACTACTCTCTTCATTTGCATTGACAGAGGTGGGTGTAGGAACATGCGCTGATCCTCTATTACACAGTCCATCATTAAGACGTACAAAGAAGCTTACCTCTGTTGTGTTGTCCCTGATCTAAGAACAATCCCATGAGGGACAAGCTAGAGCCGCTTAACGGCACATCTCCTTGGGAAACATTATTTTGAGCCTGGAAGAGCAGTGTGTGACAGGATCAGAAAAATCACAGTAAAGTTCTTGAGATGGTCTTAAACCTGCAAGTCCTTTTCAGCATGTTTGTTTCACTGCACTGTTCATACAATGGATATGTTTAATTACTCGTCACATTGGTACAAAAGTAAAACACCACTGTGAAAGCGAACACAAACTTTGAGCAAACTTTATTGCAGTCACTGACAATGAGACAGCAGTGGTGGGTTTGCAAACAGACACGTATATTTGGGGCTAGGAGGAAACAGAAATGACTGAAAGTAAATGAAAACCTTTAGAAGAATCACAGGAAGGGGTCAGTGGTCCTGATCTGAAATGCGGTTGTTAAGCATGACAGCGTTAGCAGCGTCTGTGCGACAGCACAATCAGCTGCTTGACCACCCCTAAGTCCATGCGGCAGGGGAGACTTTATGGGTGAGAACCTCTGAACTTTTCCAGACTAGAAGTCTCAAAAGGGTAAATGCTTGAAACTTTTAACAGCTCCTTGATGTGAAGGACATGTACTATGTACTAACAGCGTGTAATTTTTCCTCAAGAATACATTGTTTATGTGTTCAAGAAAAGTAGCGAGCTGAACCATAATCAAATCTTTGAATGTTTTCAGCTGGAGGAGAGCCGCTCCATGCAGAAGCGTCTGAAAGCCCTGCAGAAGAAGCAATCTCAGATTGTGAAGGAGAAGGTCCACCTGCAGGGGGAGCACAGCAAGGCTATCCTGGCACGCAGCAAGCTGGAGAGTCTCTGTAGGGAGCTGCAGAGACACAACAAGACACTGAAGGTACACCTCAGTCCAACCACAGCTGGATTTATGGGTGTTGTTTGCATCAGCTGACTTTGCTGGTCAATCACAGGCAGCTCAGCCCTATCACAAGGCAAACAATTGATCCATATGTAGATCCCTGCGGACATAATCAATGAACCACTAGAGAAATGATAACAGTGTCAATATTTATTAAGATTGAATCTGTCCTTGGTGTGAATGGAACAGTTTTCCCTCTCTCTGCTCAGCTTCTTTTAGTCCCCACTGAGCTCCTCCTATTTCCACCCTTGTTTCCTGACAGGAGGAAAATGCTCAGCGCTCCAGGGAGTATGAGGAGCAGCGGAAGGAGGCCATGCTGCACTTCCAGATGACCCTGAGTGATATCGAGGTGCAGATGGAGCAGCACAGCTCCCACAACGCCAAGCTGAGACAGGAGAATATGGAGCTGGCCGAGAAGCTGAAGAAACTCATTGAGCAGTATGAGCGCAGAGAGGAGGTATACCCCCCCCCCCCTACTTAAGATTAGAAAAATCAACTGAAGCTGTCTTGCAAACAGTACAAAGAGGGCTGCACGCATGTTCATGTGCTGCTTTATATACAGCCGGGCGTAAGAGGCGCTACGAATGAAAAATCTACCTCCAATCAGGGGTCACAGCAGAGCTACTTCTAGGGAGTGCCAAGAGCTTTTTGTGAGACCATTAAATATGTAAATTTCAGGCATGCCCATGAGTTTGAAAATTCATCTTTTTATGGCATGTTTAAAAGCAGCTTATTTGGCTGACGGTGTAATAGCGGTAATTCCTTGTATTCCAGTAGAGTCCTCACACCTTTGGTCCTGGAGCCCTAAAAAAAAAAGAAATAGTCATGCTGCCATTAGCTCGTCTGTTGGTGCCAAACTTTCCCTATTCAGTTCTTCTCACGTGTCTCTATTGCAGCATATAGACAAGGTCTTTAAGCACAAGGAGCTGCAGCAGCAGCTGATGGATGCCAAGCTGCAGAGAATCACTGAGATGATGAAGGAAGTCGAGGAGAAGCAGCAAAGAGAGAGAGACTTTGTGAGTATCTCTGTGCTTATTTTCACAGACCATAAAAAAATGTCCCCATGACGGGACAAGTTAAGGTTTATCTCATGTTATCTCACAAGTTATGTTGTTTATTTATGTTTTACAACCAGGTCATTGTTAGTAGCTGAGCAGAGGTTAACTGTGTCAACTTTCTCCCTCATTGTGTTGTATGTTGATTCTGAAGCTACTGAAGGACGCTACGGAGTCCAGACACAAGTGTGAGCTGATGAAGGAGCAGGAAACACAGCTCAAGCAACAGGTAGATGCACACACACACACACCGGAAATAAAGACAAAAACACTGTGGTTCCCCATCCGGAATATACAACTCCACATATGAAGCATCATAGGACAATATCATGAAAAAGAAGACCCTGAGCTGTCGGGTTCCTCAAATCACATATCAGACAATAATGGAATGTTTCACTGTGATGATAAGTCCAGAAACTGGTCGACATGTCTCCAAAATATTTGGTAAAAGAAGAAGCAACACAACAGTAAATATGCCCAGCTGTTTGAAATCCTGTTAGAGTCCATCTTTAAATGAGCTTATGATTTTCATCAACACAAACATTTTTCACTCTCAATGTTGTTGTTGGACTTTTGTCAATGAAACAGTTGCAACCATTTGCTAAACTAAACCATCTTTTTTTTGTAACATTTAAGACAGAGTCCAAACTGATATGATTTTTTTTATTATTGTTGAGAGCTTTTGTTCAGCTTCTCTTTCATCTCCTGGCTGAGAGATCTGAAAGTGTCTGCTCTTGTCTGTCCCAGCTCTCCCTGTACATGGACAAGTTTGAGGAGTTTCAGAGCACTCTGGCCAAAAGCAACGAGGTCTTCACCACTTTTAGACAAGAGATGGAGAAGGTGAGGGCAAGACACGGCTCATTGTCTGTTATTGACTCAAGTCACTCGTCTCCCAGTGACTCTTAACTGGTTTGATTTAACCTCCAGATGACCAAGAAGATCAAGAAGCTTGAAAAGGAAACGACACAATGGAGGACCAAATGGGAGAGTAACAACCAGGCCCTGCTGCAGATGGCTGAGGAGGTGGGTTTGAGCATTCACACAGGTCAGAGCTGGGCTCAGGTCTCCATCAGGATTGAATTGGGGGTAAACAGCCACCCTGGTGCTGTCCTAGGGTCAAACTGAACCCAACAACATGAACATGTTCATAATTATCAATATATAGAGAAAGAGAGATGTGTTATTGTATTTCTTTTGAATGAGTCCATCAGTTTGACAGCTTTTTTTTAGACTTATGAAGACCAGGCCTTTGTTTTATTTCTCCAACAAGCTTCTTTGAAGTCCCACTGAGGTTGTTTTTTTTTTTTTTTTACTACTTAAAGTGTTCTCAGTGGTCTTTAAATTGTGAATATAAAGATTTTAGCCAAAATCACATTATCCGTGTCATTTTCAAGAGCTTTTCTTCTGCGTAGCTCCAGTAGCTCATTAGCAATATGCCTCTGAGTCGTGGGCGGAGACAGCGCTGCTCTGCACACTCCTCTTCACGCTAGCTTGCAGCCTAACATTGCCAGTGTAGCAGGTAACATAGGAGCTACTCAACTCTCTGACACTAATGTCTTTGTGGACATGATGAAAGTTAATATCATAATTAGCTTTATTACAAGTATTGCAATCCTTTTCCGCACACGCTTGTTCTGTGATCGTCCTCTCTACTTCTCAGAATCTGGCCTGCATAACGGGGCTCTGGGGGCGGAGCTTGGGTTTGTGACATAGGAAATCCCACTGTGTCTGAGCCTGCCGTCTAGGTCTGCCAGAGATTCACAGCGATTTGAAAGAAGATACTCAGAAATGTGATTTCGCACTAATTTTTCTCATGATATGTCCTGTAGCATCAGAAAAATGCCATATGAACATGCAGACAACAAGAAAAACATGATTTTCATCGGAGTGGGTCTTTAACTGTTTCTCTCTGATGGTCAGTCTGAAGACTACTGCATGTGAGCCAAAGCTCTGTCAATGATGCTCTTTGATTGATTGATGAAATGTTGGCTCTTGTCATAGAAAACCCTGCGTGACGGCCACTTTAAGGCACTGCAGGGGAAGCTGGAGCTGCTGGAGAGGCTGTGCAGGGCCCTGCAGAAGGAGAGGAACGATCTGAACAACCGTCTCAGCTTCCTCCAGGAGCAAGGAGACAAAGGGACCACAGCTCCTGAAGCCCAGCTGCAGGAGCCTCCAACAGGGGAGGCAGATGAAGAAGATGAGGATGAAGATGAGGAAGATCTGGAACAGGACAGCGGGCCCGAGACAGAGAACATCCACCAGTCTCCCAGACCACCTGAACAAGACCCAACACCAGCTGCTACTGACAAAAGCACTACTGCTATGACGACATCGACCAGCCAGCCAGCAGACACACCGCCCACACAGCAGGACTGAGACGGTTGGTGTGTGAAGCTCCACACACCTCCAGCCTAGTTCCATAACAGCAGAAAAGTTGTCTTTGATGGAGGTAGAGATTTCTTTCTTTCTTTGTTTCTTTTTTAATTTTAGACTGGTCTCTCCAGGTCTTTCCATTTAACCCCCAACCCTTCTGTTTTTGTGCGATAGGTAAAGAAGAATGTAACGACTGTATCAAAGAGTCTCTTGTTAAACTTTGCCCATATTTACATTGGTTGTTAAAATTGGCTTTATGGTGAGCAGTTTTACTCTTTGTTTTCTACTATGACTGTATTTTCATAAGGGAATTAGCCTTTCATTGTCTCTCTCTCATGCTCTGTTCCCCTGTCGTCTTGTCCTCAACAAAGTTCTGGTTGGATGAAATCCACAGAGAGGTGTATCACATGGATACTGCCACAGGCCACTTTGACATTATTCTAGCCTTGGAGTCAGAATTGCACGTGGAGAGCTGGAAAAGGAAAGAGATGTTTTGTAGAGCATCTGCAAATTCGTTCTTGGGCTCATTTCACATTGAGGGCATTTTTTTCTCATCACATCATGCTATATGTTGACCAAGTTGAAGCTTTTGAAAGCGTCACAGCAATATTAATCAACATGTGGACATGAAGAAGTCAGTGTTAGTGTGAAGCGTAGTCAGAGAGTTGGTGAGCCACAGTACCTGTCCATCAAGGTGGTAAAACTACCTGCAAACTCAAGATCATCAAGAAGCCTTTGGTATATTCAGGACTCAGTGCTGAGGACAAAAGCCAATCCAAGAATCCAGATCACGCAGACCAAAAACTCATTCACAAGTTTGACTACAAAATGGCGACAGTCCTCTTTGATCTGCTCTAAGCCTATTGAGAGCTCCAGTACTCGTCAATTCCACCATGCGTCACCACACAAGTGCAAAATGTCCCAACGACTCCGATTTCCAGGTCAGACCATTTGAGTAGATTAGAACCACTGACCCAAACCTGTCTTAAAGACACAAAGAAAAATGAATGTGATCGGCGTTTTGATATTGTTTTGACCCCATCCTGTGATTCCCCTCTTACATTAGACTTGAACACTCCCATCTTCTCTGTACTTTCCATTGTCACTGAGCTTTTCTCTTTGGGCACTTTAATAGGTTCTTTTGTTGGCCTGCTAAAGGGATATTCCGGTGTAAACTTAGGTTACGGTCAAACACACCGTAACATCGAGTTAGACAACCAGGCCTCGAGAGATGAATGTTGCCAACCACTTGCTTCGCTAGTTATACCAACTTTAGTAACGACCACACAATAGCAATACACAGCAGTCTGAGGAGCCATAAACAAACCTCAACCAAAATGCCACTCTATAGCCACAAATGCACCTAACTTCATCAACAGTACATATAGGGTCCTAGCCATAGTACTAGCCACCAAACGTGTTTTTAGCTTTGCTTTATTTCTTTAGCAAAAACCTAAACGCAACTCACCTACTCTCTTCCAGCAGCCGCTTGTTTGTGGGGGAGCCCTGACAAGATCACAGAGTGCAGTGGAGTTTCGCAGCTAAAAAGATGTTTGAAGGCTAGTACTATGGCTGGGACCCTATATTTACTGTTGATGAAGTTAGGTGCTGTTCTGAGCATTATTTGTGGCTATAAAGTGGCTTTTTGGTTGAGGTTTGTGAGTGAAGACATAACCCGCTGTGTATTGCTATCGTGCGGTCGTTACTAGAGTTAGTATAACTAGAGAAGCAAGTGGTCGGCAACATTCATCTTTCAAGGGGTTGTCTAACTTGATGTTTCAGTGTGTTTGACCACAACATAAATTTACGCCTGAATATCACTTTTAAAGGCCAGATACCATGAGGACTGCACATGATTTTTTACGCCAGTCTCCCTAAATTGTTGTCTCTGCCCTCTTTTTGGGAATCCTAGTTTAACTTGATTGATCCAAGACCATTGTGTCGCTTTCTTTCTCCCCCTCTGAGATTGTACACAGCTCACCAAAGCGTAGTGAAGGAGCATGTTCCTGCAGCAGTCTACCTTTGGGCTCACCAGCTCGTAGCCTTTCTTTTGAATGCAGTAATAGGGTAAAGTCTGCCAGAATCATACAGGTAATACTTCCAGCTTTTCTTTTTCAGTTGTACACTTAGCAGCTAAGAAAGGCCGTCAGTGACTGATGGTACAGTCCGATTCGATCAGCGACTTCTGCTCTAAACTTCTCCCGTCATGTTCACATTAAAAGGATTCAGAAACGAAGCTGATGGGAACACGAACAGGGTCAAGTGCTGTGTGCATGATTTTCTTAGAGTAGAGGACAAGTCTGGTCACGCCCACTAAGGGGAGACTTTTCAGCATCTGTTCCTCTTTCTTTGGCCCAGACTGACTCTCAGGTAAAGTCAGAATCTACCTCTGCAGGAGAGACTAACTGTGAAAGAAGACGCATGAGTCACCATAGCTTTGGAGAGCTTTATTTTTTACTAAAAAAAACAGATGAGCCCACATCCCCTCTTTGATTGTACAATGTTCTTAAAAGTCCTGTCTTGCTTTTCAATAAACACTTTGTAGAATTTGCAAAACTGTGGTACATTTCCTCATTCCACTAAATCATCAGGTCTGGTGTCATTTTCTGTGCTGGAGGCGTCACTCGTAGTTTGCAGCATTTTTTTCCAGATGTGAACCAATGAGAGTTTAGCAAGCCCTCAATCATGGGAGGCTGTTGGAGCGTTCATAGAAAAGACAAACTTGGATAAAAGAAGCTTTTTCCAAAAGTTAAAAAAGTTTTATTGCAATTTTAGTCAAAGAAAACGAGACAGCTCAACTTCTTCACAGAGCACACAAGTGGAAAAAAGTTTTCCCTCAACTACACTCATTTACTCCCCCACTTTTCACTCCAGCTGAACACTCACTGACGAGTACCGTGTGAACAAGATAAAACAGCAGGGAATGTGTCTTTATGAATATCAGCAAAATACAACACTAGGTAACAAAAATAGCAGACACAAGTGCTCAACAGGTGGAAACATGGCTCGAAAAAGAGGCTTCCAGGACATGAACATCATTTGTACTACAGGCCTAGACTTGATTCACTACAAGTCATTTCAACGCCATTGTTCATAATTTCTCATGGTTTGGGTTTCCTTTCATACTTGCAGCCTTTAAGTGGTTTTCTAGATACTTCCAAGTCAAGCTTCGACGTAAAACCTTGACCTGCGTTAGCCCTTTGAGAACTGCTCAGAATGAGACCTTACATTGACTTTCACACACACTCAGGTTAATTGCTTTAGGTGTCGAAGGTCCTTCGAAACAAAAGAGACAGGACAACCTCAACATCTAGAACCTTTTTTCAGACTGTTCCTGTGTGTATCTGGGACATATCTAAGTGTAAGCAGGAAGAGCGGCGTCCATGCTGTCTGGAACTCTCCATACAGTTCATTCAAGCACAGAGCAGACGTGTCATTTGCACTCCATAAGCCAGTGAGGGTAACGATAGGCTGGGCTGGGGTCTGGAGCTCAGGGAGGAGAGGAAGGCTACTGACAGCAGGGTTAGGATCCCTGTGCCTCCAGCTCAGATGCGGGCGTGTTGTCCGGCTCTTCGTCGTTGTAGATATTCTCAGCCTGTGAGAGAAAATTGGGCGACAGGACAAAACATCAATGCACCTGTACTAAAATATCTTCTCTTGAAGTTACTACAAAGCAACTTTAGCTCTATTTACCATCTGCCAAACTTGCATGATGTTGTCCTCCGACACTGAGCAGATGACCCAGGGTTCATTGGGATTCCAGGAGAAGTCAGAGATCTTGGCTGTGTGACCACCATGGATGAACTGAGAAAGAGATTTGAAACACTTTCAGGACAACTGGACTTGCCTGAGGTTCTTGAAGACGTTTCGCCTCTTCAAGAACCTCAAGCAAGTCCAGTTGCCCTTCAGCCCTGACCTGAGCAATTGAGAACCTACAAAGATGGTCAAGTTTTATGGCTGCTATCATAACTCAACATCTCATAATAAATTAAGTATGACAGTGAACTTACAAGCAGCTCTGGTGGACCATCCTCAGCATCTTCTGCCGACTGCTCCTCGCCGATTTTACTGGAAAATAAAAGGAAACACAAATCTGGATTGGTGTAGTCAGCTTTAAACAAAGGCTGGCCATTCAGTGCGCTTTATGGAAGCAGATTCTTGGAAAGTTGACCGAGCAACATAGATGAGAGCAGCCTTGAGAGGACTGACAAACAATGCAGCCCCAGGAACTTCGAGGAGCTTCACAAGGGCTGGAGTCAAAGCATAAAGAGCCACCACGGAGAGACCCCTGCAACAAGAACTCCTGAACAAGAGACAGCGTCTACCAGAGCCTAAAGTCTACCAGATTTTAGAGACCTTCATGCTCTCATCAGAAGCTTCAGAAGGACTTAGCACCCACCCACAGCACCAAAACTACTCCCAAAAGGTTTACTGACCATGATCTTCCTGATAGGCCAGCTACCTTGCCTCACCTGACCTCCACAGAGAATCTGTGCAATATTTGTTAGGAGGAAAATTGAGGAACACCCAAAACGGACTGAAGGCTGCCATCTAAGCAATCTGGACTTACAACAACAAGCTGGCTGTCTCCGTGCCACACTGATGGGAGGTCTAATTCACTATAATGCACTTGTTTATAGAGGTAAGGGGGGGAAGTTTTACCTGAGATCCCAGACATTGAGACGTCGGTCAGTGCCGCTGGAAGCCAGAATTGTCTCATTGTGAGGAGACCATTGAACCTGTTCAAGCAGACAGTTGGTCAGTAAACAAACGGTAACACAGCAACAGCAACATGGATCAAATGTAAAAAAGTCTAATCAGCTGTGTCCATTTTTAAACAGGAAACTGTCTCCGTTCATCCCTCCTCCAGGAGCTCCTCAGACTAACTACATCTGAGTGTGAAGGCACTCCTGTTAAGTTTTCACTGTTAAGTCAACATCACTTGAACACAACTTTAGAGTCTTACCTGGAAAATTTCATCTTTGTGGGACTCAAAGGAGTGGAGCTTCAGTTTGAGGTTCCTTAGGTCCCACAATGCAACAGTCTGAGAGGAAACCAAACACACTTAGGTATCTCCTGTTTGATACGCTTGATCATTTTACACTTGAACATGTATGTTTGTTTGTTGTCTACCTTATCAGCTGAACCAGTGGCCAGAATGAACTCGCTGTAAGGGTTGAAGCTCAGGCAGTTGACCTCAGCAGTGTGAGCGTCTACTGAGTGACTAGCTTTGGATGTGTTGTTGGACCGAGTGTCCCATCTGGAGGAGGCAGACACAGCAGGGAGAACATTTTTAAAAAGAAAAACAAAAAGGTGTTCATCACTAACCTGACAAATCCACTCTCCACATTCACAATATCAGGCGACAGCATGCCCGTTCGTTTGTATGAAGTACTTACATCATGAGTTTCTGGTCATCAGCCACTGAGCCAAAAAGGGATTCATGGAGCAAATGCCAGGAAACATCCTCCACCACTGCTGTGTGGCCTGTGAAGATGGTCTTGGCATCCAAAACCTTCGCTTCCTTTGGGCCAGAGCCGATATCCCATAGACAGATGGTCTGAGGAGGAAAACCCAGTAAAGGGGGGACACATTATAACTGACTGGTGATGAGCTGGAAAACACAGTTTTTTTCTTCCACGTCTTTCTTCACAGAGTTTTTTTGTTGTATTACAATACAATATAATACAATACCGTATATTTTCAACATTATATTTTACCCTTAAATCCATAAAATACCACCCTTGTGATGATTCAGATCATCACTTTTGTTGGATTTTTCCATTTGAGTGAAAAACGTGTGTGAGAGAAAGAGCAGCCTTCACCACAGTGGCCAAGAAAGTTTTAATCATCATCTAGTGTTGTGTAAAGCCAATTAGAGGAACATGGGACGGACATATCAATCTGAATTTAAAGTGGAAGTGCAAACTCCTATCACAAGAGATCACTGGTAACTTGTGGGGGAGCCTCTGGGAGTGCTGCTGAGCTTGTATAGGGTCTTGTTTTTTTCTCTCTGTGCCCCCTCTCTTGATACAAAAACAGACACACATACAGCAGTTTTCTGGATGAGTAGGGGAGTGTGTTGTCCGCAGTAAGAGGGGCATTGCATATATATATATATATATATATATATATATATATATATATATGTATATGAGTAAATCTGATAAATTGCAGCACCCCGTTTTTTTAATTTGTTGCTGACCCTCTTTCTCTTTTTTGCACCTCCCCCCATCTCCCTTCAAACTCTGACTTGGTTGTATTTGATGGCTGTTCAAGATGAGTCTGGTTCTGCTCATGGTTTCTGCCTGTTTAAAAGGAGGTGCTACCTCGCCACTGCAACTTGTTAAATGCTGGAAAGTGCTCTGCTCATAACAGTGGTCACTTCATCAGTCACTTACGTGGTCATCTGAGGCACTGAGGAGATTTCCACTAAGGTTGGAGTTCCAAGAAAGGCCATAACCCTCCTTCTGATGGCCTTTCAGCCTCAAATCAGGATGACACTCCCCACTGGGATCTGAAACACACGAATAAAGCCTGTTTACAACCCTTGCGATGTGAGTCATGAACAGCAACATTTGGATGTATTTATTTCAAAGTAAACAAGCACAGTGATGGTCCAACCTGGTTTGGAAGGGTGCTTAGTGTAGTCAAAGACCAGCACATCACAGGTGGGAGTCTTGGTGGCGATGATGCAGGGATTCTGGGGCATGTAGCGGGCTCGGTTCACCTCTCCCTCGTGGTTGATCTTGATCTCAATTTCGATTTTCCCACTAACCGAACCAAATCCACCAAACTCTGACGAGAAATTACATCAAGACTGTGGTTCATCCAGACTGGCTTCTGTAGCTTTGACCCTGCTTCACTTTAACAGGGAGCTTTTTTTTAACTAAATGTTATTGCATGTTATTGCATATATATATATATGTGTGTGATTCATTTCTCTGTTCAACTGTCATCCAACACATAATATAATCAGCAGGTAGGATCACTGGATCAGTCCTGAATGTTGATTCTTGCTTGAATATCTGTCTCTCTTCTCTTTTCTGTTACTTGACTTCAACAACTAGTGCAATTCAGCTAAATTTGTAATGAAATTTGTTTAAATGGCTGAAAGGAGAGAGTTTCTGACAGAGGAGGAAGTCTCAAACCAACATTTAAAACACTAAAACGTGTACTCTCTCTCATGATGCATTTACTTGACGGGTTTTGTGTGTAATGAGGTTTGTACAAGAACTGTACCTTGGAATTGTTCAGCTGCCACACTAGCATATACAAACTACCTCAGACAGTACAACATAGAAGACGTGATCCTTTGGTACTCTTATAGTCACAGTGGCGCTCATTAACATACCTGCTGGAAGAGAGAATAAACAGTGTCAGCATGAGTCCTACTTTGATAAATCAATGCCCTCACCATAAATGTCTGATCAAATACTAGACTAGTCTCCGACACAGACTGCGGTTGATACCCGCCTCTTTTATCTCGTTTAATACAGCTCATTATCTACATACATTTCATTTTTTTAACCCTCCTGACCTTACAGACGTCTTTACAGTGCTAACAAGCAAACTTTCAGGTACTTCACATTCAGACAGGGTGTATTTACCTCCTTTCTCGCTGTCATAGTGCGAGGCATCGAATTGCGCGTCGTCATTTGGTACTTGGACGCTGGCAATCACGAGATGGTTCTGCTCATCTGATGTATGAGTCCCTAGAGCCAGCCTGTGAACGCTGTAGTCCTTCCCCTCCGGCCTGCAAAGATCCAAAGTAGTGACATGACTTGAATAGTGACGTGACCATAAAACCTATAGTCTACTTTTTTTTCCCAATCGAAGAAAGGCATTGATAAGGGAATCATTAAAGAATTGAATCGATACGCAGAATCGATAATGGCATTGATATCGATAAAATCTTGTCAATTCCCATCCCTAAAAGTGTCAGAGGTCACCTGCGCCCAAAGACAGTGGTCGGTAAGAGAAAAAGAAAACAGACTATTCATTCAACTACTAAACATGTTAACCTCTGTTTCATATGTAAAAATACACAAAATAAGTACAAGAGCTTTGTGATAATGCAAAGGTTAGAATTTATTTGTAGAATACTTGCACTTAAGTATATCAAAGTATGACCTGGACTGTATAATATTGGTAAATTTGAACAAGACGCAGCTGTATGTAGATGTATTCAGGTGGCAAAGAGCTCAAAACCATCTTAATACTGTCAATTTTTTAAACAGATCTGCTTTGACGGACTGGTTCTGGAAAAAGAAAAATCGGCTTGAAAACAAGACCTGACATTGTTCCTAAGAAATTTTCAAAAGCGTGTTAGAAGGATTTCAAGTACCTGTTAACATCTGGAAGCCACTGGACTGTGAGGCTGGGCCACTCCAGCGCGTGGGTCATCACCAGGTCGTACAGGAAAGGTGTGTTCTTCTTCCAGATCTTGTACTCTTCATTGATGACCCTCTCCTCCACGGCATCATCATACACTGAAGCAGAGCAGACAAAGCCTTGTGTTACTTAAAATGGTGGTGGACCAAGTTTGGGATTGTATACATAAATTCATTCTGTGTTCGTTTACACACAGTAAACCAGTAAAACCAGCTTGGTACTGATGGTCTTTATTTTGACAGACCCTAGAGTGCCCCCCCCAAACTGTGAATGATGGCGTGTAATGGTACTTGGTGAATGATAAAGCGTGAAGAAACATAATAATGAGGTGCTGAGGGTATTTCAATGATCTACTGTGTTTCCCTGACTGAGAACTGTTACAACCGTCCACTACAGCAACCTTCTGACTTAGCAGCTAACTAAGATTTGAAGCACTGAGTGTATAAAGAATTAAAGGGTTCAAGACTTTATATAAGCTTGTCTTTAGACCAAAAGACTAATAAACCTACAAGTTTCCCGTCTGGATATGTTAGCTGTCGTGCTAGCACGTATGGCACAGTCGAGCCGCCGTAGTGAGCTCACAAAGCGACACACGAGGAAAACGACTGAGGTTTGATACGCCTGGTACTGTAAGCGAACCTACCATCTTTATCAGCCATTTTTCAAACTCTGGTCTTTGTCACAGTGCTCGAAAGCAGAGTAACAACGAAGACGCCGTTTCTGTTCACACAACTGTCCCCCCCGCCACTGCACCGCCTGTCTAACGCTTGGCGTCTTCCTTTTCAGCGCCGAATTGCTGGATACCTACGGCGCCTGCGTGTATGCATTTACATCAACAAGGATCAATACTGCGCTTGGACTGCGCATATTGCATTTAAAGAAAAAGACTGCGCAGATTAGTCAACGATGCAAAGAAAGTATGTACTGTGTCAACATTTTTACAGGAGCCTCCAGCAAGAACAAATAGATGATACTTTTATGTTTCTGATTGCTTGTTGTTCTTCACTATCTACTGTATTTTATTGCCCTACTGTTTTTTCCCCCTGTCTAAAAATGCATTGTCGCCTTCCCATATTATTAAGTATTTCTCACTGATATGTTATTACAATATTGAAATTACTGTATTGAACTGATTCTGCTATGTTTGGAATTGTAATTTTGTTAACTCTGAATAAAGCGTAAAAAAACGAACAAAAAAAAACAAATAGATGAAATTAAATGCAACGGCAAACTTTAAAAACAAACCCACATATTATTTTAGCTGTGCTGCTTTTTTTTCAGTGAAATTTAGTGGTTCAAGTTTTCTCTCAAGCAGGGATGTAAAAAGAAATTTTGGGCTGTGTGTAAATATAAATACACAGAGCCCCAGTGGAGTCTCTTACTGGTTCAGTCTGTGTATTTTTAGTCTTATTAATGAAAGACGTTTCTGTACATTTGAACAGATGATGGTAATATGACTGCTGTGTGAGTTCATTAGTCATATCATAAATTAATTGCTATAAGTCATGCTTTACTCAAAATAAGTGAGTAAAGCATGTGGGAAGGTGACACACAGTTCTTCTTAAGGCTGGGTGATATGGCCTTAAATCAATATCACGATATATTGTACAGTTTACCTCGATAATGATAAATAGACGATTACTACTCCGCAAGCTGCCCACCTCCTCCCACATTAACTTTGTTTACGTCAGTTGCACTCCAGCCGCTACAACTTTTGAACCGTCCTCCATCTCTTCACCTGTCGTTCCTTCTTAGTTATGGTCTGAATGGGGGGGAGTCACATCTCTGACGTAGGACAGCATCATAAAGGTACACAAGACCATAGCCTACCTACACACATCCAAAACAAACTTTCATTTAATTTTTTTTGACACCCAATATACCGATACTGGCAAAATGATGTTGGTTATTGTCATAAATTTCGGTATCAGTACATTTTCAGTTTATCGCCCAGCCCTAGTTCTTACTACCATCATCACTCACTGTCTCTGCAGTTTAGACACTTTAGATTTGTAAGACCATAATTATCGCAATAAATGGACACACTGTTAGTCTTAGACACCCTATCAATCCAACCCTCGGCAAGTGACAGACATCAGGACTAACCATAGTCACTGCATCCGCTTACCCTCAAAACCTGTGTTCTCTGCTCAGTATCAGCAGATATGAATTTATATTCCCCCCTGAGCCGCAAAAATGACCAAACAAAAATCTCAGAGTCTGTTAACATCTGGAAGCTACTGGACTGTGAGGCTGGGCCACTCCAGCGGCTACCAGATGGCTACTGGGATTTTATTCTCAAAATGATAACTTACGATCTCATAATAATTACTGAGTTTATTTGCTGTTTTATTATTTAGATAACCTATTTTATTTTCACTACCATCATAATTCTATGCCCACTGTATCACATTATGTTAATTTGTTTCTCTGAATGCAATGTAGATACACAAAAGTCCCAAAGGCATCAATCATGGCAGGTCAAGTGTACCAAAAGCATGTCCTCAAGGTAATATTGAGTACAAGCTTAAAGAAACACATGAGCATGAGAGCATCTGAATCATGATTTAGGTTCCAGCACCTTTTATTTGATACTTACCCTCAGAGAAAAGGTTCGACTCTTCTCTTAAAGGTGGTAAGGATCATTGAATTGAAAATTGTGTAAAACTTGGCAGCAGTTTTACTTTGATGTGTGTGTGTGTGTGTGTGTGATGAGTTGTAACAGCATTCAGGGTGCATTCCAATAAGTTTATTTTGTAAAAGTCTCGTCCATAAACAGCAAAAACAGTTTACAGTTAATTACAAACTCTGAAAATGCAAAGCATATTCCAAATACAAACATAACAAAGATTCTAAACAAATAATAAGCATGAATTTACATACAAATGTCTTAATTAACTATCATCAAAAAATAAATAGGTCTATATCTCAAGACAACAGTGGAAGCAAAGTAAAGGCAACTGGCACAGCGTTTCAAGACAGTAGTCTGGTGTCCTCTCTAATTCATCCAAGAAAACTGTCACATAGACGATGGAGAGTTTGGCTGTTTCAAAATGCATCATCACACTGCATGTATCCATAACTGAGCAGGTAAAAGCCATTGTCACGCCTAACCCTAATCCCTGTCAGAGTTTATGTGGTTCAGCTGAAAACACTGAGAAACAGTGGATCGTTTATTGTCGTCACTCCAATTCAGTGGCATACCAGTGGTTGCCTGATTTCAAACTAAAAACTAATGATCAGGATTACAACTGTGGAGAAGAGTACAACATGCCACTTTTAAAAAGCTTTGAAATATACAGTGATCTATTTCACAGATACACAGAAGAACAGATGTAGTACTTTTCCATAAAAAGATGAGCAGTTACCTAGAGCAGTCCGAGTAGAATAATGGTCTATATTCTACAAATTAAAATATACAGATATAGTTAATAGTGAGTTACAATGTGTAACCCAGTTGTGCACAACACTTCATACACATATCTATGTATTTCCATTCATCTTTTTTGGATTACATAAAAGAGTAACATATAGGGTGATGGGCAATGTTTGACAATAACTGAATTTTAGATTAGCCCCTCCTGGAATCATCATTGTAAAAAGCAATTTTAAGCTACAACTAGAAAGATCAGTTCACTGCAATACCCAACATATATCATAGATGGTAGGAGAGTATATATATGGAGGTCTTATCAAATGCATTTGTACACAGTGATAGGTGATCATGAATGATACACTACCTAGGTATACCTGGCCCAGTTTAAATACTCAATGATGGCTAACTATATCAAGTGTGAGTATGACGTATTGGGAAGAACGAAAGACTCTCCGACCCATGGTTTATCCAGCCCTCGGTGGGACATGTTGAAACATTCTTGTAGCATGTCACATACCAAGAGGAGATGCACCGACACTTTATTATTTTTTTACTGAAACACAGATTTCACAAACTTCTGTAAAAATGACCTTCTAAACTTCTATCCGAGCTCATTTTTCTAACAGTTATTGAAGAGACAGGAGATATTCTCACCATTAGCACATATATATGAAACACATTGTATACCAGGTTGTGAATAAATACTGATGTTATGGATAAAAAGTTTTACAGGACATCATGATCAAATTCCAAAACTGGACCCGTGGTTGCCTGTACTCATTGGTGTGTGTTTTTTGTTCTGACCACCCTAACAGCTTCTGAGTGGTTAGATTAGCTTAACCTCTTCCTTGAAGGTTATGACAGTGTAAATACCCACATTTATACATACAGTAGGTAGTATCATTTGGCAAATATTCTAGCAGGAGAGCTTTAGATAAACAATTTGTGATGTCTCTACAATATTGCTCAGCAATAAAAGTCTTTAAGTTTCTTTATATCTCTTCATTTACCTGAACTTTCTTTACATGACCAATACCAGCTAAGCATCGAAGGCCAATAGACAGGAATAATTACTAACCTAAAAGTAGTCCTTTGAATTTTGGACAGTTTGCCATTTCACATGACTTTGATTTTTGTTGAAGTCCTGAATAATTGTGTGACATGATGGCCGGTCTCTCTTAGGCCTTCATATGATGAGTGACACCAGTATCAGTGTGGCTGTATCTATTTAACACAGACTGAAGTCCAACAGAGAGGTGGAGGAGACAATGGCAGCCATTAGATGGTGCTGATGAGAAATCATGTTGTTGCTTCCTCTCTCCAACATCACAGCTACAAAGAACGATTTTCCATTCACGCTCTCTTCAATTAATGTTCTTCTATGAGTAGCTGGTTCTTTGGGAACACAATAACATTTATTGTTAGCATCAACCCTGCTTTGACTCAAGGTACTTACATGGACATGTAAAATACAAATAACCAATTTTAATTAAGAGCACCATGATACTAGCAGCTATACAATCAGACTAAAACGTAAAAAAGGTACAGAGTTCTGTTCCACCTAAATCACGATTGAGTGATTTACAAGGCAACAAGAAAACTTCCTGTCGGCTAAACCTACCACTGCTCTTTCTTTTTGTGTTCATCTGATGATTCAAAGCCCCTTTTTTTCCAGTTCATTTTTGGGATTTGCAGTTGAGAAATTTTTCTGGCTTTTTGTAAACATTTCTAGAATTTTGAAGCCTGTAAATAATCGTGGTGAGAAAGTGGAGAGTAAAAGTAGCTCGAAACTTTCAAAGTGGGTTTCTTCATACCCTCACATCATCAGTAACAGAGTTACATGGAAGTTGCCTTCTTGTCTCCAGTTTTGTTTTTTTTTCTCTTTCTATTGTATTCACCTGCAGCCACACTCACAAACAGCAGCAGCTGTATTTTTCTGACAGTGTACCAAAAACACAGCAGTGTACGATAAGACTATACAGCTGTGGAAAAGCTCATGTGAGGATTTGTTCATCTCACCTTACTGTCAGTGGTGTTTTGCATGATGTCGTTGTCTGGGTCTCCTCCCTCTGAGCCACTCTTCTGCTCCTCATCTTTGCCATCCTTCTCTAGGTCATCCTCTCCAGATGAGATCCTGGATAGCTTGGATGATTTCTGCCACAGACACACAGATCAGGATGAAGAAACATTTGCTGAAATTCAGAATTTTAAAGTTTCTGTCTTCATGTGGCAAAAATAAACGCAGCTTTGGATCACTTCTCTAAACACTTTGAGGATGTACTGTCATTATGTTGTTTAAGAAAAACAAAGTCAAATCAAAAATACTTGAGACAAAAAAAATCCTCAAGAGTGAAGTTCCTAGTTTGGTTCAGATAATCTGAACTCTGAGTACTCACAGGCACCAAACAAGAGAAAAATGAAATAATGGTTTAAGATCTCTAACGATTTTCTTCATTTCTGAAAGTGAGCAAATTGGCCTTTTGTTTTATGTTATCTCCAATCATTGTCTAAAACTGTAATCACACACCCAGCTCCAAGCATGTGGTTATTTTCTACGCAGTCAAAGTCATTTCTACAATACCCAGCTTGTGTTCACAACCCGAAATGTAGAGTATCTTTCATATCCAGGCAAAGGCATTTCAAAGTCCTTCATAAACGATAAGCTGACTAAGCAACAAAACTTTGACAAGGTTTGACATTTCTCCAGTTCAGCTTACTCCTGCTTTTCCCCTTAAAAGATGTCCTCCCTATCTTTCACATGCCACTCTTACTAAGCCCCCATGTGCACAGCTTTAAAAAGTTGAAAATAAGACACCTAACACCTACAATGTGCTTCAAGTAAAGAAAGGTGGTCAAAGTAGGGGCATGGCCAACTAAAATCAACTACATATTTAACTTTATGACCACAAGGGGGAGGGGTTAGAAACTCTAGAACATATTGAAGGTGATTGGAGCAGTAAGTCATTCCATTAATCAAAAACTGATTATGGGTCACATATGGTCACTTTGTGAATCCTCACAAATCTGACCCTTTAGTAGTTTCTGTTAGAAAGTTAAATATAGGTGTCATAGGAAGTATCAGTGCCTCAAATCATTTGATAAAAGCCTCAATCCTTTAGGAGCTTCATACAGCGTCAACAACTTCACTGCTGGTGGCTGTTTCACAGTGTGATTGTGCACATGTGTTTGTGTTTGTGTGTATGTGTCTGGCGTGTAAATGAGAGGGAGGAGTTAACAGGAAAACGGGGACCAAAAATCAGCCCCCTTCACAAGGAACCTGGTTCTTCTGTGTGAGACTCTAAACACACACACACACACACACACACACACACACACACACACACACACACACACACACACACACACACACACACACACACACACACACACAGGGTTTTACTGATGTGACAGGACATACACACACATCAGCACACCGCTCCCCAACAGGGCCAGATTCCTTCAGATGCACATGTGCTGTGCGTAATAGACTCCAGTTGCTAGGCAACAGTGGTTGCTAAGTGAAAAGCAGGATGCATGTGACTTTTTCAACCTTCTTCCATTTACAGCAGCAGTGGCTTTTGCACTAATACAGTAACACACTGTGGCAGTGCTCGTCGGTCTGCAGCAAAACATGTTTCCATCCATTCAAACATGGAGGCTTTATGCCCAAATAAAGACAAGGTCAGCCTGAAGAGGACTGCATGGTGAATGAAATAAAACATCACAAACAGACACTGACACAGAAGGATGGTTAAATGTGGGAAATGTCAAACACATGATCAGTAGGTAATAAAAAAAGATAAACCAGCTAAACAAAAAACAAACAAACAAAAAGAAAACACATTCACTTTCTCTATGAAGTTTTAGACAACCCCAAAATCTACTCTCCAGTCCAGCCTTCAATAATGGGACTCATACAGGAGGAACTAGTGCATCTGCTGGGGATCAAAGACTAATCAAATACCGCTGCTTCAACCAGTGTTTTCCCAGAGGGACTCAGTCAGAGTAAACTACAGAGTATCACTCAGTCCTAAAGCAGTCTGTCATCCAGTGCAACAGTCACAGTATTTTTAATCCTGCGTTTAAGCACTTGAAAGAAGAAGCCTGTTTAGTGCTGGTCATCTAAAATGTTATTCATTTGTTAAAGGGGGATAAAAGAGCAACTACTCCAAAGTGGCAGAGTATGCAGATATTTTTAAGGCGAAGTCCATATTCCCTAATATCTGCAGGGTCCAAAGATTGTTTCTACTTTAGCATCGAGCTTGCTGTCACTGTCTCATGTTGAGTGATCTCTCTAAACAGGATTGTTCTGTATCTGTGTTCTTATGGTTCGTTCAGTACCTTGGATAAAGCTGTCTTTTTCCGTTTGGATCCAGTCTTGTCTCCCTTCAGCTTCTCCTTGTCATCCTCCTCTTCAACAGAGTCGCCCTCCTCGCCCTCACTGCTGCCATCAGCGTTGTTTCCCCCCTCTTCTGTTTCCGATGAACTCTGTTGCTGGATGGCCTACAGATGACCGACATTTGCTACTGTTAGACTTCAACCGTGAATACTACTTACAATGTTTTTCACTGAAATTTCAGGATATGATAATGAATTCATCTTCAAGCTCAAACACTATCTGCTTTAAACACCCTTTGTTTGTGTCTTACAGTTCTGGCATGGCAACATGAAGCCCATCTGGTAACCCTGCAACCCAGCTTATGTTTCCTCCCTCTGTCTTTTCTCTGGACCACAGACATAAAGAAGGCTGACAGACCTGGTAGCCTGTGAACTTGACTCCAGGGTTGTTTTCGATCTCCCACAGGCCCTCATTGAAGCCTTTCCTCTTGTTTGATTTCCCAAATTTGTCTTTATACTCTTTGTATGGAAGAAGGTCCTTTGGGCCCAAGAAAGCACTACAGAGATGACACATTCACAACAATCACTTCTCTGTCAGACAAAGTATGATGTGTTCAAGACAATCTGAGCTACTTCAGGTCAAAGCACTGTGACTATGACTCTGCTATAAACTACAGATGGAAATACTTAACCACACCTATCTATGAGTTTAATTTTGCAGAAGCATAAAAACAAACCTGCGTATGTTTTAAGTGCTGACACAAATCAGTGTTAACCACATTTTAAAAACAGTTCTGGATTAGTTTATTACTTGCTCATTTTTAATTCAATATAGAAAAAGTCTGAACTTGCTAAAAGACAGTTTGAGAAGTAGGGGACACCAGGGCTTGTTGTCACATGGGTAAGTTGTCACATTGCAATTATCTTTGCCACCAGAGGGCGCGACTAAAAAGTGGAATACTAGTTTTCTTCCTTTACATGGTCAGGGGTCGTGTCCTGTCTGAGAAGAGAAGAGCACATTGTGAGCTGAGATGAGCGCCAATTAACCATTTCGTACAACCTAAATTAAAAAACTAAAAAAAAACTAAACATACTTTAAAATAAGCTTCTTCCAGACAAAAATCCTAGCAGTGAAACATGTGGACTTGTTAGAGGAAAGATTAAGGCAGTGGTCCAGTCCTCGAGGCCCACTGTCCTGCTCCAACACACCTGATTCAAATGATTAGCTCGTTATGAAGCCATTCCAGAGCTTGATAACGAGCTGATCATTTGAATCAGGTGTGTTGGAGCAGGAAAACATCCAAAACATGCAGGACAGTGGGCCTCGAGGACTTGACTTGAGAACCACTGGATTAAGGCATCCTGTCATAGCTCAGTCATTGTTCTGTTTTAAGATAACTTTAAGATAGGGCTTTAATCAGCAAACATGGTAGTTTGGGGCAACATGTCTCAGTCATTTTGGGGTTAGTTGTCACATGTTTAAAAGAGATTAAAATTAACATAGAGGGTCCTCTTATCAGCAGTTGTCATATTAAAATTTTGACTTTACTTTTATGGAGAAAAGAGTGGTTTGAAGGAGGAACATCTGGCACACCTGTAGCACATCTCTGTAACGTTATAGCAGTGTTGGTGTTTGGATAAACTGAAGGCTAACCCATCCAGGGAAAAGAGGCGCTTACGTTTCATGGGTGCCGAAGAAGAAGATGGGGTACTTGTTGGCTGGTGGTTTGACAGCTCCTTCTGGAAGCTCATCAATCTGAAGGACAGAGAAAAATAGCAGGAGTTACTTAATATTGAACAAAGCCCTTTACTTTATTAAACTGACATTTGTCAATGTTTACCACATTAACTTCAGACAGGACAGAAGCGACTATAGAGTCTCTGTAAAGCACAAAGACAGCATGGATGGGTTTAAAACACAGTGAAGTAGCTACTCAGACCTGGGCCTTTATAGGATACACCTTCTGGAGGTAACTTGTTGTATGAGGTGAAAAATGGAGCCTGACTTGGGGCTGCACAGTGGACATCCACCGTAACACAGGGCATGGTGGCTCATGTGCGCCACTGAATCTAAGGCCATATTTAGTCTGCGACCAGCTGGTTTCAGAGTCAGATCTACTGCAGCTGAGACGGGCTTATTAATTGTGCTAAAACAAAGTGCTACGGGTTACTTTAGGTCAACTACAAACTCCCTTATACCAGAGATGACAGCTCAGTGAAAACATTACAATTAAAAATCACGTGTTGAACTGACCAGTGGAAATTCCACATAAAAATATGCTTTAAAACTTAGAGTAAGCCCTGAATGGAGCGGACCGTATTTTAGTGAACCCAATACAGGTTTTTCCCCCATTTCTAAAATGTCCTCATTTGGACTCAGCCTGGAGGAAAATACTAAAGCTTCTGTCTGATAAACCCTGGATCTGTGTTATGAGAGGAGTCAGACAGGCTCAGTCTAGCTCCGGGTACCGAAGCATCCCTCCTGTTCACCAGCGAAGAAGCAGCGGCTGTATTGTGTAAGTCAACCCCGCCTCCCTCTTCTCCCAATCCGGCCGCATCCCAGACTCACCCTCGCCGGCCAGTGCGGGTATCCCTTCATCTTAGCGAAAACCAAATCTCCTGCCTTGTATTCCCGCGGCCGTGGTCGAGCCATATCTCCGGATAAAAGTGAACTCTTAAACGACTATGTAATCCTTTTAGCAGTTCTCCCAGGGCCCTTAACGCAGGGCTAAATTATCGACCATCAATGTTTTTATATCAAGACTGCAGTTTACACGGAAATAAATAATTAAAAAACGCGGAAAAACGGGGCCTGGAAGAGGGCTATCCTCTTACGCACAAAATCAGGTGTAAACGTAATGGAGAATGGCTTAAGTTGCAGCAGGATATACTTGTGAGAAAAACGCTGTCAGAATGGGAAACATCAAACTTCCGGCCTTCGAAATAAAAGCAGTTCTATTTACACTAAAGGCATGTGATGAAGTCGACTACAGCCAAGGTCTTCTTCGATTCAAGTATCCCAGGAGCGAATAATTGCTTTGCAAAAGTCCGACCTAAAATAAACAACTGCTGCTGAATCCACTTCTTTGGTTAAGAAGACATGACAGCAGTTTATCAGCTAGACTGGAGGCAACATATTTAATATTTCCATCAAGAAACGAGTTACAGGTATGAATCTGACTTTGCACATGCGCAGTGTAATTCTTTTGCATTCTGCATTCACTTCAGCGCAGCAGGAGTTTGAAACAAAAGAGGGATTTTGAGTTGTGAAGTTTCTCTAGGCAGTTTTTTCCTCCTGCAGACTGAAGTCTAGATGTCTGTGACTTTAAACAGATATGTATGCAAATATTTCTACACCTGCCAGACTGAGAAATGCTGTAACTTATTCTCTGACAGTAGTTGGTCATGTTGTCAAACTGCACTCTTTGTTTCACTTCTACCTCTTGTTTAATATTTTTTCTGAATATTCATGTAATTTTTGTGTTATTTCATTTTTTATTCACACAAAGAGACTGATCTCTATCAAAATTTAAATGAAGGCTGTTCAAAAACCCTATTTTGACTCAATTTGGTTCATTAAAACGTAGTTGGTATTCTAATAGTGGCCTACCTTTAAGCCAAAATGCATGTTTGTAACTCAAATACTACCTGATATTTAAAAGGACTTGAACCCTGTTCCAAAGATGCAGTAGTAACATGATCAGAAACTGGATATACTACATGTTTGTACTTAAAAGTGTGCTTTTATTTGAAAGACAATTATGATGAATGGAAACTCTCTTTATTGCTTTATTTTCCTTGTGATGGAGGAAACTGTAAAACTCTGACTTTGACTTCCACATGTCTAATGTGACTAAGACACATGGACCTAGATTTTATTGACAATCTAAAAATAATGAGTGTTTGTGACCACTTGGTGGTAGCATTTTATAAGTTAAGACAATAAACTAAAGAATCTGATACTGTGGTGCCATAACAGACAAGAAATAGCTTTTACCAATGCAACTTAATGTACAATTAATGTAGGTCCATCCACAGGAAGCTGTGCACAAGAGATGATAGAGAGGTTGATGGGTTCCATCACATACAGTACCTTGAACTTTTTCACATTTTGTCACTCTACAACCACAAACTTCAAAGTATTTTATTGAGATTTTTTTTTGTCATAGACCAACTCAAAGTAGCACATAATTGTGAAGTGGAAGGAAAATGGTACATGGTTTTCAAAAATGTAAACAAACAAAAATCTGAAAAGTGTGATGTGCATTTGTATTCAGCCCCCTGTACTCTGATACCCCTAAATAAAATGCAGTGCAATCAATTGGCTTCAGAAGTCAGCTAGTTAGTTAATAGAGTCCACCTGTGTGTAATTTAGTATCAGCATAAATACAACCGTTCTGTGAAGACCTCAGTGCTTTGTTAGAGAACACTAGTCAACAAAGAGCATCATGAAGACCAAGGAACTCACCAGACAGGTCAGGGAAAAAGTTGTGGAGAAGTTTAAAGATTCTAATTTACTCAAATCCAATCTTATCTAACTGGAGACATACATTATTACCAAGATCCTTAAACACCACCAGACTATGGGTGCACTGATCACAATTTTCTGGCTGATCACCGATTTTGAAAAAGCCTAACCTGCCGATACCGATTTTGGCCAATACAGATTTTTTAAATTTATTTTTATTATTGTTGTTTTTTCATATAACTGACAGCATACACCTTCAATGTACTAATCTCATTTCAACTTATTTTGGCATTAGATAAATTAAAAACTGCAAACCTTTGCTCTTTTATCGTGTAATACTGCCAAACAGACGACATGCTTGGTTGACCATGCTCCAGGTGACTGTTGTTATTCTGTGCAGCTGACACATGCATGCATCACTTGTGACCTGGTGGGCAGCCTGTCAGTCTTGCAGAGCCAAAAGCTACAATGGCTGACTGTCAGACTTTCTGACCTTTGCGGAGGTAGATAAGATCGGTGGATAAGATCCATATGTAAGAATCAGGCGATTGCCGATCCCCCCCAAATTAAGGAAATCACCGCTTGAGCTTGAACAGAGTGGATTAATTACCCTCTGGTCCAGGCGGAAGATCAGAATTTCTGGAGTGGTATATTGAAAATCTGATGTTAGTGCACATTTAAACACAGGATTCAGGGATCTGTTTAACTAGATTTATTTAATTCAATTTATTGTTGTAGATCACACAGCTTCAGTGTAGATAACTTAATCCAAACAAAGGTAAAAGAGAAAAGTTACTATTCTAAATACTCCTAAAACACACATAATGCCAAAAGTAAAGAGTTTTTACCATTTAACTGATGAATTTGATGCATCCACAACTCAGGTTGAACTCAGAGAGGTCTGTTCATATCAACACAACACAATCTATTAATCCCCAAACTATCAAAACATAGGTTCTTATACTGGCAAGAAAGTGCAAATCTGACAGACATTATTTCTAAAATCCTAATCTTGTAAATAAATGTCCTTTAAGTCCACACTTAGATGTATGCAGATGACACAGTTGTTTACACACATGCTAAAGCAAGAGAGAAAACTTCCAAACTCTCTGCCGTGGGGGGAAAAAAAAGCACTCTTCAGGAAAACCAGAGGAATCCTTTGATTTAGTATAGCGTTACTGAATTTGTTCCAGTCATGGCCTTGTTCAAAGTTTCCATAAAACTGGAAGAAAACATTTCAAAATTTCAACACATTCAGTGTCAGTAAAGGAGCAGGGAAAAGTAAAGTTGACTGATAGAAAGAGGATTAACAAAACAAAAGTCACAGTCCGACAGTTTCATAAAGTTAACTAACTAAATAGATTTTAAAAATTCAAATATTCCCCTACAACCCCTCAAACTTTTCCGTAAAGAATTTCACAGTTTGACTCAAACCACAGAAAAACACACCTGCTCTGAAGCCAATGTGATAACATTGGTTGAGTTCAGTTTCAGCAGATGTCTAAGAAGCCCTAGCTCTCTCAATACACCCAAAATTTGGCTGTAATTCGTACAGTACAGGCCAAAAGTTTGGACACACCTTCTCATTCAATGCATTTTCGTTATTCTCATCAATCAATCAATCAATCAACTTTATTTCTATAGCACATTTAAAAGAGCCACGGGGGTAGCCAAAGTGCTGTACATTGAGACATTACTTCTATTCATTACTATTTAAATTGTAGATTCTCAGTGAAGGCATCAAAACTATGAATGAACACATGTGGAATCATGGGCTTAAGAAAAAAGTTGTGTTTTATATGTTTTTATATTTTAGATTCCTCAAAGTAGCCACCCTTTGCTTTTTTGATAGCGCTGCAAACTTTTGCTGTTCTCTCAATGAGGTTCATGAGGTAGTCACCTGAAATGGTTTTTACTTCACAGTGACTGACAGAGCTTTCTGTCATCAAAAGCAAAGGGTGGCTATTTTAAAGAAACTAGAATATAAAACGTTTAAAATATATGTTTTCAGTTATTTCACACTTTTTTATAAGTACAAAATTCTACATGTGTTCATTCATAGTTTTGATGCCTTCAGTGATAATCTACAATGTGAATAGTCATATAAAGATAAAGAAAACACATTGAATGAGAAGTTTTGTCCAAACCTTTGGCCTGTACTGTACATCATCATAGTTGATATCAAAGGAGATGGTTCGTAAACTTTAGAAAGTTTCTGGACTGTTGAACAGGGTGATGTGACAAAGCTTCCAGGTCCAGGTCCAGTTTGCCATCTAGATTATGTGTGTGCTTGTTTAATGACTGTCAGTTTGGGCATCAGTGCAAGTGTGGAAATGGCACGTTTGCACTTTACTTTGAGGACTGATGTGTAAAATGTTCTTGATCATCTTTAACATTTACTGAAAAGTCAACAGATCTGCTCAACACTCTTGAATACACTCGTAGTTCTTTAAATAGTTTGTCTATCTTCATGTTTTGTTAGACTTTCATTCATTTTTTAAAATCTGAAGCATTTTATTTGTGTTATTCTTTTCACTGGCATGTTTCTGTAACCTTCACTGAAAGATGGTGTTTCATGACGGTTTCCAGCAGATGGCAGCAACAAACAGGTTTCTGACTCAAAGGCCCAGGAGAAAAGATGGAGACAGAAATGCGGTTTAACAGCCACATGCTGTATAGTTTTATTTTTATATACAATTTGAGTAAATATCAATGTGATTAAAAATAAACATTGAAAAATAACATGGTGTGTGTGTGTGTGTGTGTGTGTGTGTGTGTGTGTGTGTGTGTGTGTGTGTGTGTGTGTGTGTGTGTGGCTCAGGGCCAAGGTAGACTGCTTAGCCTACAGCGGGTGGCAGCAAAGGCATGGACAAATGCAGCGGCGTGAGATCCTCCTCTGTCTCCCGCAGATGTTTTCAGGCTGCTGAGCTGGTGTCATGTTTTGCTATTTCAACATCAGAAAACTATTAGCCAGAAACGATAACCGGCCTTCCACCTCTCTCTAAAGCTATTCATGGTGAATACACCCTCTTGTTCATTTATTCATCCCCCCTGCCACAGAGACCTCAACAACAGGTGTCTGATAAAAAGAAGGACATTTCTAACGTGCTGTGGTCTTGTTGGATGAAGCTTTTTAAGCTCACAGAATTAGTGAGGGTTAATGGGGTTTTTTCATGTCCTTGAAGTTCCTTTAAAAACTCAAATATTCTCAAACTTTGTGTTTTCCCTTACAGTGTGACTGCTGTTCACTGGTGCACAAAATCCTGATAATTCTGGCTTCTATGGCTGCCAGTGGTGCACTGTCAACTCCCATGATCCTAAATAGCCACAGTCATAACAATGCCTGCGACCAGCCACAGCCCTTCACAGCCACAGAGCCCCCCTGGCATGCTCAATTTATCATACATTTCGCACTTTCACACTGTTCGCAGAAAGACCTTCGTGTGGCATTAGTGTTAGTTTGTGAATAGGCCCTCTGACACCCGGCCTGATGCACCTTCCATGGCTTGCATTCATGCCCAACCTGAAGGGAGAGGCGCGGAAAGAG